ACATATTGTAGATTTAAATTTGTTACAATCTTGACCCCAGGGGGTAGGGTGGGGCCAATATGGGCGATCAAAGTTTTATAGAGTAATATAAAGGGGAAAGTATTCTTCACAAGAACAGCGAAGTCATGATTAGTCTTATTGATATGCAAGCATCCTCAGGTAGTGTAGGTTCAAATTTGTTCAAATCATGACCCCAGGGGGTACTTAGGGTTGGGAAAACAATAGGTGATCAAGGTTTTACCTAGGAATATGGGGGGATCTGATGATGAAGAACGGCAGGAGCCATGGTGACTCCGGTGAGCATTGTAGCCCAAGGGCCTCTTGTTTTCTTTCCTTGTAAGACTTTTAACATTCCAATTTATCTGTTCACCTCCCCTAGGAGTTTTAACAGACTTTAATTGCACTTATCCTTCATGGTGGTTCTCTCTTACTGAAATGGTTGAAAAGAGCATGCGAGATCATTTACCTCATTGACGAGTCGCTCCTCAGTTCTAGCACCACAAATTCTCGTATATCTCTTTGAAAACTCTTCAATTGGACAAATTATTGTCTGGTATATCTATTAATATTCATTTGGTCCCAATTAAATTAGTCTTATATCAAACTTACCACTCCTTTGGTCCCACTTAAATTAGTGTTTGATCAAATTACTAGTAGTATCACCCGATTCAAATTTGTTTTTAATTAATATTGAGCTCGTAATAGTAAGAAATCACCAAGATTTTTTTTTCTTCTGAATAACATCTATATAAAGAAATTGTTCAATATCTTTGTGGTTTGGTTGATAAAATGCTTCTTTCGCCCAATGACGTTTCTTGCTGAACAGATAGCATAGAACTGATTGCCAGATATTTTAAAACCTCTTCGTGCTCATCTGATACTGTCCATTATGTAATAACAAAAGAAAATTGTTACATGAATGTTTTGTTACGGCATTTGATTATTTCATTCATTGCAATTTTATAATTTCATTTTGCTGTAAAAAGTGTGTTATTATGATAATACTGCATAACATAACTTAAACTTTTATGAACAATAAGACTAAAATTAAGCGCTGAACTTTATCAGAAGAAAGATGCAAGAAATCAATTTTTGAACAGGATGACTGTAATGTAATTTTGTTTCAGTAGGAGCTTCTAAATAGTTTTTTTCCAACGCAAATATGATTAAAAGAAGTTAATAAATAGTACAAAACAACGTGTTCTGTTAATTGTGAAACAAAGCAAGCTTCGTCAATTTTTTAGGCAATCTACATCCAAATATAAAATGTCCTGGTCGTAACTTGAGATTCCTTTGATATTAAGGATATCTGCCCCTCAGCCAGGAAAGGTAACTCTTAAAATCATTATTTAATTGCGTAAGTCTAAAAATAAAAGACAGAAATTTATACCTAGCAATATTTACACAAACCCAAACACAATATCTTTTTATGATTTTATGAATACTTCTGATATATATGAATTACTAGGTGTAGCTAAGTTTGTAAAACTATTCTTGAATTATCATTAAACATTAAACAATATTTTGGACAACCGTCAGTACTGTCCATATCAAAGATCTTTTTGTAGTTCACTATGTTAATTGTTCACATGTTGATTTGTTCAATTGTTAAACTCTTATTGTACTAATATACTTTATGTGGGGGCCTTAGTGAAAATAAAAGTTTCAAAGTAAAATGAAATTTGAAATTCAAATCATTTCGCTCAACAATTTTTATTTAATACATCTCGATACGATTCAAGATTCTTTGTACTCTCAGAAACAATCTTGTAAAAAGTAGAGATTTGCATCCCATAAAGTACAAAGATATATACATTTTTAGAGAAATCGATTTCCCTTTTATCTTGCTTTAGATACCAATGCTTCTTACTATAAAATGAAATTAGAAGTGATCTGTGATGTCTTACAATGATAACACAAGCTTTTTACACTATGTATTATATAACAATTCAAGTTAATTAACAGAAGAACTAAGACTGCATTCTATACAATGTAACTTTGTGTAATCATTAGTACCAAGTTTGATTAAAATGAGACTAAACTGTAGGAGGGGTAGTACATTGAAAGATTTCTTTTTGTAACAATGGCAAAGCAATTTATCGAAATAAAAAAAAAGATCAATTAATTCAACGTATCTTACCGTTACTTTAGGGGAGTTGCAAAAAAAAGAACGGAAGAGTCGCTTTTAAGGACAGATGATACAAACAAAAAAATGGATGCCTGGATTGTTGCATATTTTTGGACTTATTTTGGTTGTAAATAATGCAAATATAAAATTTTTAAAAAATATTTAGAGAATGTAAATTTTTGTCATGTTCAAAATTCTACCTTTCTGTAATCAACCTATAAAACCTTTTACGTATTATATAACATTATTGTGAAATTTTGAATAAAAATTAAAATCTATGGGGTTTAACTTATTCAATTTACTTATATTAATGATAATTTAGTTGTCATTTTCATGATTTTTGGGGAAAAAAATGTTTGTATCATCTGTCCTTTACCCAAGTATTTTGCGACTCCCCCTTTTTAGCTCACCTGAACCGAAGGCTCAAGTGAGCTTTTCTGATCGAAAATTGTCCGTTGTCTGTCGTTGTCGTCGGCGATGTCGTTGTTAACATTTCACATGTTTATCTTCTTCTCTAGAACCACTGGGTCAATTTCAACCAAACTTGACACAGAGTATCCTTGGGTAAAGAGGATTCTTTTTTTTTTTCAAATGAAGAGCCATGCCCTCTTCCAAGGGTAGATAATTAATAAATAGTGAAAAATGGGTGGGGTCATTAGAAATCTTCTCAAGAACCTCTGAGCCAGAAAAGATGAAACTCAATGGAAAGCTAACTGGGGTAATGAAGATTCAAGTTTGTTCCAATTCTGCCCCCCCCCCCCCCCGGGGATAGGATGGGGCCATGATGGGCGATCAAAGTTTTATATAGGAATACGAAGAAAAACGAACCTTAATTCTCACTAGTTTTAACTGCTGAATTCTCTGTTAACATGATACAACAGCAATTAAATGATTTTCAAGGTTTGCTCCTCCAAATCTAAATGGATGCAATATCAATATCCTAAATCTAGGCCTACAATATACATTTATTAACTGGGGTCGAGGGCAACGTGCGTTTTGTCGGACCCAAAAACCAAACTCTTTGCCTGAGGCAGTCAGGCCGCAGGCAAACAGTTTGGTCCAAGGGGTCGGCAAAACGCATTTTGCCCGAGAACACACTCAATAAATGTTTTGTTATACCTTCTATTTTTTTATGTTATACACTTATCTTTTTCTGGCTTCCATACCAACGAATGCAAATAAGACTTAGCTGATTCCATCCACAGTGTGACGTAAGCGGTCCAATACCTCACTGACAGGTCCAATATCTCACTCTGCGGTCAAACATCGATTTTTTTTAAGACCGCTCAGTAAAACATTAGAAATGTTAGACTTTTATAGTATAGATTTATATAGGAACTAATGTTAGACTTTTATAGTATAGATTTATATAGGAACTATTTTAAAACAATAAATTTTACAAAATTTTGAGAAACTTTTACCTAGGCCATAACTTTTAAACGGTTGGTGCTGTGGCTTTTAAATCTCACGTGTAATTCTTGCGACAACTTTCTTTGGGTACCAAGATTTGTGACCTTTTGACTTTGACCTACTTTTGAAATACTTTAACCTAGGCATTAACTTTTGAAGGTTTGATTCTAGGGCTTTCTTATTTCACAGGTGTATTCCAAATGACAAGACCTTTCTTTGGGTACCAATATTTGTGACCTTTTGACCTTTGAGTTTGACCTACTTTTAAAAAACTTGAACCTTGATCATAACTTTTGAAGGCTTTCATATTTCACCTGTATTGCTTGTGACAAGACATTTTCTTGGGTACAAACATTTTTGACCTTTCGACCTTGGAGTTTGACCTACCTTTGAGAAACTTTAACCTCGACCATAACTTTTGAACGGTTGGTGCTAGGGATTTCATACTTCACAGGTAATTTCCTTTTGAAAAGACCTTGCCCTAGGACCAAAATTTTTTGACCTCATAACCTTGACCTTGGAGTTTGACTTGCATTTGAGAAACTTTAACCTTAGCCATGAGCTTCCATATGGGCACATCAGTATTTCACAAACACCTCTTGTTTTTCTTAAATTTAAATAAGACTGATTAAAAGCATATTATTTTGATCTGTTGCAATGACTTTTTTTAAAAATATGAAAGAAACCCTGTTATGATATTTACATGTACACTAAAAGATGTCTATACTATATTGTGACATTAGTTTCAAACAGCTAAAAAAAAGTGGACTGTTACAGGAATGACATAACAACATGTCTCTGTATTATCTGTCTAAGGAATATACTATCAAATCACACTCATAAAAACAGTACAATTTATTCTAATTTCTCAACACCAATACAACACATACATGTTATTCTAGTTTGATATTTTTTTGTTCTTGCTTATGAAATTTAATTAAAATACACATGCATGCTTTCTTTTCTTTTCTTATTAAAAAAGTTTACAGAACACATTTTATATAAATGATTTGATAATCAAGCTAATTCAGGGAAATTATTTCCCCAGCTAAAACACTGAAGGTAGAAGGAGAAGACATAAGACATGCAGATGGGAAAAAGAAAAAGAATTGACCTTGACCTTTCGGTCTTAAAATCAATAGAGGTCTTTCTTCAGTTAGATTTATCACCTTAGTTTAATTACAAAAGCTCAAACTATATATATATATATATTTATATATATATATATATGTACACACACCCTCACAAACACACACACACACACACACATATATATATATATATATATATATATATATATATATATATATATATATATATATATATATATATACACACACACACACACACCCTCACACACACACACACACATATATATATATATATATATATATATATATATATATATATATATATATATATATATATATATATATATATATATATATATATATACTCACACACATATTTGTCCTCAAAATCAAAGAGGATGTTCTTAAAATCATAAGGAGTTATAACATAAAATTTCATTGCAAAAGCTCTTAGATTACTAAAGTTGTCATCTGGAAAACATTTTATGCAATATATAAATATCCGACCTTGATCTCTGCCCTTAAGACCATAAACTGAGAACAGACTTAAGTCAAAATTTTGAAAATTTTGATTTTGAATATCTTGAATTTTATTTAACATATGTGCTTAAAAATTTGCAGGTTTGTATAATATTTTAATTTAAACATATGATGAAAATTTTGTTTTGTTCTGAAGATTATTTCAAAAGTTATATTGATTCGAAATTTTGACTTAAGTCTGTTCTCAGTTTATGGTCTTGGGGCCTGACCTCAAAATGAACAGGGTCTTTTTAAGTCCATATGTCCTTAAGTCATAGGGCCTTACAAATGATACAAATTTAACTGCAAAAGCTCAAGGACTTTTTGAAATATCATCCCAAAACTAGAGTTAGTGTTACACATAGAGAGAATGACAGACAGTTGGACAGACAGAGAGACCCATATCAAAAGAAGAAAAGCAAGACTGTTTCTATGAGAGGTGAAATTACATACATGTACTTTATTTGACTAGTTTAATTTAATTCTAACAAATGTCAACAATGTTTACCATCTCTGTCTAAAATCTCAACAAAATGAAATTTCAAAAGCACTAATCCCAGGTCACATGGCACTGTCTCCTGTCACGTATCAGAAGCCGGTATTTCTGAGGGGACTTTATCAGCTGGTGTTTCTGTAGGGACATCATCAGCTTGCATTTCTGTGGGGTCTAAATCAATGTCCTCCAGCGGGTCCATATCTTCATCAGATCCCTGTTCTGATTGGCTCTCATTAGAGTCCTCTTCAGATTGGCTCTCATCTGATTGGGTGGTTTGAACTGTCTCTATTGTTAAACTCTGGGGAGCTCTAGAACTTGTGTAAGCAAATATGCTCCTCTACAATGAGGAAAAAAAACACTGTTTAAAAAAGAATACTTCGTACATAAGACATACATGTCTCCGACTGCATCAGTTGTTGAGACTAAAAATGTTTCATCCCCCCCCTTTTTTTTTTAAATTAAACGTTTTTATAGTACTGAAACATGAAAAACAAGGCCTGAATATGGATCAAACTCCTTCAATGTTACAGTTTAACATACCCTTCTGTAAATAATCAGTTTTCTGATTAAAAATTTTTATGTACCAATATATATATATGTGTGTGCAAATTATTATTCTTTCACTTAAAATGATTGGATCTGATTGGTTGAAAGAGATTTAAAAGAACATTGTTACCTCCTTAGAACAGAAACCAAATCCTCCTCATTGATATTTTCTAGGAAGGGGAACATAACTTATCAAAAGGTGATGTAATATAAAAAATATCACATGCATGAAGTGTATGGTTTTCACCAGAAGAAAATATAAATTCTGACCTTGACTTTTCCTTGGTCAATATGGATTTTTTTCTCCTTACCTGTTTGCTTCCCACTCTAAGTAACATCACTTGTAATTTTCCTTACCTGTTTGCTGCCCAGTGCCCACTATGAGTAACATAACAGGAAATTCTCATTACCTGTTTACTAGTCACTGTGAGTAACATCAATTGTATTCATTTTCCTTACCTGTTTGCTGCCCACTGTGAGTAGCATCAATGTCCATTTACTAGTCAGTCTCACCATTTGGTCCTTCACCTTCAATCCAACAAAGAAAAAGATTTGCATTTTAAGAAAATATTTCAAATTTGCATCAATTAAGATGAATGAGTTATGAAAGTAAGGTCTTTATTTTTCACAATACAGTGTACATGTACATAGCCCCCCCAGGGACCTATATACTAACGGGATAGGCAACTCCTTCAGCGCCATGTTTATTTACCCACAACGTCACACACAACACTGCAAGTTTTTCAAACTACGTTTTTTCCAAGTAAAAAGCTTGTTTTCTGATTAATGTAAACTGTTCTTTTTGTGTATCAGAATGGATATTTAATAAATTTTAAAGCACATATTATAAAATAATTTAGATATTAAGTAAACAACCACCAAAATCAGCGATTTCTCGGAAATACGGCCGATCAGGGGCACACACTGATTTTTAAATAAACGTAATTACTACTAAGATAAGGAATAAAAACAGTGCTAATAACAAATCTTGAATATTTTTTTGATAGATAAATTAAGATTTTATTCTGAAATATTTGATAGCAAAAGAAATATATTTAATTAAAATTGACTTACGAAATCACGCAACTTACGAGATATCGCGAGACTTGCGGGAGTTGCCTATCCCGTTAGTATATAGGTCCCTGGCCTCCCTTAAGAAAGAATTTCAAGTACTTTTTTCAGAATTTCAAACAATATATTACTATTATTTCAAAACAACTTGAAAATTAAATAAAATATAGATTGATCAATTCATACCCGGCTTCTGTCTAACATACGGACATCATCCCTTGTATCTCCACAAATCTTCTTTATCTGTTCTGACAGGTATTGGAGGCTATCCTTCAATTCATAAACAGGAAGTGTATCAGAAAGCCAGATTATTATCTCATTGTTTACCCTCACTTAATACCTACTACATACCACTTTTATTTCAAGTTATATTTATCTTTATGAGACAAAAGTAGTGGTGTTCCAATCATCAATTATAATCAAAAAGCAGTCGATTGCTGGCATAATCCAAGCGCTCGATTACAAAATTTTTATTCTGATTAATCATGTTATTCATTTTATTTTACAAGCATAATAGCTTTTAAGCCAAATATTCCAGCTGGGACTTGTCTATTCACTTATTTGTGCATCATAATGGCGCAGACGAACAGACATTGTATTCATACCCTGGTAACAACGCTCATTCCCAGGTATGGACGTACTTTGGATTCTACAAAATGAACGATGAACCAGCTGGACTAGATAGAACGTTCTATTGTTAAAATGATATTGTCCTACGGACTAAGGCTTATCCCGAGACACAGATTATTCTAACTAAAGCTGGACCACCGCAGAAAGTAGTTATTCACCCATTCTTACCATTTAATAAACTAAATTGACAGACTTTGTAAATGTCCGATTATAATTGATAATTAGTTAGTTACAGTAGCCCGATCATCGATTATGAAATTCATACCGATTCTCATCACGAGACAAAAGCTCTGTTTTTTTTTTCATGACACATAATTTTCAACTAATATTTCAATGTTCATTAGTAAATTGTTATACATAGCTTTGTGAAAATTAATATGAAGAGAAGAAACTGTATATACTGTACTATTTTTATAATTGCATAAATATTCAATGAAATATCTTCTTCTTTTTTTTTTTTTTTTGTGTTACTAATGAGAGTTTAATGTGTTTCTTAAAAAATGCACTGACTCAGTTTTATTTCATAACAAAATTAGCAAAAAGTATTGCATGCGATTTCAAAATCATTAAAGAGTTGTCTGAAAAATTGTGATATTTTTTATTTATCCAAAGGTGGCCTGGCCTTTGGAGTATACAATCGTAGGGGGGAATTGTGGACTCTATGTGGCCTCTGAGGAGGCATTACCTATACCTTTTTGTTAAAGGGTTATTGTAATAAAAAAAAAAAAAAAAAAAAAAAAAAATATCTTCTTTTTTTAAAAGTTTTTTTCCCCAGATGCATCAATACCTTAGTAATTTTTTCTTGAAAAGTGAATTTTGATGTACATTACATATACATTTTTAAATGCAATATGTTTCTTTCATAATTTCTGTGAAAAATACTTTGGAAATAGGGTGAATTCACCATGCATCGGACACCCTCGCATTTCAACAAGTTCTAGTGATATCGCTACCGACCGAAGATTATCAAAATTGAACTTAACATGTAGTATATAGTTAAAATATAAATTTTTGACACAGTCGTGTGCTCTTTATTGAGAAAATATCATTAAAACCCGAGTTTTTCGAAATAAGTCAGAATTCACCATGGATCGGACAATATTCACCATGCATCGGACATACGGTATTTAAACCAGAAAAATATCACACCTTGGTCTCGGTCCTTTAAAATTAGTGATATCGAAACATTTTTATCTTTTATTAAAACATTAAACTTCTAGCTAAATTTGAATGACTATTTCGATCCACAAATGTGAAGAGGTGTTTTAGGTACATCACATCGCCTTAGAAAGGCTTTACAATGCTAGTAATATGGCAACTCGTGCCTTTGTCAGGTGGGTTATCATCATCTTGTTTAAAGAAATAAATTGGGTTCACTTCTAGTCGTCATATATCGATATCTTGTATTTTCACTTAAAATATAGAGTCTTTATTTTCTATTTCCGTAAAAAACAGCTGTCATTTGGGTTTTATATGAAAATGGAAGTGATTACCCATGTATCGGAAAGTGTCCGATGCATGGTTAATTTGTGTCCGATGTACGGTGAAACAAACATACTAGTAAAAAACAACTCTAAAAATTAATGTATAAACATTTAAATAAAATTTTTGAAAAATTTCTGTTAAATTATCAATCATTGACAAATTTTACCTAGGTCCGACTCGTTCCGTTGAAGTCTATTTAAAAGAGCGACAACTCTCAAAATTGCAAAATCGGAAAATTCTGGTTACTCCCCTTTGATGATGCAAAATATGACGTAATTTCAAGGCCATTCTTGTGGTATTTTTATCACAACATGAAAATAAGAATCTGCATCATGAAAAAGTTTAAATCTTTACCTTTAAGACAGAAACAAGTAAAAACACGAGGAGACTCAGGTTCAATGAAAGTTTATTGCTCAAAGTTGTCCGAAGCAAGGTATGTGTCCGATGCATGGTTAACTCACCCTAATGTCAGAATATTTTTCCATGATTAATTCTTAAAATGATCTCTGTGATAAAGCACATAAGATGGTGAAACTGAACACAATTTTGTGGACCTTTTATTTGACTTAAGTACTGTGCCTCTAATTAGGGGCAGAGAATTTTTTATTTTGAGATAACAGTGGTAAAAGATAGTACCTTCTCTGCTGGAGTAATGAGACCATTCCCTACACAAAGGTCTATTAGCATGATACAGCTGTATAACTTGTACATGTCTGTGTTCACCAAATTCTGAAGGTGTGGCAAGAACTGGTGAAGGTCTCTTATCTACAATGGTGATCAAATCTGTCAGGTGTAACCAGAGGTAAGCCAATATTCACAAATCATCTTAGATATTATGTTATTCTTTGAAATCGTTTGCATTCTACTTAATACATGTATTTCATTTCAGTGTAATGTTTTTGCAGACTAACATAGTATGCTTTAGAACACATACAGCTGTCTAGCATATGGGCAAATAAAGGCAGATAAGACAACAAATTATATTGATGCATTTAGTAACCTTGCAGTTTTCTAGTTTCTCTGTAGAACATGGTTCCAAATCAAACAGCTGCCTCAGCATGATGTAAGCTACCCTCCTCTGTAGGAACTGTCCTCGCCTTCCATAGGGGGACAAGGAGGCCAGGTAGGCCTTGTTGTGGTGGTGATCTGTAAGTGTGGGGAGGACTGAACTCAGCTGCAATGCCTAGTAAGAAAAGTATATGAATGGAATAATGTTTTTGTTAGGTCAAAAATGCACAGAGAAATGAAAAAAAAGATGAATGTACTAAGCTCTAATATGAGTCCTATCATTTTAAAACATCAAAGAAAGAATAAAATGTTTACATAAGTAAATATTTGTAGTCACATTCTATACTTAGTTACAAGGACAATTCTTAAGATTTTAGCATGAAATATTTATACATAATTTACTACACAAGGTATCTACAAATACACTAGATGAAGATGCAAATACTTTGAAAAATGTCACCTGTGAGATGTCTACATGCACAAGTATTTGTTCCATGGACATGGGGAAGAAAATGTATAAGGAAAATAGATACATGTATCAGGATAATTTTTCAATTTATGTTTTAAGTTTTAATTTACTAATTTCAACTACAGTCTTACTGAATGGAAATGTTTAATGTATGTAAAATATTTATAAATGATAACATTTATAAGCTGTTGTGTATTAAATCTCCATTAAGGAAAATAGTGAATAAATTTTATGTCTGATAATATACTGCAAACTTACACAAGTCTTCCATTCTGAATCTGAATAACAACACAAAATGCTGCCTAAACAAGACTGGATTTCTATGTTGATTAAACCACTGAAAAATATAAACTTAGCATTTCAAGTTCATATCATTATTTGTCTTGCTATCAAAATTATTATTCATTGACAGAATTACGCTGTAATGTTTAAAAATACATCTATAGATTAGTTTACCAGTTCAAGGACTTGTCCAGGGCCACTCTACATAACATGACATACAATGCCAGCAGGTGGGAAGTCTGGTACTTTGGTCTAGGTAAAAGGTTAATGCATTTATTGTAAAAGATTGTTTGACAAGAGTTTTAATTTTCCTTAATGATTTTATGTAGTCCTATTTACAAGCTACAGCAATATGATAAACTTGGCTTTTCTCTTCAGGGACTGAAGATGGAATGTGCTTTCTATTGATTAATTTTTTTTCTAGGAGATAAATATCAAAAAAAAAAAAAAAAAAAAAAATTAAGTTATAAGTACCAAATTTTTAAGTACATATAATGCATTAGATTTTTGTTCTGGACTTTCAATAAAAAATAATAATAATAATAATAAAATGAAGTATGTACTATTTTTTTCATACTGAATACCTATCAAATCAACAGCTAAATAAAAATGTGCTACAAAGAATCTGGTTGCAAGTGAGAGGCATCCTAAGATCTGATGATTATTTTTTTTCTAAGCAGGTACTTGTTTTATAATGCTTGAGAATTACAATAAACAACATACCTTCTTTGGAGAGCAAGTGCTATAACCTGGATCACCATTCTGAGATTTTCTCTGTTAAAGCTGCCCACATTAGGGGGAGGGAGGGGCTGGTTATTCTCTCTAGTCACCTTACTACCAAGGGTGCTAATTTTAAAAGAAAAGTGACACAGACATTTGTAATTAGAATCTATACAAGGAGGATCAAAATAAAATACATTACTTCACATGCTGGTAGATTCAGTCTTATTTTTTCGTGTCAGACTTTAAGCTAAGGGCAAATGTTACAACTCTGATGTGAAATACCCAATTTCAACAAACCTTATTTCTTCATCACCTTTAAACACATCTTTAGGTAAAATGCTTTCTTCAGATGCTCCTTTAAAAAGAAAAGTGTTCATAATAAAATTATCAATACACTGAATTCTTTCATTGTGCAAAATTTTGGAATTACAAACCAGTTGAAACCACAGATGCTTTGAAATACATCTGCACATAATCTAAAATGGTCTATTACCACAATTCATGAACACAGAGAGTAAGTCCTCAATAGAGGGAGCCCAGGGATTGTCCTGATCGTCATTAAAAACCTTGTGACAATACAGATATTCCTCCAATACTTTATAACAACCATCCATCACAAGATGACTCTCATCCACAGATACTACAATCAACAAAAGATTTAAAATCTCTGTGTATTCCAAAACAAGAATGATTAATAAAACAAGAGGCAGGGCCACATCGCTCACCTGAGTAACTTTGGCCATGGCTGTTCTTTACCAGATCCCCCCCCCCCCCCCGTAATACCTATTGTGGCCCCGCCCTACCGGGGGGGGGGGGGGGGGGGGGGTCCTGTTTGAACAATTTAGAATCTACACTACCCAAGAATGCTTCCACATAAGTTTCAGTTTTTCTGGCCTAGTGGTTCTTGAGAAGAAGATTTTTAAAGATTTTTCCTATATATTTCCATGTAAAACTTGGATTCCCTATTGTGGCCCCGCCCTACCCCCGGGGGTCATGATTTTAACAATTTAGAATCTACACTACCCCAGGATGCTTCCACATAAGTTTCAGCTTTTCTGGCCTAGTGGTTCTTGAGAAGAAGATTTTTTCCTTTATATTTCAATGTAAAACTTGGATTCCCTATTGTGGCCCCGCCCTACCCCCAGGGGTCCTGATTTTAATAATTTAGAATCTACTCTATCCCAGGATGCTTCCACATAAGTTTCAGCTTTTCTGGCCTAGTGGTTCTTGAGAAGAAGATTTTTAAAGATTTTTTTCCTTTATATTTTAATGTAAAACTTGGATTCCCTATTGTGGCCCCGCCCTACCCCCGGGGGTCATGATTTTAACAATTAAGAATCTATACTATCCTAGCATGCTTCCACATGAGTTTCAGCTTTTCTAGCCTAGTGGTTCTTGAGAAGAAGATTTTTAAAGATTTTTCCTATATATTTCCATGTAAAACTTGGATTCCCTATTGTGGCCCTGCCCTACCCCGGGGTCATGATTTTCACAATTTAGAATCTACACTACCCCAGAATGCTTCCACATAAGTTTCAGCTTTTCTGGCCTAGTGGTTCTTGAGAAGAAGATTTTTAAACATTTTTCCTTTATATTTCAATGTAAAACTTGGATTCCCTATTGTGGCTCCGCCCTACCCCCGGGGGTCATGATTTTAACAATTTAGAATGTACACTATCCCAGGATGCTTCCATATAAGTTTCAGCTTTTCTGGCCCAGTGGTTCTTGAGAAGAAGATTTTTTAATTACCCCACCCTATTTTTGTCTTTTCATGATTATCTCCCCTTGTAAGGGAACTTTATTTTAAGAATTTAAACTCCCCTTCAACCAGGGATACTTTCTACCAAGTTTGGTTAAAATTGGCCCAGTGGTTCTTGAGAAGAAGTTGAAAATGTGAAAAGTTTACAGACGGACGGACGGACGACGGACAACGGGTGATCAGAAAAGCTCACTTGAGCTTTCAGCTCAGGTGAGCTAAAAATAGATATATAGTGACATCTCAGACTAAAATCTGTCAGAGGAGTGCAAGTATTTAATTTTAAATAAATATCAAAATTATGGTTGACATAAAACTGAATGGAGACAAATGATGATTTATAATTTCAAAGAAGAAAATTCACACACTGTATACATGTTGCAGTAAATATACATACACAGAAAGATGAGCCATTTGAGGAGAATTTTTGGACAGGACACCTTCTCCAGACTGCTGACAAGAACTTCAGATGATAACAGCGTATCAAAATCTTCTGAAAGGAGGAATATTCAGTTCTGTCAGTTCATTTACATTTACCACTTTTCCTTTTTACAATCAAAATCACAACACCTCTCTGAAAAGGTCTCTAAATTATCTAACAAAGGGAGAAAACAACTACTTTTTTAGTATCTGATAAAGGGAGATAACACCTACTTCAGATGGAAAGGGAGATAACACCTATATTTTGCTATCTTATCAAGGAAGACAAGAACTACCTTGATTAGTAATTTACAAAGGGAGATAATAACTACTTTTTAGTGTCTGATAAGGGGAGATAACACCTACTTTTAAGGTATCTTATGAAGGGAGAGAACACCTACTTGGCTGGACTGTTGTAAGGAACTTGTCAATGAAGGATTCCCCTGCAGTAAAGCCACACATGGTGGGAGAGATTCTTGAAGTGTAAAGCTGTTTGTAGCGATTTGGACAGAAAATTGTCTCTCCTGGGTGGGCTGTGGATATGACACTTTTCTTCATTTCAAGCTGAAATATTCAAACCAAAGGTGTACCACTCATATTTCTGTTTTTTTTTTTTTTTTGTTTTTTTTTTATAACAAAGCATGTAATTAAAACTGAATAATATCTCACTTGAAAATAAAAATTCTATTTTGCATAGTTTTTTTAAAGCCTGCCATGTTCCTAATACATGTACAGGCATAATAGTTGAACTATATTTATAACTTACATGTTCTATCTGCTCTTGGTGCTCAGGAAGTAAATCTTAAAAAAAAAGAAAAATTTTCATATGAAATTTTACAATTCAGCATTTCACTTGTACAGACCCCCCCCCCCCCCCCCAAAAAAAACCCCCAAAAAGTGATGATAATACATACTTTGTTCTGTATGATCTTCTTGCTTTTCAAGTGTGTCTTTCACAAAGCCCCCTTTTCTCACAGACTCCTAATGGTAAATTAAAATATTGATATTAGGATAACTTTCTTTATGGTACATGTACATGAAATACTGTGTTATTTATTTAAGTTGACTTGAAAGCAGATATTCCCTTCCAGCTTAAATTAAGCCCAGTGCTACAAGAGTAAGAGGACCTGATAATAATATGCCAATTTCATATAAGTAGCTACTTTACAATACAGCACAACTTAGCAATCCAAAATCACATAATACATGTATTTTGCTTTGTAGTTGATATTTGACCTGTCATGCCCTCAAAATGGTTATGAAACCTTATTAAGACTTGACATATCTTCCCTCCCCCACACTACTCTCCCCCCCCCCATCCCACTACATTTGAATTCTGTCATGTGATGTTATACAGTCATAATTAGAATGAGAAAGATACAAAAGCGGACACAAAAAATATAATATCCTTTAAGCTGGGGGTAATTAACACATTTCAAATCAATAATTATCAACAATCTTTTCAATTAAAATCACCAGAAATTCTCTAAATAGAATATCAATTAACAAACTCATTATCAATTTATTTCTTTAATTTTTGTTTTGTCTAACCACATAATTATATTGGAAATACCAGTTTTCTCAATTAAATGACAAACCTTTAATTCAGTCTGCATTTCTTCAAACTCCCTTTGCTCTTCAGGCTGAAAAATATGACCATGATAAATTCTGTGCTACATCATACTTCATTTAGATGAAAAAAAAAAAAAAGATTAACTTTGTACTTTACGATGGTCTTTAAACAAGATGTTTCATTCAGATAACTAGTATACATACATGAATACTGTATTTAAACCTAATATCCTCAATAATTTTTTTTCTCAGTTAAGATTTTTATAGCATCATTATCTTCACCAAAATCCAGATTGAATGATGCGAGTAAGATATCATTCACAAAAATGTGCTTTTTTTTTTAACCTTCACGAGGTTTTATCCATTTACAATAAAGAAATCAATGTTGTTTTGAATGCAAAATAATTTTACTCATTACTAAAGCTTTTGAATTTTTTTTTGGTGTTCTCGGTTATTTAAAAGAATCTTATTTACAAAACCATCTTTATACAAGAGGCCTATGGGCCTTTTAAAAAGTCTCCTAAGTGTCATTATGCTAGTTTTCTAGAGCATATTTTGGACCTCTTTTATGGTCTAATGGGTCGTGATGAACAAACACGAATCTTCACTGTGGAAGAAAGCTCCCACCTATTTTTCCAATTCTGGCTTAGTGCTTCTAGAGAATAATTTTCAATGGCCCCACCATATTTTCAATCCACTCTTAAGAAAGAACCCCTCTTCTTTTGAGCATTTGGTTGAAATCACAAACTCAGTGGTTCTGGAGAAAACTCAAAAATGTGTAAAGTTTATGCCCAACTGATAACAAAATGATGGATAAAATGGATAGCAACATTACCTTTGAAACTTAAGTGACCTAAAAATACACATTATTTTCTCCTTCTTAACTATACTTAGTGGCTTAGATGCAAATGAATGGCTTAAAATAAAACCTTACAAGTACATATCAAGGCCAATTGAAAATTTACAAAGTAAAAATTGTCTTAAGGAAAGTAAGGAAAGAGTGATGTTGAGATGGTTAAATCTACACTCTTAACCAAATCATGGTTTTTTTTTATTTATCAACTCCACATTAACAATATCTGCTTCCAATAACCACTGTCTCCTTTAAATTTATTCATGAGCTAGATGATTAGGCCAGTAAGATCTTGTCAAGTTGGATGAAAAACTTTTTTTTTTGTCTGCTTACAATGTTACAAATTACCTTGTCTGTATGTTCTGCCAGCAAACTGTCCAGAGAAAACTTGGCAAATCTTGATGTGGATGGAATAAAAATGGAGTTAGTGTTTGCCATTGGAATGGGACTGCCTGGACCCGGAGACTATAGAAATATCAAAACTGAATACAATATTGTTAGAAAATGTGAAGAGTAAGTGTGTAAATGAATTATTCATGACAGCTTTATTTTATTTAATACAACCATATGCTCTTTTAATTTGACAAGACATTTCTTTAGTGTCTTGAAACATACATACAACATTTTAACAAATAAAAATATTTCATCTACCCATAAGCAGTAGATGCTTGACTCTCCTATTTAAGGCATTTACATTAAATGATAAAGACATTTTGAATGTTTCGTTGCAAGAGTATAATGGAACACAAAGGGATCAAGTCGTTAATAAATGTTCACTTACTGACTGATTCTTTGGAGGTGGAGTGCCAGGAACTGGCTGTGTTCTGTACAAAATACAAGATTACTGAATCCTGATAAACGATTCAATCAACAACTGAACTTACAATAAAAACATTTAATAATTCTATTATTCTAATATCAAGATCAATCTGAAGAAGGGCAATAGATTGTCTATTTCTATTTTATTGATGATAGCTTAAGGAACAAGTTAGGCATCATCATAGCTGAACTATTTGGTCTTGAAAGTTCTTTTAAACCAAGATCCTTTTTCCAAACCTACACATTTATCTCAAATCTTAACCTTTGAACTTAACCAACTGCAAGACCTATCTACTGCAAATTTTCTTAAATAAATACATATAGTACTACAATCAAACAAAAATTGAGGAAATTAATAATATCAATTATCTATTAAATTTTCTTTAGGAATCAACTTACATGGCAGTTTCTAAGTCTTTTAAAAAGGATGGAGTCTCTAAGAGTTCATCATCTGAGTCATCTAGATCTATGTCGAAGTCACTCAGTCTATCACCTACAAAACAATATCAGAAGTCCAGTGGATAAAAAGTACTTATTATTCATTCAATGTTTTTCTTAACTTCTACAAGTTAATAATTATCTTTATACATAATAAATTAGATTATAAAATGAATATAGTGCAAAACAAATGTAAAAGACAAAACTCATTTCTTACTCGTTTCCTGAGGACTTGGTAAATCAGCACCATACACAATGCAGAATTTAGACTCCAGGGAATCAGAAATTGTAGATATAGAACTGCTAGCCTGTCCACCTTTATTTAAAGGATTGCTTGGTGTTGCCACGTCATCCAAGTTTTTCATGGAGTCCTTTCTTGGAGTAGAGTGGCCATTATGCCTCTCTATGGAAGTGGACCTCATCTGATTCCTCTTTCTCTCTCGTTCTTCTCTCTCCAACTGTCTCTGCTTTGCCTCTCTATATTCCCTGTATGTCTGAGCAGTTTTAGGAGTGATTTCTTGGGAATTATCTGACTGGGACCTCTGCATTACCCCTCTCTTATCTTGACTTGAGGAGTCTATGCTACTTCTGTGTTGTAAAAGATAACTCTCTCTCCCATACTGTGGTTCCTCTGAGTGGCGTCTCTTTCCTTCTCCCAGTCTTTCCTTCGTAGGAAAACGTTGACTTTCTCCACTCTGCATTCTTTGTCTATCCTTTGTACCATACTTACTGTCACTAGTTGGTGTCCTTTCCTTTCCTTTCCTCTCTGAGGAGAACTGACCACTGTCCTGTACTGAATTCCCTGGTGTCCTATAACCTGGTTCTACACTTACATTATCTTGCACACTGTCTACTTTGCCTCCTTTCCTAGATTCTGTCTTGTATAAAGTTCCCGACAACATTGTATTATCTGATCCAATAACACACAAATTATCAACACTTCTTCCCAGGCTTTCTTCAGAACTACTGTTAGAAGTTTTTGCCTTTATTGAGCCACTCTCTTTCTTTTCATTCAAATAAATTTTTGAAGAGTTATTACTTTTTACTGTAGGTAATGTAAGAGAATTACACTGACTACCTTTATTATCAATTTCATAAATACCATCATCTTTCATTTCAAAATCAGCATTTTCAGTAGCACTGTGGGACTTCAATGTTTGTCCTGAAGTTAAATCTGAGTCATAATGAACATTTGCTCTTTGAGCACTAGAGATCTGTTCATTAATTGTTACGGGTCCTTCCTTTGTTTGTAGTTGATCTTTGATTGTTACAGGTCTTTTGGCTGTTGAACACCCCACTGCAGTAACTTGTGCTGAGGATGTTTTACTGACAAGATTCTCTACTATACAGTCATCACCTGAAGCTTCATCTTCCCTCACAGCCCTAGCAATGGATTTGGTACGGACATCTACAAAATAAAATGTTTACATCATACTTGGGGTTCTTTTCCTACAATTTTTATTATTTCTGTAATGAATATATGATTTATACAGATTATAACAAAATAGCATGAAGAAATTCAAATGTACAACTAAAGAGAGTACTCAAGAAGAATATACATTACATAATCATGAAATGTGAAGTCTTAAATGTATCAAATATGTGAAATTGGAAGAAAAGAAAAAGATCATGTTTATAAATGTAAAATTACTTGGAGAAAATAATACAGAAACTTAGGCCATTTTTTTTTTTCAAATCAGAAATAGTTTATCTTCATTCTTTTACTAATAAAGTAAACATGTCCATAGGAAATGAACACCCCTTTCTGCCCTATGATTTAAATGATCATTCACTATAATGTATTTAAAAAAGCTAAATGCTTAATAACACAAATATGCATGGTCAACATGGTCAAAGTCAACCACAGGAAACATGAACGTCAGACTTTTGAACTGTTAAATGTTCATTACAAAAACCAAACAAAAGGAGGTTCCATAAGACAAACACAATATGCCTTGCCTATGTACATGATGGTATTTAAAAGATATACCCCCACAACCCCCTCTGTACATTTGAAAAAAAAGGTGAGGAAAATGTGTCCACAATCTATCTTGGTATGAGGAAAGGACTATCATACATATCAATTAATGCTTTCCAGGCCATACCATTGGTAGATATGCAGAATTTAAATAAAAAATCATTTTAACTAGAAATCTGACCAGTCAGCAAGGGCCCCGCCGAGGGGTAGAAATATAAGGGTGCAGATTAGGGGATGAGAATTTTACTTGATTAAAAAAATTTAAATATATATAAAGAATAAGCAACAGCAACTGCTAAATATCCAACAACCTGTAAATAGCATCCTTGTATTTACATAAGGCAGTAAAAAACATCATATCTATAATAACTCAATTAAATGTATATTTAAAGAAGAATGAAGCATGAATGCCAGCCATCAGTGAATGCAAATATCACGGAGGCTTGACCTTAACTTCAAAACAAATATCAGTTGCAGACAAAGGTGTTAATTAATCTTAAAGTGACAGAAAGATAACCCTCTAAAATGTTCTGCAAACCAGCAAGATAATCAATCCCAGGGGATTAATTATACTGCTCTCTCAACCTTTTCTTCTAAGTTAACAATAAGAACTTTTTCAGCAATGATAGAATGAGGTTATTATCTGAATACCTGTTAAAATAAATACATGTAGTATTCTTGAATTTACATAAGGCAGAAAAAAGAAAACAAAAAAGAAAAAAAAGAAAATAATAAAAAAGATATCTTTATCTACATGTATATATTGTTTTTAGAATTCAATAAAATCATAACTCATTGTGTATTTTACCAAAATAAAGTATGAACATTATTTAAATCCACATTTCAGAGAACATGTAAACATCATTCAAAATTGACCTTAACTTCAAAACAAACTTCATTTGCAGACAGAGGTGTTAATTAATCTCAATGTGACAGATAAAGATAAATGCTTTGGATTTTCTTCAAGAGGAAAGTTAATTAATCCCAAGTGACTCATTGCAGCCTTTCACAGTTTACAATAGGAACATTCTCAGCAGTTATCTCTCTTTGCCCATTCACTCTTATATAAAGTTAAGAAATCTACCCCCACCACCCCAGCTCCAAACCGGATGACATAGAGACCCAAACTTAGCATCAAAATATGTCTTACTGCCTATTCAATCAACATACCAAATTTGAACTTAACTGGTCAACCCTAAGAAAAGTTATTAGAAAAAAACAGAAAATTTGTGGACGAAAGAATGACAGACGGACAGACAGATGGACAGACAGACAGAGTGATTACTATAGGGCACCCGCAAATCCTTGCGGGGCCCTAATTAAAATAAAACATAAAATTAAATCAAACAAGAAAAAAACAACATCCAAAATAAAATGAAAGAACCTTACCTGAAATGGAACATCATAAATTTAAATTCTGGGGAATTTAGAGTTCAAAAGATTGATTTTTTGTACAACAAGCTAAAGTCTCAAAAAACAAAATATACCAATACTCCACTGTTTGTCTAGGCACTGGTTATTTAGAAAATCTTGTCATAATATTCACACCAATTTTGCCAAAGAAAGATTGTATATGTAGTACAGATTAAATGTATCTGACTAGTCACTGCTTGATTAAGTACTTCTGGTTTCATTTCAGTAAATTTAACATTTTGTTACAGAGAAAAATATTGCTACAATACTGGGTGAATTTGGTTCGAACATACTTTAAAATTTTATGCAAGGGAAATTTTGAAAAGTTGTCTGTCTTGTTGTAAAAGTTAAAAACAAGAGGCCCATGGGCCACAATGCTCACCTAGGTACATGTACTTAAGCCAGCTGTTCTTCAGAAGATTCCCATATAAAATTGTGACCCAATATTATAACCCCACTCTAACTCTGAGTGTCTCTGAATCCACACAACATGGAGATGCTACAATATCATTGTGATTAAATTGGCCTTGCAGTTTGGAGAAGAGAATTCTTTTCTGTATACATGCATTATGTAAGATTTGATCCCTATTTTAGCAAACTCTAACCCACATTGCCCAAATTGTAGGAAAAAAATGAATCCACTCAACTTGGGAATGTTTGCATATGAAAAGTGCAATTGTGGTTCTTGAGAAGATTTTCTTAATTTATTTCATATAGAGTCTCTTAAGCTTCTGGCCCAGTGGTTCTTGAGAAAATATTATAATGACCTCTGCCTATTTTTGCCTTTACTTGATTATCTCCCCTTGGAATACGACGTGGCCTTTTATTTGAACAATTTAAAATCTCCTTCACCAGATGTTGATTTGTGCCATTTTTGTTTGAACTGGCCTAGTGGTTCTTGAGAAAAATTCGAAAATGTTTAAAGTTTACAGAAGGACGAACAGACAGACAATCAGACAGACAGACTAAGGGTGATAAGAAAAGCTAACTTGAGCTTTCATCTCAGATCAAACACTGGTGCCCCCATAAGACAGTCCATGGCCAAGGTTAAAGTTTCTCAATTGCAAGTAAACTCCAAGATCAAGGTCAACAGGTCAAAAATGTTTGTACCCAAAGTTAGGGAAAACCTGTATACAAAATATGAAAGCCCTAGCACCAACCATTCAAAAGTAATGGCCCAGGTTAAAGTTTCTCAAATGCAAGTCAAACTCCAAGGTCAAGGTTAAAAGGTCACAAACATTGGTATCCAAAGAAAGGTCCTGTATAAGGAATACACATGTGAAGTATGAAAGCCCTAGCACCAACCATACAAAAGTTATGACCCTGGTTAAAGTTTCTCAATTGCATGTCAAACTCCGGGGTCAAGAGGTCACAAATGTTGATATCCAAGGTAAAATCTTGTCACAAGAAATATCATGTGAAATATGAAAGCCCTAGCACCAACCATTCAAAAGTTATGACCATCGAATTAAAGTTTTTCAAAAGTAGGTCAAACTCCAAGGTCAAGTCAAGAGTCCAAATGTTTTTACCCAAGGGAAGATCTTGTCACAAGGAATACACATGTGAAAAAAGAAAGCTTCAATCATTCAAAAGATATGACCAAGGTTAAAGTTTTTCAAAAGTAAGTCAAATACCAAGGTCAAGGTCAAAAATGTTAGTAACGAAGGGAAGATCTAGTTGCAAGAAATACATTTGTGAAAAATAAAATCCCTAGAACTAACCATTCAAAAGGTATGGCCAACGTTAAAATTTGGTAAAATTTTGCAAGTGGGTCAAACTCCATAGTCAAGGACAAGAGGTCAAATATGTTTGTACCCAAAAAAAATCTCTGGCCAAATGGAATACACTTGTCAAATATGAAAACCCTAGCTCCCACCAATCAAAAGTTGTGGGCAAGGATAAAGTCTTTGCACAGACAGCAGACCAAAAACTATATGCCCCTGAATCTTTGATTTTTGGGGGCATACAAATGCAGAATATCTAACAAATGAATGTAAACAATACTCTTCATAATCAAGTCTTATTGCATAACTACAATATATAACCAGTCTTATGCAATTTAAGGTCAGAAAACACATTCCTCTATAATATATAATTTCCCCAAGAATTTGTCATTAAAGTGTTGCTACTTAAACAACTTTACTCACAAAAAATGAGGTACCTTACCAGACATTTGTGCAAGGTACCAGTGTTTTCTATATAATCCTACTGGAAATCATCAGTATTTCTTTTTAAAGCATTTTGAAAATGGTTTAGAAATTATAAGATAATGATAATTATTAATATTTTTAATACGTTACTAAGAGATACAAAACAGATATTCAAGGAATGTGTCATCTGACCTTAAAGGACTTTTGACATATTCTTAAAACATTGTAAAATGACTTTTACAGAACAGACTAAGGGATGAACAAATGGACAGGCAGAAGGTCTTGCAAATGTGGATACATGCAACATTATACCTAAACTTTCTTTAGAAAGTGCTGGTATAAATACATGCAAGTCCCAATCCATAGGGGTAACAATAGGTCATAGGTCAAAGAAACCCTATCATCATTGCTCTGTTTATCATCCTCCACTGTACAGTGTAGAACCCCCTCCTCTGAATACCTATCACCAATCAAAGCTATATTTTTTTAATTTTGGACTTGAGATAAATACTGATTTATATTGTTGTTGTATACCAATAGATCATGAAGTTTGTATTTTGGAAGTATATAAAGATGGGGTGTTAATTTTATTTTTCTTGATTTTAAGACACCTTCTTTGAAAAATTGATGTGACTAGTATTTTGGTAAATGCATAAGTGTAACATATGTTGAATATAAATGAGTGCTTCATAAAAAATATAGCTTTAAGATTTGAATACTATTACTATGTTAGAAATGCAGGTAAATAGCACAAGAAAGGCATGCAAGAAGCAAATAAAATGAAATATATCAGTAGTGCAATCAAGATAAGCTCAGCTCCAGATCATGAAACAGACTTAGATCAAAATCAAAATTATATACATCTATGAGATGCTTATTCACTGTGAAGTGAGAGTCAAATTTTGCAGATATCAACATTGGTTATGCAATTTTAATAATTTATTTATTTTGCACTGCATTATTTCTATTAAATCTACATAATTTCAGCAGAATATGTAGATTTTGACTAAAGTCGAAATTCTTTCAAGATCTTGGGGCCAAGCTGTTAGTATGCTACAGCTGTATATGGTTTTATTTATGGTTTATTGGCAGGTAGCACAAAAAACACACATTGTAACATGCACGCTATAAAAAGATAAAACTTTTGAATTTTTGGATAATGAATAAATCATAAAAAGATTTGTTTTAAATTGCTAGTATTGATGACTCATTCATTTATTAGATACATAATATTTTATTGCTTCCTCTTGGTAACAGGAGTGACACATGTTGAGATTTAAAGTTGTATTTCCTTAATTTCAGATTTAGTTAAATTCAATCTCTCTCATCTATACTTAGGATATATGCTACATTCCTGGATGAGTTAAATCACAGTTATATGTAAAAATACACACAAGTTGAGTTGCAATGAGGAGTCTGGTGGAATAAAGGCAAAAAGAACTCAGAATCATTCCGAACTAACCTTCATCATAGCAAGAAGCCAATGTCAGAGCAGATAGCCCTTCCAGGTGCTCAATTTCATTTTTTGGTTCACCAGATGACAAAGTTTTGCCAGATTCCAGAGAAATTTCATCCTTAGCACCTGCTTCAATCACAGTCACTTCTGTACTGGATGCCTCCATTAGTTTGTTAGGATGAGTTCCAGCTATGTCAATAGGAATAGTATCATTGATCTGTATGAAATCCCATCTTCTGTCAGGTCCAGAGACATTTTTATTCTTAATTGTTGATTCCACTGATTGTTTATCATCTTTCTCATGTGTATCCAAACCCATTTGACCATAAGCTAAATCAGGTTTGTCTGTCTTACTTGTTAACCTTTTGTCCTTCATGTTAGCAATGCTTAGGGGACTCCTTTTGCTTTTTTTATATGTTGACAAGTTCTGCTTCTGAACATTTCCTGTGGTCTTACCACTGTTTCCTGAACTTTCTCTGTCTGCGGTTTTCTTTACATAGTTTGTTTTCAAAACTTCTTGAGCAGTTGAAGCTTTTATTTCAGGGTATTTTAAAGTTGCACTTTTAGGGGATTTCTTCAGAGATGAACCTCTTGGAAACGTCTGATTTTGGACAGTGTCCTCACCTAATTGTCTTTGAGAATTATGAGAATGTGTTCCCTTCCTTAGTGACTCATCAAACACTTGGTCACTTCCATTTTCTGGTCTGTTGTAAGTAGGCTCACTTGCAACATTTCCAAGATAATAAGGTTCCTCTGGTCCGTGTGCTTTCCAATAAGGTCTTTTGCTTCCATAAGTTTCCCTTTCAAAATAATTACTATGGCCTCTTTTGGATATTCCAAGACCTCTCTGTAAATTTCTGCCTCTATCTACCATATCATAGCCTCTACTCAAATCTCTGTCTCCTTCTGGAATTCCAAAGCCTCTCTGTGAATCTATGCCCCTACCTAAAATCCCATAGCCTCTCTGAGAAATTCTGTCTCTTTCTGAGGTTCCATAGCCTCTCTGTGAATTTCTGCCTCTTTCTGAAATTTCATAGCCTCTTTCTGAATTCCTGTAATCCCTATGGTTTTTCATGCTCATCCTGTTCTCATAATTTCCCTCATTAGAATTCCACGGTGTTTCTCTCTCAAAATCAATAGAATATGACCCCTGTGGAAAATATGCATTCCTTTCCCTAGGATCATAACTACCAGCATTATACACTGATTCTCTTGCTGCTTGGTTATATCTAGATGGCATTTGCCTATCTCTGTGTGGGTAGCCTCTTCTATGTAGATCATAGGATTCTTTATCAGATTCTCTGGGCTGTACATGATATTGTCCATGTCCTGAGTTATAGACATGTCGGAAGTGGTTCATGGCTCGCTAAGAGAGTGTACAGATCAATAAAACTAAAGAAAACAAAAAACATAAAAATCTATCAAACAAAATGTACTATATATATATACTATTGTAATCAAAATTAAGCACAAACACTGGTTAGGATAAAGAATTTGAGCCATCAGTATTTCTATGTATTTCATCTATAAAAAAAAACATCAATATTTTGACAATCAAAGTAGCAGACTAAGGATCAAGCCAAAGGTGCAAAAAAAACTGTGTCTCTTTAAAGGAGTACATGTAGAGTAATTTGTTTGCAACACTACATGCATAAATACTTTGCACATGTATGAACTATAGCATAAGCAACAAAGCTACAATATCACTGTACTTACCAGTGTGAGAAACATCAAAACAAGAATGTTATCTTTCTGAAGGAAGACCATGTTATTTATTTTCAATTTTAAGTGACATAATTTAAAATGTTTCATAGTTTTCTCTTGTAATACAAAGAAGATGGGTGGAGAAGGCGAGCCGATTGCCTATTCATGAATGCTTGCTTTCGGAGTGAATCGGGTATTTAAATTCCACGTCGATTTACCTGTGAAGTTAATCGGATATTTAAATTCCACGTCGATTTACCTGTGCGCTATGTTTTGTAAAGCTGTGTACAAAAAAGATGTCGTGTCTTGTGCAGGAATACAATTACATTTTTATATATAGAATCAACACAATATTTGTAATGGAATTTAGTTTATTTTAAATATATAACTAATCAGATAACTCATCAGAGTCAGTTTGGTTTGCACCTGCATCACGAATGCTTGAAATAAACTGATCCTTCGCCCTAACTGTATAATTACACTGACGACGGGAGTATCCCAAATACCAAATAACCCTACAGACGTGGGCGCAACACCCAACAGTACGAGCACCAGATTTACACTGGCAGTACCATCCACAAACACTGCTCGTAGTGTACTTTATCCAGAGATTGTAAAGGGTACTGTTTCGATGTCTAGATTGGATTCTTGTGTGAATTAATCCGGTTTCAATTTCAGATACATCAATGTTGTACTGTCCGTTTTCTGTGTGCTCCCTGACATATGAATTTGCCTGTCGAATTTGATAGACTCCAAATATTAATTGTCTAACTTCATCTTCACTAAGGACGGGAAAATCAAGAACAGCATCATGAGCATCTATGCTTTTCCAAGATTTTGAATTTACCGTAAACCTGTGGGCGTGATTTCTAGTGCACAATTGTTTCAAAGCATTTGCGTTTTCTCTGGATTTTAGTAACATTTTGAAACCAAGATTCAGATCATCGTCATCATTAGTTTTAATTGGTGGTCTGTATTTATTTATGACGCTACATACAATTCGAACGAAATCTCCTATGTATGGAATTTGACTATTATGAACAACGTTGTTTAGATATTGCCATTTTTTTATCCTCACGTTAACTGCCTCGACGACCCAACGGATTTTGGTTACTAATCTGGACGAATTGGCTTCGGCTGTAGAATGTTGTTTACTTGTTTTAGATAAGAATGATGGCATCTCTATTTGGAAGCCACATTCTTGTAAAAAATGGACCGAATCCCTAAAGCCTCTGTCTACAACCAAAACATCGTGTTCCTTAAGAAAACCCATGAAATTGCCAGCATTTGTTTGAACAATATGTGATAAAATGGAAGCATCATTATTCCGGCCGTTAGCAAAGAAAGGCCCTACTACATCTACGATATATCCATCTGTAGCTGTGATTATGAAAGGTTTCACTAAGGGTCGGTTTTTGTGCATTGAATAGGTAAGACGCTGGAATTTGTAAGATGAACTTTTTTGAATATAAATATATGTTCCATCTAAGACTAGTACAACAGTGTCTGAAATGGGATCTGTGAAAAGTTGCTTGGATATATCTGTAGTGTGATGGTTGACTATTCTATCTCTGGAAACATGTTGGAAACCGAGATTGAGGGGCACGAAATCTTTTACCATTGCCACGCGAGCACTTTTCACCACTTCAGCTACTTGACGTCTTGTGCGCATTCCACAGAGTGTGGCAAGTATGCCATTTGAAAGACCAGATTTCAGTTTAAAAAGAAGTATTCCAATAGCATTCTTTATTGATCTCATTTTTGTATTTCTTAGAGATGTTGTAAATGATGTAATATCAAAGAAGTTTTCTTTTGAAAGTCCTAGCAATGTCATGTAGTCTTCATCGTGTAAGTTTTCAAAATCAAGCTTGTAAGTTGTTAAATTGTGCATGGCTCTTGTTCTGATTTTTGTCAGCAAGTCAGATACTTCTTGTGATGTTAAGGAAGACATTTTCTTCCTGTAAGAGGTCACATCTATGGCTTGATTTGGATTAAGGTTTTTTCCTATTAAATGTTTTGGACAACACTTGCATCCAACTGGTACAAGCAGCCCAAACATTACAAACGAATCGATTCTAGCTTCTGTTGGAATTATTTTCAGATTTATTTTACCGTCACAAAACGCACACTTACTATGTGACTTTCCAGCTGAACAAAAAGGAATTGTGACTGAATTAGCAGTAGTTTTTGGTCTGCCCTGTACCTGTTTAGCTATATCAAGTCTACAAGGATTACAAATTTGGCTGTTTTTGTCAATATGTAGGCCTTTTTCGCGAAGAATCTTCATCAGACTTTTACTTACAGGGCGCTTTATCTTCCCTTTCACTTGTTTTTTACATACACAGCAGCCATATCGAGCCGGTGGACCCATTGTTTACACACGTTAACCACATCTATCTGTCTATATCAGCCGCATATTCGAAAAGTATTCTTGATATACTTTTAAACACAGATTTAAAAAAATGGAATTTAATTTATCCTAAAAATTATTTAGCAAATTACTCTTGTAAAAGAAGTTAGAATTAAGGTAAAACAATGTAATAAAAAAAAAAAAAACAAACAAACAAACAAACAAACAAAAATACAATAGCATATTCGAACCCCCGATGCAGCGACACTTGATTTAAAACCCTAGCGCGTTACCACTACACCACACTGGATCATGATAATAGTCGGTTAGAAAAACATAGTTTGTTTTGCGTTATACGGACTTAGAAATTTTTCAGAGCAAAAAGACAGATCTCATGTAGGAAAAGTTGTTTTTTAACATAGAGTGGGTCTTGACTCCATTTTTTAGATTTCTGAAAATAAAAGATTTTTGTTTAACGCATTTAATTCAGTAATTAGAAAAATGGAGAGATGACCCACTCAATGAGAAAAAAATTTTTTTTTATTTGTTTTCTACCACATTTTAACACATTTATTGGTTCACGGACATTTGAAAAAAAGATGTAAGCAAAGTCCTGGTCAACAAAAAGTTATTAAAGGCTAAAATGAGAAATTTGGAATACTTTTAAATAGAAAATGAACAATTTTTGGCAATTTGAGATATTATTTTTTACAGTTTCTTAACCGTTGCTTTGTAGGCATTCTGCCCGCCTTAACCCCCCATCTTCTTTATAACAATTGTTATTTGATATGTTCACTGCATAAGGGGCAAGATCAAAAGTTCATATTGTACTCAAGAGTTCACTGGTATTAGAATTTTTTAATTATAATTATAAATAGTTAAATATAACAAATTTTCATTAAATAAATACTAGTATAGTCAAACCTTGTTATCTCAAACTCAATGGGACTGAGAATTTTTTTTTAATATTTGAGGATTGAGATATCCAGGCTAAAATACATAAAGAATAAGTGTATGGGACTTCCAAATCACTTCGACATAAGGATGGGGTTGGATAACAATATTTAAAAGTGAAACTAACTTAAAAACATGCAGGTATCAAATACTATTGCCTATACAACTACATTAAAGAATGTTTATATATTATCTATATACATGTACTACATACAGTATTTATCTTTACTTTTTAGTTAATTACATGTCATCTATCAAATAGTACCTTCACCAATGGTCAGGATAAATATTAAAACAGAATCGTAATACTAATAGTAATTAACTTGATCGTCTTTTTATACATGTATACTTGCTGTTTGCTACTTTCTGGTCATTCAATACAAAGCTAGCAAGCTAATTTGACCAGCACACATCGAGCAATCCATCTGAAGCAGCTGTTGTAAGCTGAAGATGCCAACTTTACAGTTTAACAAAATAATACAAAGAATTTGACAATCCCTTCACTGAGCACACATGAGTCATAATACTAATGCATAGCAGATTCAACAGACTGATTTTAGAATTTGAAAGAAAATGGTGTTTATTTCCTACTCTATATGTTCTGACATTGACTCTATATGGTGTAGAGTAACATGGCTCTTACTACTGTACTGTTTCCTGCAGATAGTATGTTAACTAGACCTCACATAGAGGGATTTGGTATATTATTATTTTATTAGGATTTTCATAATCATATACTTTTGTGGAATCACATGAACCATAGATATTTCATAATTTAACTAAAACAATAATGAAGAGAATTCGAGAACAGGCCGGGTTATATCTGCGACAAGAGAAAGTTACTCTAACAGTTCCATGCCATAGAGAACATGAGACTGTGCAGGCTTCTTTCCGTTTACTACAGCTAATTTGCATAAAATGTCATATCTGTTTTTTAACACCGTTTAATCATATTAAATATCTTAATTTTTTTGTTTTACATGTTTCTGCATTAAAGGCATCATTTTCTTACCCCAAGTATCACTCTGTTTCTTTTAATAAAACTCAGTCTCTGCTCTAGGTCATATGAGTCAATATATTTTGACAATATGATTAAGTTAGTAAGATCCTTTTAAGTTCCATTCATGAAGATTGTTCCACATTACTGATAGATCCTTCACTGAAGCAATCTGTGCGAGTGGATCAGATCCACTTTGATCCACATGGTCTTATTTTAATTAGATCACATGGCAGGGATGGGATAATCGTAATCGAGTAATCGTAATCGATTGTAATGATTACTTTTTTCCAAGTAATCGACAGTAATCTGTAATCAAAGAGATTTTCGATTACTTGTAATCGTAATTTAATCGATTACAGCTAAAATTTTCAATGTAATTATAATTACTTTTTCGATTACTTTCAATTACTTTATACATAAATGAATGTTATTTTGGAGAATTATTTCCAGTCAGTCACACATAAATAATCAAATATAAACCACCTAGTGTAATGTTTGGATTTCCTATTAACTTTTATTATCATAAGTTTAATAATGTTCTCAATAAAATTTGCATTATAGACCTTCTGGTCAAGTATTAAATAATTCAGAAGTGTATTTCAACCATTTATTAATAAACCATACAGATTTTTCGTGTGCATTTTACATTTGACCCATTGTCCTCTTGCTGCATGTCCTTTTTCATATTTCAGATGTTGAAAAACTTTGTCTTGTAATAGAAAATTATAAATAGCAAAAACAGATTTAAGTGCTGTATTAAATATAAATAATTTGGTAAATAAACTTTATTGTACTCGAAAAAAAAAGAAGATGGAAATACATGTACTTATTCATATCTGAAAATGTTTAAACAACTTCAAACTTGTGTTTTAGTAACTTTAAAGATTGCAAAATCATTCTCATGTTTTCATTCAAAATTGTAAGGTTGCTTTTATATCAATGAGAGGTTATAAGTGTCTGTAATAGAGGGAGTGTGTCACTGTGTTTGCTTATCTTAAACGGCTAATCAATTGACCGAGACATCCCTGATTTGCAGATAATGAGGTGTAAACTGTGAACTACCTAGTGTTTAACTTTCATTCCATTGAAGACAAACAGTATAATTAAAATAATTAATAGCTCTCAAAACACTTATTTCAATACAGAATGAAATTGTGCTAGTAGTTGAATTACTTCAAGACACATTTAATTTACATGTTTATTACTAAGAGTTCTAATTTACTTATTTTTTTTTAAAAGACACATACAGGAATGTTTAATGTGTACTGTCAACATACGGGCAGCCCAAATACTTCTAATGAAGTAATTCACAATAAAGACTAGTACTAAATAATTTTTGCAACAAGTCAATAAATAAAGAGGTTCAGATCCAAGGTTGAAAGGAATAATTAATTCCTTGGCATATTTTATTGTAGGAATCATGTCTCCACTTTCCATGGTAGAGAATCCCTCATTTGGGTATTTAGTGAGAATATTAGCCAGAATAAAACGTTAAAAGAATCTGCACTGAAACTGCAGGAACACATTCAAACTTCAGTGGATAACATCAACATTTACCATTTAAATATTGCTTTGATATTTGAAGGGATAAAAACTAGGAAGTAATCGATTATTAATCGATTACATCTTCCAAAGTAATCGATTACAATCGATTACAAGACAAAAATGAGTGTAATCGATTAATAATCCATTACACAAAATTCCTCTAAGTAATCGATTATTAATCGATTACATTTTTCAGTAATCGTGCCCATCCCTGTCACATGGGTTGTCATCTTCTTACTTTTTGGCTCCTTTACCATAAATTAAAGTATAGGAATGGTCAAAAAGTAAGAAGATGACAACTGATTGTCATAAGCCCATCTATCAGTTTGTACAATTTTTTGTATGCGTTTTTGTTCGGTCAGATGACACCTCTAATGTTACCCCTTTGGATCGTATAGACTTACAGATCAGCAGACCTTTTCACAAATATCTTACAACTAAGATAAAAATTTTTCTACTTTCCATAAAGTAGCTCATCTATAGTAGGTCACAAAAAATCTTATATTTCTAGTACATCAGGATATATTGTAAATTAATAGCGAGGGCAACAAGTGGCATAAAATGCCGCTTATCACTACAAGCTCTTACAGCATCTCTTGGGCGAAGAGAAAATTCAGACTGTGCACATTAATCCAAATATTTTTTTTTTTTCAGCATTAAACTTAGTACCCATAATGCTCCATAATATTATACTGTGCTCAAATGAATTCTTGCGATAACCAAAAAAAAAAACTTTTACAAATAATAAACCTTGATTCAATGAATATTGTAGATAGATGGTAGATTTAATGTTCTTTGTTAACAAAATTAAACATTCCAGACTTTATTGAAATATGCAACTAACAATATAAGATGTCATGTGACATCACAGTTTAGACCTTCCAAATGTCTCATGCAGTTTGAAGAGGCAGATCTAAGTTAAAAGTAAATGGGTATGCTATCCAATAATATACACAACTGTGCTAGCTCCAACATTCACATCATCAACATATTAATCCTTTAGAAAAAAAAAAACACTTTTATCGAACAAAGAAATTAAACATTTATCAAATTTTAATCTAAGTCATCAGAATTTTTGTGAAAATGGCTACAGTATTATATTTAAGAAAAACATCAATTTAAGGAATCACTGTCTAGTTAGTAGAGTATACCAGGGCATCAACGATAGTTGGAAACGTGGGATAATTTGCATAATGGGCGAAGCCCATTATGCATAAATTATTCCATGTTTCCAACTATCATTGATGTCTCCCTAACTAGACAGTGATTCCTTATATTTTCATTTCATTTTGAAATAAAATATAAATTTAGATTTTAAAAATCTAGACTAATAGATTTAAATTACATGAGGCCTCACATGTCAATTTCAATAGTCCCCGCCCACTGATGTCAAACATAAAGACAGCCTCACGAGAATTACATGCATATTAGGCCTCCTTAGAGTCAGACACAAAGACAGCCGCACGAGAATTACATGCATATTATGCCTTCTTAGCTACTGACCTTTCCCTTGGCAAAATTTGCATTCCATTAGAATGATCAAGAAATCAACTCTCCTAACTTTCAAAGAGTTATCACAGAGAAAACAAATAGAAATGGAAATATATTGGTATCAATCACTTCAGGGTTTGAAATTAACTTTTATAAGTACTAGACCAATCGGGCTACTTCCGATAATTTTTACTAGCCCTGACCATAAAATCACTAGCCCTGACCAAACATGCAAATTTATTTCTTATAATCGAGAATTTTAATGAGGTAACTTCTGAAACCATATTTAAGAAAGATGTCGTCTTTTGCACATGTCAGTATTTTTGACAGACTGTTCTATAGTTCCCAGCCAAAATTGAGTGTGGTTCATAGGGACATTCAAGTACTATAAGCCTTAAAGAACATTGATGAATTAAATAAAATGATTATCGTAAATATTAATAAATTTAAAACTGTACTATATGTAAATTTTTTAACCATATTGATACTGAACGACAGTAGTTTCGACTGACTTGCCAGTTACAGTCGTGGCTAAAATAGGGATTGTGTTATACTGGGATTTCTTTTTATTTCATACAGCAATGGCTTCGGAGAGAGAAAAAAATTTCTTTAAAAGTAATTAGATTATTTATTTGAACACTGAAATGGGACTCTAACAGTTATTTTATCAACACGACCAATCAGTCTAGTTCAAGTACATTTTACACGACTAGACCACTCATTTAGCAGACTGGGTCGGTCGGACGTGCCTTAGTGTCAAACCCTGCACTTTACAAGATTGAATTTTTGTGCCTTCCTCAATGGTCTCTCATTTACCATGTTTACAAGGTGATAAATTATGTTTATCTGTCTTACCAGACACAGTTAAATAGTTCATTTGAAATACACACAATCAAAATAGCCTTTTAATATTATAGAGACATACATGTACACGATATACGTCTCTGAACACATTTTGAAAACATACCTTGTTGGCCTTCTGATGCTTTAAAAAATTTTGTGATGGACTGTAACCTGTACAAAGTGAATGTTAAAAAATTTAATCCCGTTTTACACAGCAGTGTTTCATTAAATCATACTCATATGAGTTTACACTCAATTTTATTGCATTAAGACTATAAAATAACTGTACATTACCTACTGGCCCTTCTGATTTTAATTTACTTGTACCAGAAAAATTTCATTTCAATTTCAGGAACTATATAAGTATATTTGTACTCTCGCACTTTAAATGTATCAGACTCGGAAACTAAATATCAATTTTCATCCCTTCAATATCATCCTATACATTTTTTTTTGTTTTTTGCAAAGCTTAATGCTAAACAATGCTAACCCCTTTTCTGGCTTTCGCTTTACCATTGCATGTCCCGAATTTCCTCTGATCGTCACCCGCCAATAATCAATGTCTATTAGACGCTTTTGATTCAGGTGCTGGATAGATCGTACGAAGTAAGGATCCCCCTTTGAACTTTCTTTAATGGCCAAAATAACTATGCAAGCCATGTTCATCCATAAACTTGCAAATAATAATAAGTGAAACAGAACTTTGAAAAATAAATTTAAAACATGCCAGAAAAAAATTTGCAGATAAGGATGAGAACACCTGTCCAATCATTTTGTTTCCAGAAACTGCACAAGTCGAGATGATTTTTTTTCTTGATATACAAGCAAAATACTGATCAAGAAACAATTAAATGCATTTATATAATTTTTTGTGTATGGTTTTCCAAAAAAAAATTATATGGCAAGGTTCACCAATGGTAATACTTGGATCTTAAAATTCTGGAGTCATATAATAAAACTGAAATTTTTCAATTTTTGCCAATAGTGATGTATATATCAATTGAGCTTATAGCGATAAATAGCCATCTTTTTAAAATATTGTGATTTTATGTCATGAAATGCATCTTTGTTTCGATCTGTGATTATTTCTTCTGTAATGACCAATCTTCCAAGCTGTTTCTGAAGCTTTTAAAAGCTGTTACAGCCTGACCTCAGATCCCAAAATTACGAGTAAATATTAACTGTTACTAAAATTTAAAACTGTAATATTCTCAGATCTTGGACTTGGCTTATTAAAAATCTTTGTGGAATTTAGTAAATATTAGTATTAAATAACAGAGTATCACTTAATACATGTAAAATAAAACAAACTGCATACAGACGTAACAAATAATATTTAATGGTTTGATATAATTCTTATCAACAAGTCATTTAAACTGTAAGAACAATTTATTCCCAGACATAATCAATAATGCACTCATTGTCTTGATTTCTGGTAAAATTTAGTTGCTCATCAGTTCTTTCTGCAGGAATTTCAGTGAACGATTCTGTTTTACAATCTTTCACCATATTATTATCACTGTCAGTTCCACAGTTTTCAATTGAGAGATTATCAGTTTTGTCATTAGATGTGGTTTTTGACTTTTGAGAATTTCCCTCTTTTTGACTCCTGATTCCAAAGAAGTTTTCTTTTACTATATGATACACACACTGCAGAATCAGATTCCTCTCCCTTCTTATGTCTGGTGCCAGTAGCTGAAAATACAACGGACATAAATTCAGTATTGCTGCCTCAATAAAAGACTATAGAATAAGACTACATGTAGAAAAATTTAGAAATTATTAAGAGCAGAGATTTAAGGAAATTCAAATAAAAAATTGTCTTTTTCTATGCTTCTATGTCCAATACATGTATTATTAAAATTGTGTGTCTTCAAAACTTGTGGCTGCATATCTTTTTAATAATCTGGACATCAAAACTGTGTGTAATAAATAATTACATGTACTGTATAAAGTAAATTTTCACACCAGTTTCACTTTCACCCTTTTCACTTTTGTGACAAGTGGATAAATTTAAAAGGGAGCGAAATCAAAGAAGAAACATTTATCTCTTTTACAACTGTATCTAGGTGAATTTAAAGTGGGGTAAATGGTTTGCAAGAGTGATAGGGTGACAATATTGTTATGAAAATAATATGGGGAAATAACCCTGTATTCAATAATAATGATAATATTAGCTGCAATAATGAAGCCCTCTCCAATTTTTTTAATTCTGATATTTTCAGGTTTACACATACAATGTGCATGTATTCACACAAAAAGTGTTTGAATGGTTTGTCTGATAGTCTATATTAAACCAGCAACCAAGCTATCAAAATAGTTACAAATGATATCTCGTATACACTTTTTAATAATCATAAAAGTACTTTTTAGTAGTATAGAAATACACATAGCTTTTCTTTTATTCTTAAACACATTGGTATTACAATTAAGGAGAAAGTAATTTGTTGACAATACTTTAATTTGTAATTGATAGATACTCTCAACAAATCAAAACATGAACAATATTTGAATTACTAAAGCAATAACATTAAACTTTACACAACATTGTAATTCGACCTTTTCCAGTAGGGTAGATTTGCGGACTTTGGGCTGACTACTGCCGTCATTATCTTGGCCATTTCTTCTCTGTCTCGTTTGTTTCCGTGATCTTTTATTCACCAGACAGGCTCTTCTCTATAGGGATGGGTATCGGTAAAGATTTCGTATTGTGATATATCACGATTTTTTCCCAAAAATATCACGATAAATCGTGATATTTTTACACTGAATTTTTAATACAATTTAAAATGAATTTCCATTATATTTCTTAAAAATATGCTATAAAAACATAACTTTACTTTTTAAATTTTCATTTATTTAGTATATAGCAAATTTTGATGCCGTTGTTTAACTGTTTTCAACCTTATTTACACTTCCTATAATTGTCATTCAATATTTTGAACAAATACATGAATAATTTCCGGAATTTATAGTTATGTACCAAATACCGGTATTTTAGGCTCCGTATCACGATACGTATCACGCAATGAAAAATCACGATATACCGGTATACCGATAAAATCGCGCATCCCTACTTCTCTACATGTTCAGCATCTTCAACAATGACACGTTTATCTGAAAAATACCATCAAATCAATAGCAATACACTGACATAAATTTTCAAAAAGTGTTCTCCCTGGTTTTTGCTTTCATAAAGCATATTACCCCCTGGCCTGCATTAGGACACTTACTTATTTGTGTGTCTGTTTGTCTAGCTATCTCCTCATCACTGTCACTATAGTTGGCCATCAATGTAGCAAGTCCTCCTATAGCTGACACTGATCTGTCCGACTCCTGAGTAACTTCCTCTAATCCTTCTAACATTGACAGTGGGTCCCCATCAAATTTCTTCATGCCTTCTTTATCAACATTTTCCTACAGCATATAGTGTTTGTCCAAGATGCAAATGGCAAAAGTGATAGTTAATTTGTTTTTCTTTTAGTTCTGTCACCAAAAAATTAAATGGAAACAATATGAATGCATGTGTTTGGGTTTTGGATAAAACATCTCAAAAATTTAAAGAAAATTTCTGCATACTTTTGATCTGGAAAGGAGAGTCTTTGAACAAAAGTTAAAATTTTAGATTTAAGTTCAGACCTAGATATGTAATATATTCTAATGTGAGCAAATGACAGCATTCAAGAGATAATTCTGCTGTTAATCTGTTACCTTTGCAATGGTGACCTCTGACTTGGGGGGACTTTCCTTCTTAACATCTTCTAATGAGAAGTTATTCCTGTTGTTCTTTTGTCTCCGGTTTCTCCCTTTTCCAAATCTTTCTCTCTTTCCACCTTTATTCTTCATTTTACTGCAATTTACAATGTTGACTAATTCACATACACAAAAAAATATACATTCTTAAAGAAGAATGGCTCAAATTGGTTGAGTTAATTAAGGTTGTGATTCAATATATGAATTTTTTAAATCTCCAGATTTCCTTTTACTAATACATAAGTAAACAATTAAGCTATTCAAAATTGCTACTTTCAATTTTACTTATGATTTCATTCCCCCATCATGTATAAGTTAATTGGAGTGTATTTAATTTTACAAAACATGTTTATAAATACAGATAAATGTATCTACACATCAGTGTTAAATGATTCATCATTAAAATTACTCACCCAAATGTTTTGGTTTCTATAACTTCACCCCTGGCTTTTTTCTCCTCCAGAATTTCTTTCTTTCTCTGAACATTTTCAGCAGTTGGAAAATTTCTGCATGAAATAAATGGAATTTATTTGCACATGAAACATAATTAACCATTTCAGATATATTTTCTATACGAAAGATTAGAGAAAGTTTTAACTGCAAAGAGTGTAAATTATGTGGAATAGGTAGAATTTTACTTTCTCCTTTCTTGTCTCCATTTTTCAATGTCCTCCGGGGACTCCAGTTTCCATATCTTTGATGCTAGCCCACTAAAATGTTGCTAAAATCAACAAAATCAGAAATTATAAAGTTGTATGCCTATGATACATGAACTTCCCTCACCAAAAAGAATTATATGACAAGGTTCACCAATGGTAATACTTGGATCTTAAAATTCTGGAGTCATATAATAAAACTGAAATTTTTCAATTTTTGCCAACAGTGATGTATATATCAATTGGGCTTATAGCGATAAATAGCCATCTTTTTAAAATATTGTGATTTTATGTCATGAAATGCATCTTTGTTTCGATCTGTGATTATTTCTTCTGTAATGACCAATCTTCCAAGCTGTTTCTGAAGCTTTTAAAAGCTGTTACAGCCTGACCTCAGATCCCAAAATTACGAGTAAATATTAACTGTTACTAAAATTTAAAACTGTAATATTCTTCAGATCTTGGACTTGGCTTATTAAAAATCTTTGTGGAATTTAGTAAATATTAGTATTAAATAACAGAGTATCACTTAATACATGTAAAATAAAACAAACTGCATACAGACGTAACAAATAATATTTAATGGTTTGATATAATTCTTATCAACAAGTCATTTAAACTGTAAGAACAATTTATTCCCAGACATAATCATCAATAATGCACTCATTGTCTTGATTTCTGGTAAAATTTAGTTGCTCATCAGTTCTTTCTGCAGGAATTTCAGTGAAAGATTTTGTTTTACAATCTTTCACCATATTATTATCACTGTCAGTTCCACAGTTTTCAATTGAGAGATTATCGGTTTTGTTATTAGATGTAGTTTTTGACTTTTGAGAATTTCCCTCTTTTTGACTCCCGACTCCAAAGAAGTTTTCCTTTACTATATGATACACACACTGCAGAATCAGATTCCTCTCCCTTCTTATGTCTGGTGCCAGTAGCTGAAAATACAATGGACATAAATTCAGTATTGCTGCCTCAATAAAAGAATAGAGTAAGACTACATGTAGAAAAATTTAGAAAATATTAAGAGCAGAGATTTAAGGAAATTCAAATAAAAAATTGTCTTTTTCTATGCTTCTATGTCCAATACATGTATTATTAAAATTGTGTGTCTTCAAAACTTGTGGCTGCATATCTTTTTAATAATCTGGACATCAAAACTGTGTGTAATAAATAATTACATGTACTGTACTCGTATAAAGTAAATTTTCACACCAGTTTTACTTTCACCCTTTTCACTTTTGTGACAAGTGGATAAATTTAAAAGGGAGCGAAATCAAAGAAGAAACATTTATCTCTTTTACAACTGTATCTAGGTGAATTTAAAGTGGGGTAAATGGTTTGCAAGAGTGATAGGGTGACAATATTGTTATGAAAATAATATGGGGAAATAACCCTGTATTCAATAATAATGATAATATTAGCTGCAATAATGTAGCCCTCTCCAATTTTTTTAAAATCTGATATTTTCAGGTTTACACATACAATGTGCATGTATTCACACAAAAAGTGTTTGAATGGTTTGTCTGATAGTCTATATTAAACCAGCAACCAAGCTATCAAAATAGTTACAAATGATATCTCATATACACTTTTTAATAATTATAAAAGTACTTTTTAGTAGTATATAAATACACATAGCTTTTCTTTTATTCTTTAACACATTGGTATTACAATTAAGGAGAAAGTAATTTGTTGACAATACTTTAATTTGTAATTGATAGATTCTCTCAACAAATCAAAACATGAACAATATTTGAATTACTAAAGCAATAACACTAAACTTTACACAACATTGTAATTCGACCTTTTCCAGTAGGGTAGATTTGCGGACTTTGGGCTGACTATTGCCGTCATTATCTTGGCCATTTCTTCTCTGTCTCTTTCGTTTTCGTGATCTTTTATTCTTCAGTTCACCAGACAGGCTCTTCTCTACATGTTCAGCATCTTCAACAATGGCACGTTTATCTGAAAAATACCATCAAATCAATAGCAATACACTGACATAAATTTTCAAAAAGTGTTCTCCCTGGTTTTGCTTTCATAAAGCATATTACCGCCTGGCCTGTATTAGGACACTTACTTATTTGTGAGTCTGTTTGTGTAGCTATCTCCTCATCACTATCACTATAGTTGGCCATCAATGTAGCAAGTCCTCCTATTGCTGAGACTGGTCTGTCTGACTCCTGAGTAACTTCCTCTAATCCTTCTAACATTGACAGTGGGTCCCCATCAAATTTCTTCATGCCTTCTTTATCAACATTTTCCTACAACATATAGTGTTTGTCCAAGATGTAAATGGCAAAAGTGATAGTTAATTTGTTTTTCTTTTAGTTCTTCTGTCACCAAAAAATTAAATGGAAACAACATGAATGCATGTGTTTGGGTTTTGGATAAAACATCTCAAAAATTTAAAGAAAATTTCTGCATACTTTTGATCTGGAAAGGAGTCTTTGGACAAAAGTTAAATTGTAGATTTAAGTTCAGACCCCGATATGTAATATACAGGTGACTATCGATCTCTCGAAGTTCAAGGGACCGTAAGAAAAGTTCGAGAGATCGAGGGGTTCGAGAGATAGAAAGTGAATAAAATCCGGAATTTTCAGTTCCGATCATCATTGTTCAACTATTATAAATACCGGAAGTATATGTTGATAATATCATTGCACATTTTCATTCGTATTTTATAGGTAATTCACTTGATTTCAACGACAATGTTCGTATTTTGAATAAATAAAACGATCTCTTTAAGTTTCAATATTTATTTGTTCTCATTTCATGATTACATAAAACCTGAATAGCAATCGTCGGTGTGGCTACCCCCAGGGCTTGATCGGGTCCTTTATCAGATTTCTCGTATTAAATCGGTATTTAATTCTTGAGATAGGATTTCTTGTGCAATGTTTGTCATGCTGGGATTATGTACACTCTAATAAAACTTCATAATCTATGGAAAATTATTGACACGCCTCTTAAATTATTTTCTAAAAATTTTCGTCTCGCCGTCCAGTCAAAATAAGTTGTGAAGCAATTCGTTTATAATTTACCAATTATAACCAATTACTAATTTATATCAACACTCGGAAGCTCACAGGTATGGTGTCATCTATGTAAACACCCAATTAACACCTCCACGCCAGCCCCAGGCGTTCACTTTTATCCAGGTAAGTCCAAGCTGCATTAGTTTTACGCTTGATTGGCGTGTACACACGCGCAATCAAAACTTCGAGAGATAGAGAGTAAAAAACAATGAAATATGTGTAACGGGACCCAGGTCGTGGTTCGAGAGATAGAGAACTTCGAGAGATTGGAAGTTCGAGAGATCGGAAGTAAATTTGCTTAGTTATATAGAGGGAAAAAACGGGACCGGAGGTTCACTTCGAGAGATCGAGAACTTCGAGAGATCGGAGTTCGAGCCATCGAGAGTCACCTGTATTCTAATGTGAGCAAATGACAGCATTCAAGAGATAATTCTGCTGTTAATCTGTTACCTTTGCAATGGTGACCTCTGACTTGGGGGGACTTTCCTTCTTAACATCTTCTAATGAGAAGTTATTCCTGTTGTTCTTTTGTCTCCGGTTTCTCCCTTTTCCAAATCTTTCTCTCTTTCCACCTTTATTCTTCATTTTACTGCAATTTACAATGTTGACTAATTCACATACACAAAAAAATATACATTCTTAAAGAAGAATGGCTCAAATTGGTTGAGTTAATTAAGGTTGTGATTCAATATATGAATTTTTTAAATCTCCAGATTTCCTTTTACTAATACATAAGTAAACAATTAAGCTATTCAAAATTGCTACTTTCAATTTTACTTATGATTTCATTCCCCCATCATGTATAAGTTAATTGGAGTGTATTTAATTTTACAAAACATGTTTATAAATACAGATAAATGTATCTACACATCAGTGTTAAATGATTCATCATTAAAATTACTCACCCAAATGTTTTGGTTTCTATAACTTCACCCCTGGCTTTTTTCTCCTCCAGAATTTCTTTCTTTCTCTGAACATTTTCAGCAGTTGGAAAATTTCTGCATGAAATAAATGGAATTTATTTGCACATGAAACATAATTAACCATTTCAGATATATTTTCTATACGAAAGATTAGAGAAAGTTTTAACTGCAAAGAGTGTAAATTATGTGGAATAGGTAGAATTTTACTTTCTCCTTTCTTGTCTCCATTTTTCAATGTCCTCCGGGGACTCCAGTTTCCATATCTTTGATGCTAGCCCACTAAAATGTTGCTAAAATCAACAAAATCAGAAATTATAAAGTTGTATGCCTATGATACATGAACTTCCCTCAGCAAATACTTTATACAATCAGATTTCCCAAAAAATTCAGCAAATTGAATGACAGGACTCCTACTTACTGTTCTGTTATGGAGTCTTACAAGTTTTGGGTGAGCTGTATAAGAACAACCTTCATGGTGACACTAAAAAGTACAGGATCTATTTTCACTACCAATTTCAAGAAACATATGAAAAATGAACATTATAAGTAGAGGCTTAACACCAAAACGAATATTTTATTTGATGGATCTTTACAGTATTTCTTTTGAAATATGATTTCGTCATTGAAAGACTGATAAAAGCTTTTAATTTTTTAAGTAAAAAAAAAAAAATAAAGATACATGTGTGAATACAAATATTGACTAATTTTAATGCTTATATTTAGGACATTCAGTAATTCTTCACGTCTTACCTTGACGTGACTCTGAATGTGTTCCCTGTATTTCTCCTGCATTTTAAATCCTCTGTCACAAGTGTCACAGAAATAAACATTATTTTCTGCCAGATCTCTTTTGTCTACTTTAGGCTTCTTCTTCTATATCAAAATAAATGAAAATTGATGGTTAAAAAATTTTAAGACAACTCAAAATAAAGCTAATGAATTGTTCCTGAATACTTTTCATGCACAATGCAATGGTATGTACATATATGCTTATACATGCATTTATAACATACTTAATTTCAACAGACATTGTATAACTCAGGGTTGTCCCTAAGATCTGAAATAGCAGCTAGGAAACATTAAAAAAGTAGAAGGGAGTCAGGGGTTCCACTTCTAAGAGGGGGCTGTGGGAGAATACCAGAATAACCTGAGGATTATGTCATAATAGGCGGGGAAATTCCCCAGTCCCTGGGTCTTAGGTAAACCCTGATAACTCAGGGATTTTTTAACCCTTTGATTCCAGGGGCCGGGGCCGTCAAGATTGGGAAAAATAGCGATATTTGGTTGAAATTGGGAAAAATATCTTCATACAAATAAATAGGAAAAAACAAGCAAAAGTCAAATATTTAATAATTTTTCTTTTTTTATAGTATGAAGCTGGCTTAAACCAGCTTTAGTGATACGAAATAATAGCAGCTGTTGAAATTCAGAAGCTTAAAAATGGCAAAGCCACAGGGTATGATAACATTGTAAATGAACATATTTATACGTCATCTTTATTACCTTTATGCAAGAAGTTCTTTCAAATAACATTTAATAGTGGGTTTGTTCCAGATGAGTGGTTAATCGGTATTGTTTGATCAGTTTATAAGAATAAGAGTGATTCAACACAGCCTGAAAATTACCGTCCTAAGCAAACTGGAGAGACTGACATGAGCATGATGCACGTTTATTTTTCAGATAACGATCCCAACTTTAATTTTTAAACATCGATCTCGCTTTAAAAAGTATGCATGCAAAGATCCGGAGTATTCCGAATAACTTCTCGAAAGTCCTCGGGTGGCTGGTACATCGCACATAGAGAACATAAACACCTTTTTGTCATTATTTTATTTTAATAATTTACAACCTAATACTTTTTTTTTCATATTGGGAATTTTTAGGTATGATTTTGGGAAAAACATGCACTTTTCAGCATTGGGAATGGGGCCGAATTTCGGCCCCAGAGAGACCCCAAAAAAATCCCTGTAACTAAAATCAAAACATCTAAAAAATAAAGCATACCATTCTGTACAAAATTAAAACAATTTTTCAATGAAGCACTGACCTTCTTCTGAAAGTGCTCCTGGTTTCTGTTGGAATCTTTTGGTAGATTGTTCCAGATATTATTGGACCAAGGTTTCTTGTTTCTATTCTGATTGTGATTTGCTGTACTACCATCCACACCATTACTTGTGAAATTCCTATGACAATTCAAGTTAATTCCATTTTGGGAAGTATTTCCCCACTGACAATTTTGACTTCCATTATTCTGCCAGTGGTGTCCATTCTGTTGGTGAGGAGCAAATCTAGGTGGAGGGTTTTGCCACTGTGGATTAAACTGTTGTTGAGTAACACCTCCATTTTTGACAATCTTTTGTTGTCCAGAATTTGGTGTAAACATGTCTGAATCTGCATAGGAAATCTGGTGTCGGGGAGGTGGGGAATTAAAGTTAGGTGGAGAATGAAAGGTATTCTTGCCAAAGTTTGCTGCTTGCAGTCTTCTCGGACCATTATTGAAGACATTCATATCAGAGTATGAAACCTGCTGTCTTGGTGATGGGTGACGCGGTGGGGTATAGAAGTTATGATGATTTGGAGATAGACCTCTTTGATGAAATCTGGGAGAAAAGTTGGAACCATTTGGACACTGAAACCTTGGAAACCCAGGCATTGTCCTGTTTGGCTTATTCTGGAAATATTCATTATATGTCATAAAAATATATAATTTTATTTACCACAGTCCATATTCTGATACTTCTACCCCCTTTCCTTTTCAAGTCACAACACATGGATGCAAATTAAAATGTTGATGACAAGTAAAGCTACCTCTTTGCAAACACATAATACTATAAGCCAGTATAATATGTAAGGTCAAGAAAGGTAAATAACCTGTACAGAGATATCCTGAAATGGCTGAATCAGTCAATCATTCAATGTTTTGATTTTCGTTCAGCCCATGTGCTTTAACAGTAACCGCGGGACTATTCCGCGCACCTGCGTTTCCGGTTAAATGATTGTTTGGATCAATCAATTTTAAATTTTGCAGAATAAATGAATCATTTTAACCATTATCTTTTTGTTTTTTTTCACCCCATCATACTTGTTTGTTTTTTTTCCATTTTTTTCTTTTGGAAAGTTTAGATGGTTATCTTTACTGCGAAACTCCTAGTGTACACTTCCGGCAAAACAGTTTGTTGGCAACCAGAATGCCAGGTAAGTTTTTGGGCATTTATTTTAGATTAATTTACAATCTTTCAAAATTTTATGCATAAGATAAGAGAAAATAAAAATTATCCTTCTATCTGAAATGGGAAATCTCGAGAAAAATTATTTAATGTGGGAAATGACTGTACAGAATAGGTTTGTTAACAGTTTAATTAAGCAACTTAAGAGCAAAAGAAACTTAGAATGATTATTCATTCTAATAATTTACCTTTAAAACATTATGAATTAAAAAACAGCCCCGAAAAGATACTCCGGGATTCACGATGCTGTCAAAAATGGAGATGTATTGGAGCTGGAGTCTATGGTAAAAAATGGTGCCAGTATAAACGAAGTTGAGGAGGCAGACAAGTTTACTCCTTTACACACTGCCTGTAATAGTGGGGCATTAGAGGTAAGTACACTGTGTAACCTCCTACCCATCCCCAGCTCCCACCACCACCCCCACCCTTTCCTATTTACCCACTAGAATTTTGACATGGTAGCCTTGTTTTAATATGATGCAGTTTGCATGTCAATAAAGGAATTTTTTTTCAGTTTTGTGAGTATTATTGGTGTGTGAATCACACAGACTTGTCACATAGGCATATTTCATGAAGCCTCTAAGCACTTCTTGTAAACAAATGACTATGTGCTACTGCAAGTCTGTGTGATTTACACACCAATAACGTTCAGAAACTGAAAAAAAAAACATTCTGTATATATTTATATTTTAAAGCTTTATAACAATGAAAAATACAGTCAATGTTTGAAATTTTTGCTGCCCTATATCGCTATCTATTTTTTAAAAAATTCCATTGTGTCATTATGACGTTACTGTAACACACATTTCTCCATGTATACATGTATTTCTATGCCTGACTATACAGGAAAATGGTATCAAATTAATTTCATAGTTGGCCAAGTAAAAACACAGCAAATGTAAATATTCAAGAGTGGTTCCAAGCAAATTCACTGGATAAGACAAGGTTCAAATAAATGCATGAGGGAAGAAAATATATGGAAGGCATTGCAATTAGTTTACAGAAATGTTTCTGATTTATTGAATTATTGTATCCATTCAAGACGAATGAATTTTGAACTAGAACTTCAGTCCTACATTTTCTCAGATGTCCAAATCAAACTTTACCCGCCCATTTCATTGTCTATAATTAATTTTTTTTTACTAATAACAGATGGAAATGATGTAAGGTGCATATTTCCAATCTTGCCAGTTAATGTTCTGCAGTCTTAATTGCTTTGGTGAAAACCAAGAAATATGACAAATGTATAAAAGAAATTGATTTGTATTCAAGATTCTTTAGCACATTTTTGTGCCAACAAATGCTACCATCTCCTGACAGTCTTGCAATATATGTTTTATTTGCATCCATCTATATTTGTCAGTGTGTTCATTGGTTGCTTTGGCATGGAGCTGATGCCACAGTGACCACAACAAGAGGTTGGACCCCAGCCCACATCGCAGCAATCAGAGGCCAAGATGCCTGCATGCAGGTAAACGATCAAATTAAGATGATCTTTAAAGCTAAATTTCAGTGTGAATTGAAGAATATTTATTAAGCCATGTTAAACGATGGATATAGATGTTCATGAATGTTGAAAGTCTAGTAACTGTTCATGTAATGTTCTTAATTTCATTTTTACACATACTTAGGCATTGGTAAATAATGGAGTCAGCATGTCTTCAAAAGACTCAAGGGGAAGCACTCCAGCTCATCTAGCAGCTGCTCATGGAAACTCTTTCACACTCAACACAATCTTAAGGGCTGGAATTGTAAGTATATATTCATTAAAATGTACATTGGTTGTCAGAATAAATATTATAGAAGAATACATGTATATTCAAAAGGGCTTAATAAACCTTGCATCCAAGTCCGGTAGAAGGACCCTGTCCCAATGGAAATTTACCCTTTTCCCCAAAAATTTAGGCAAAAATTCCCAAATGACAACTAGATTGAGAAAAGGCATCGATATTTCAAAATTTTGCCTCTTTTTGACTTAAAATTCAACTAAAAGGATACATAGAGGACCCTGTACCAAAAAGGGTCAATTAAGCCCTGTTCAGGTTTATAGAATAGGACAGATTTACCAAGTAGGTAAATTAAAATTTTAATTCTTGAAGGATGTGAATGCAACAGACAACTTTGGATGGAGTTTGGTTCACTCAGCAGCTTATCACGGCCGTCTGGGCTGCCTTCAGTTATTAATCAAATGGGGAGCAAATATAGATGAAGTGGACAAGGTTGGAAACACACCAGGTACTACTTTAAACATTTATTTTCCATAGAAATGGTTTGGAAGGTGAAGACATCAAGTACTTCTCATGCATTATCTTCTCAACAGAAGTAAACACGTACATTGTGAATCACATTTTTAATGCAAGAACTTTATTTTCATATATTTACATTTGCAAAATATTAATGCTTTCCTTTATATAACACTATTGAAAGCAATGTGTATCTATATCCGTATAAACACGGGTTCCTCATAAACATTCGACGTAATTTCTCGGTGACATCATAAAGGGTCGACGCACAATCAACGGATCAAATACGTGCCGTTGAGTTTGAAAAATAAAACATTTCATGCGTTAAAGATTATAATCAGGAAAATATAAAATATGAATAAGTCATAAATGTAAATATAAGTAATAATGTATCATTTTTAAACATCTATCGGAATATAAATACGGGTTGGTACGAGATCAAATTTACCATAAAGCCCATCGGGCTTTATGGAATATGATCTCATGACCAACGCGTATTTATATCCCAATAGATGTTTAAGAATGATACATTATTTCTTAAATAATTTCGTGAGAAGAAACAAAAATAAAGTCTCTTGAATAATAACAAGAAGTAATTTTTACTTATTGCGCAGAGGATGCAAGAAAAAACCCCCCAAAAAACAGAAAATATGGTACTTGATGAAATATAAGTGATTTATAACATGTTATTAACTTTATGCCATTGTTATGGCCCTTTGATCTTTGCAGAATATTGTCATTTTCATCAGGCATCATGTCAATTCCCTGTCACCTTGTATGATTTCAGCTCACTTAGCTGCTGGAGAAGGCCAGCTTCCCTGCCTGAAGTATCTAGTCAGTACAGGTGTCAACCCTTTACATGTCCTGGGTGCCAGGAATGACCAGGGGGAGACGCCCAAAGATCTGGCCCAGCAGTTCTACAAGGATGTCATAGTGGAGTATATTAATGGGATAGAGTGGGAGAGGGACCACCCAGAAGAGGCAGAAAGTATGTACTACCTATAAATTAACAAAACTAAAGAGTATTCTACTGTAGAATCATTGTATTTCATTGAGGTTCAAATTCTGAAGATATTGAGAATACTCCTTTATATAAACAAATTTACAACCTTGACAAATATTGATTTAATATTCAAATAAATCAGATCTGCTAAAGTTTATTTTGCTTTCTCTTTGTTAGACTTGGCATTCCCAGCACATGTGGCAGCTTACACAGGAGACTTAGATCATCTACGCATGTTAGTGGAAAATGGAGTAATCAACATAAATGAAAGGGATGAGAAAGGGGCCACTCCAGCTCACAAAGGTAAGGGTCTCAAATAGAGACAGAGGCAAGAAATCAAATTCATTTTATATGTTAAAAAAATATTTCTGTAGTTTAGGTAGCAGTATCCATCACACAAATAACTGATTTTTTGTTTGGCTTTTGTAGCTGCTGGAAATGGTCACCTCCATGTTCTTCAGTGGTTAGTGGAGATGGGAGCCAACATGACTATCACCAACCAGGCTGGAGAGACCCCCAGAGATGTGGCCAGAAGGTTTGGTCAGCTGGCCTGTGTCAAGCTTCTAGGAGGAGATCCAGGTAAAGAGAATTTTTATGAAATATAAAGACTTAGACCTTACAATTTTAAAATATGACATCATTAAAGTATGAAAAATTCTACTGCAGATCTGAGCCTGCATGAAATTGTGTCATAGTAAGATGAGCTTAATATATGAAGTTGTCCTTTCATAAAAAATCAAGATTTTTTTTCCTCTAATGTTGACCTATATACAATGACTGGTGAGTTTGTATTAAGGTGTTTCTTTGTTTATAGAGGAGGACACATCTGTGGTGGTGGGAGAAGAGGATGAAGAAGATGGAGAGGAGGATGTAGAGGCCAGCACAGAGGGAAGAGGAGTGGCCCAAACAGAGAGGCAAAAACAGGAAGCAAGATGTAAGTATCCCCTTAATATGTACTCCTCTTTATGTGTACTCAGTGTATGTGCATAGGCTCATAAAGAAGTGAAATGAAGAATTGTGATACATTTTCTCTAATGTGAAAGTATTTAGTTCTCTGTAATGTGATGTTGAGATGAAACTTATACTCTCTGTGTTACCTAAAAAAGAATGTACCCAAATTGTGGTGCAAATTATCAGATTTTAGAATAAAATGCTCATGAATATAATTGATATTTACAGCCAGGGCCAAGAAGCGAGTATCTGAACTTGAGAGGATGTTGGAGATTGCCAAAAAGAACTACACACAGCTTGGAGGAAGACTGGCAGAGGACAAGAAACGTATGCAGCAGATCAGGGACAAAGACAAGTAAGACAAATCTCCTTGCTTCTCAACAAACTCCACACGGATTCCTCCTCAAACATTTCCTTCCTCCACAACAAAGTTCATGGTCTTTAATAAGCTTCTACTTCTACCTTCCCCAAAAAACATCAGCCAAACTTCCTTTCTCATCAACAAACTTTTCATTTGTCAACTCAACAAACTTTTTGACAATCCTCATAGATTATCATTTATAAATGAATCTTGCATACTTTAGAAAGAATAATTGCAATAAATCAATTATTCTAGAGATTAAATAAAGTATGGTTCTTCTAACACTCCAACAAATCATTGCATCATAAAGATTTTTCTTGAATGGATGATATATAATTACTTCAGAACCATCACTGAGCTAGAGGCACAACTTGACTATGAAAGACTGAGAAGAGAGAAGCTAGAGGCCCAGCTAGATGAGTACAGAAGAGAAATAGCTGAGATGAAGTACCAACTACAGACCAGGGTGTATGGAGAAGAAAGTGTATGTAAAAATATTCAATTCTCTTTTCTGTAAATGACCATAATTGAAAGATTTATCTCCCAAAGTATAAAAGAATTAATCTGCTCATTGAATGCTTACTTACAAGTTATATTAAGCTGATGATAATTTTTAAAAAATAATTTTGGTAATGTTTTCTTCTGGGAGTTTTGACTAGTATTTCTTTTCTTTCTTTCATTAATTTGAGAAATGTTTATTATGTACATGTAGATGTAGGAGAGTACAAAGTTAAGTTTTCAGGTGTTAGGTACCATGAAAGTCTCAAAAATGTTTGTATACTGTTGATTCTCATTTGAGCTTTTTTTTCCTTGTAGACTGATGAAGAAATTGAATCAGTAATGGCAAGAGCTAAAAAACATGGGAAGAAATCAGGAAAAAAGGGATCACGACGCAAGACAGATGATGAAGAAAGTGGAGTTTTCATCAAAAGAAACATGTCCAATCCAAAGAAAGGCAACAAGTACAGAATAGTTTGAATCCAGTAAGAAATGAAAGATTTGAAATTCTTGCTTTGACCATTTGGAGGACTATGTCATAGTGCATATAAACTGAAACTGGTTTGTGCTCTTCGGTTCTGGTAGGGAGACACTAACATTGTTATCTCCAAGGGTTTGTAGTCAAATATGTGGTAGACTTTTAATATTAACCAGGGGTTTTCTTTTTCATGGTAATTTTAAGTAAAAAAAGAAAATAAATAAATTCCTCTTCAGGGTACGGAACTCTGTACATTCTGCACACACTCTATGGATATGCCTACAATTTTCTTTGTTATACATGTACATTATATATAATAGTTAAGAACTGAAGAAGTAACACATACACTTCAGACAGGACAATTTTTCATTGTAAACTGTGATAAATATATTATTTTATGTATAATAGTGCATTGATTTTATAGATGTTACTTTATGTATTTTTGTTTATTTTATGTTGGAGAATGAGTAAATGAGGGAGCAGATGATTAATCAGTGTGGATTTTTAAATTTAAATATCATGTCAAACATGTCTAATATCAAAGGAATTTAATGTTTAAAAATATTTTCATTTGTAAAAATCATCTTGTAGGTAATTAATGTACAATTATTTGAAAACTTATTTTAAAATTTAAAAATGATAAAAATAAAAATTCTATACGCAACTGAAGGAGTTTGACGTTGATTGTTTACAAATTTCATAGACGTCAATAAAGTTACCATAGAAACTGAAATAAAGGTCATTCAGAAGTCAAAAATACCGCTTCTTACCCAGGAATTTGTCATAGAAGAGATTTTTTTATGTCCCATCATGAATATGGCCTGTGCATGGAGTTTTGTCTTGTGCATCTTTGTATTAAGCTCAATTTCAAAGAAACTTCAAGATATTTTTATTAATATTCATACATAGATACATTTTGGTGAGAGCTGACCTTAATTATAACCTTCCCTATGACCTTGACATACTTTCCCTAAGTTTTTATCTTACTTTCCTCAGTTTGCAAGTCGATTTTTATCATAACGACATAACATTACATACACTGATGTGTACATGTATTGGTGAGAGCTTTTTTTTACTGTGTCATACTTTTCTAACGTCAACCTGCCCTTGACTGTACTATTTCTTATTTTGGGTTTATCTTAGTTTCAAAGATACTGTTAGAGATATTTTTTAGGTCACCTGAGTCACTCAGGTGACCTAATGCTATCCGTTTTCGTCCGTCATTGTGAGTTAACGTTTGAACATTTTCAGCTTCTTCTCTGCAACCGCTGAACCAATTTCAACCAATTTTGGCATAGAACATCTATGAGTGAAGGTGAACAAAATTTGTTAATTTCGTGGTCCCTGTCCCCCAAGGGCCTTAGAAGTGGGGCCAAAACCATCAAAATCTTCTCCTTTACTCCTGGACATCAAGCAGTCAAACTATTGGCATGATTGTGATAAGCATTGAGCCCTCTACCAAAATTATGAAATTCATGGACCCTGCAGGGTCAGGGGTTCTGGAGTTAGGGTGGGGCTCTATATATTGATCATATAGTGAAAATGCATAAATTCTTTAAATATCTTCTTCACTTCCCCTCTAACTAAAGCAGATAAACTAGGTGAGGGGTTATGATGATCAAGGGTTCCTCTTCTAAAATTGTGAAATTTCTGGCCCCGGTCAGAAGTCTTTTGGAGGGGGGGGGGGGGGGGCTCTATTTATTATAAAGTGAAAGTGCATTATTTATTTGAAAATCTTTTTTCTCTGCTCCTAGGTATTTATCTTGGCCCCTGGGTCAGGGGCTCTGGTGTTAGTGTAGGGCTCTATTGATTATATAGTGAAATTGCATATTTTTTTTAATTTCTTCTTCTCTACCCCTATATATAAAGCAGATAAACTAGGTGCATGGTTATGATGATCAAGGTTGCTTCTTCCAAATTGTGAAATTTGACACCCCAAGGGGAGAGGTTCTGTAGGAGGGGGAGGGGGCTCTATTGATCAGTGAAAATGGATTATTTCTTTAAATTTTTTTTCTTTGCTCCTAGGTATTTAGCAGATAAACCAAGCATATAATTATGATGAGCAAGGGCACCTCTTCCAAACTTATGAATATCTTGGCTCCTTAGTCAGGGGTTCAATGTTAAGGTGGGGCTCTATTGATTATATAGTGAAATTACATTAATTCTTTGAAAATCTTCTTCTCTGCTCCTGGGTATTTAGCAGATAAACTAATTTCATGGTCATGATGATCAAGGATCCTCTTCCAAAATTGTGAAATGGGGCCCCCGAGTCAGTGGTTAGTTGGGGGAGGGTTCTATTGAATATACATGTATAGTGGAAATGCATTTTTTTTTTTGTTGAAAATCTTCTCTGCCCCAGGGTATTTAACAGAAAAATTAATTGCATAGTAATGATGAGCAGGGATATTGAATTTTGAAATTCAAAACCCTGGGGTCAGGGGTTTTGGTGTTAAGATGAAGTTCTTTTGAATATATAGTAGAAAAGCATTATTTCTTTGCAAATTTTCTTCTCTGCCCATTGTTATTAAGGAAACATACTTAGTGCATGGTTGTGATGAGCCAGAGCATATGTTTCTCCCATTAACAGCTTCTCTCAACTTTTTCAAATTTTTACATGCACTCAGATCAATTACCTGCTATATCCTTGTAAACCCAAAAAGAAATTAATGGATTTGGCAGTGCTATGATTCCCAATCCATGGACCCTTTAAATAACAAAAGAATAAAATATCCAGATAATTGTTAAATTTTTGGAAACATGATGTTCATTGAAAAATAATACACTTGTACCTTCAAGGTGCATATAGATGAATTTTGAAAGGATTATACATCTAAGCATATACTAACCCATTCATGTTTCAAATGCATGTAACCTGTATCTTTTATATTAGAAATCATCCTGCCATATAATGATAAAAGAACTAATTTAAGTTCATTTTGTATGCGTCTCACTACATACATGGTCAATCCTTGATATTTCAAACTTGATGGAGCAAGAAAAACCTTCAAGATATCCAAATATTCAAGACACAAATTAAGATATTGATAAATGAGGTTAAAATAAAGAAAAAGTGGATGTTTTTAATTAGATACTGATGTTTGACAGCATGTGAGACATTCATCAATTGAAAGTGAGCTATTTTATGTTTGATTTATACTTTTGCACCACATGTTACCTTTTATATGACCTATGGACTCCCAGAAACTACATGTACCTTATTTAAGTTGGAAAATTTTAAAATGAAATAAGCGTCGATCATGATATTTTCTATTTCTAATTACCATTCCAGTTTAAAATACTGAATTCATGTACAAAATCTCTCAAAGACCTTATTAATAGTCTGTACTTATAATTAATTAATTATTAACCTCAAAGTTGCCATGGATGAGCTTCATGACATACTAATATCTGTATGAAATTATGCAAGTTGGGCATGATGTTAGCCAGCCTTTATATCATGAAGATGATACTGTACATGTACATAAGTTGGTGTGTTTAAAATTTAGCGCAATCACTGGGTATAGAATTGTTGGCGAAATCATGAATTACATGTCCGTGCCGTATATTGTATTTATAAATGACCTCTTAGCGGTATTCATGAATTAGCGGATCGTTGTCTGCGCCAAAGCCGCTAAAATAAGAAGCCCGCTTTTTTAAGTACATATACAGTATTTCACAAGTTAGTTCTTTTGTTGACAATGAAGCATGTTAAATAAGGTTGCCAGGGGCAATCCCATCTTCCTAATTCCTCACGGATTCCTCAGTCCAACACACTGTAAATGGTCATCTTGTTTAGCTAAATGTTATATCTATTTTTGTTTGTAGTTGTGTGTGTGTAACACTGATCTCAAGGGAATTTCCAACTCTCAAACACCTTTGAACCTGTTGAAATCTTTGTTAGTCTTATACATGTTGCTCATTCTTACTTAACTATACTAAATACTAAAAATTTCAGTGTTTCTCTGAGTTCAGAACACATTAAAACACAAATAAAGGTCAACATTTTATTTGAGTACAACAACCACCTGACAAAGTGTTTGTTTTAATATCTTAACAAAGCCTTTCTTACATAACCTGCTGATAATTTCAAAAACATGGAACAACCTGCATATTATTAACTAAATAACTAATGATTTGATAAAATCATTAAAAACAACTAAAAGATTCAAAACAAAACAAAATCAAATCTAAATTTACATTAACCATTGCAAATATTTCAAACTGAAAGACACTGAAAGAAAAGTTAACATTTTTTCCAGGTGAAAATTACTTCTCTTTACTATCAACTTTTCTTCACCTTTAACTTTTTTCATTTTACCTTGACGAATGTTTTTCAAATCGGAGAAAAAAAATAAAAATCACTATTAAAGAATATGGTTGCAATAAATATTTTAAGAATCAAATGCAAATACATATCAAAAGTGCAAGCCAACTGAGGTAATTCAAAAGTGTCTTGTATTATCTAGGAAATGCTATGGGTGGGTAGGGGACAAGGGGGAAATCCAAACACCACAATACCAGGTAGGGAAACTAATACAGATCTAATTTGCTTGATATGTAATTATGTGCATTTTCACATATCTTTATTAATCAGATTTACATGTTTTAAATAATAAACAGCTTTTTTTTCTCTCTCTCTCTCTCTCCAAAAACCACTGTTGAAAGACTTTTGTGATTTACAGAGCAAGATTCCAAAACGGGTCAATTCGAATTTGATTCATAGTTGAAATGAAGGCACGCAAATATACTGAAGTAAAAGACATTAAAACACAAATAGAACATTATACAGAAAAAAAAATTTGCACTTGGACTACAGGCAGTGCAAAGGAGGACAAACATGAAAAAATAAAATTAAAAACTGAACAATCAAACATATACAAACTCAGAACTGAAGTATCTGTGATCACACACTGTTACACATGTGTGTATTGCTGTTTAGTTTCAGTTTATAATGTATGTATATAAAAAGAAAATAAATAAGTACGATATGAGTGAAATAATGAAGAAAAAAGAGTATGATATGAAAAAACACAGATATATCTCCCTGTCAAAGACTGAATTCAACATTTTACAATCTTATCTCAAAGTTGGTACATGTAGTAAAAGTACTGCATGTCCCACCCAACAACCTTCAGTTAATGCAGACACATCAATATCCTGGGTACAAATTAAAGACAAATGAATGAAACAGGCAATAAAAAAATTCATGAATAAAAGCAAAATGATTAAAGGTAACAACATGTATGATTAATAACATCAAATAAGTGAGAAATGAAAAGGCAAATAATATAATGTATACATAAATGGTGATATCAATGAACCAAACTCAGAGCAACTGCACATGTACAATGTATTCAACTCCGTTGCTTAACAATACTTCTTCAACAAAAATCTCTTGGATCCCATGAGCTACTTTCAACATTTAACATACATGTGTTCTAATTTTTAGAATTCAGTGCTCACATATATCTCATTGCCAGTGTTTTAATCAAAATGGATATCAAGAAAATAAAATTGTTTCTCAAACAAAACACTTATTCTGAAGGTCAATAAACTACCAGTAGTTGTGAAACAAAAATTCTGTTATCTACACAAATCATTGAACATACAGTATAAATCCCTCATTTACACAACCTAAATATACAGATGTTCATCTTACTGATAGTTTTTGATCTCTGGTATATTCCCTTATTTTATTCCACTTTTTACATGACAAGGGAAATTTGAGAGATGAATCTCAATACATGTAGAAGAATACCATCTGTCCATCAATTTCATTTGTCATTTTATCTATTCATAAGAAACATAAATTCTGAAACTGGATTGAAAAAAAGACATTTTTTATTAGCATTAAACACCAGTGAATTTAAACACTAGATTCAGACCCTATAGACCAGAAGACCAGTACATACATGTACATACACAAATTGTGATACACAGCATGTTGTAGAGCACATGAAGAGTGTATATAATGCCATCCAGTACAACTATGTTTATGAACAATAAAACTTATATTTGGCATCAATAGAAAACATCTACTTCATTTGCCACATGTGTTAGAAATAAGGATGTAACATTTATTTATACTTACATGCTGAATTAAAAAAAAAAAGTAAAAAATCACACTTGCAATCATTTTTCAGTAAAAGTTGAAATTCTATATTAAGAAACTGGTTATATAGCAATTAGAACTTAAAATAAGTTTTTAACTCCTTTAACAGATTCCAAAAGCCAGCTGTATATGTTATCCTTAAATAATGTATTATGCAAAAATGATTGATATAAAATCACCTTTTAGAGACCTTCTTAATATTTCAATAAAGCATTTGCCATTTTTAGAACATTATACATGATGTAAAACCCTTTTGAGCAGTTTTTTGATTAACTGTACATGTACATTACACAAGAGAACTTTGTTCCAAAACCTTTTAGAACTTTCTGAAGAAGAAATGGGAAAAATCACTAAAAGTATACATAACATACACCCAAAACCATGCAATGTTGTTTGTCTTCCCTTTTCCATCCAGTCTTGTATCCTGTATTTCATAGTGAGAGATTCTGACAAAATAGGTATGTAAGAGTTAATGCCCCTAATCTTTGTCTGATGTACTATTGTATAGAGCAAAATGAGCTTTTCTGTGTCATTGGTACGGGTTTGGCAGTTGCGTCGTGTTTTGAGTCAATAATTTCTGCCTTGACAACTCTCTGATGTTGCTCTACTTCTGGCTTAGTCAACCTGATTCCAAGAATTTCAGCTGCTACTCTTTGAAAACATAAACTCACCTGGAAAAAATAATTTAATCAAAGACTTGTACTTATTTATGACATGAAAACTAAATTAATGAAATTCTCATGACAATTCAAAAAACACTTGTTTTATAAATTGACTTGCAGACATATATGCTAACATGGTGTGTACATTAATTCTTCCTTTCTTTGCTGCAAAACGGGTGTATTAAATGCATTATGTTACATACATGTACATTGTCCCGTCCTTTCTGACATTATGTTACATACATTGTGTCCTGTCTAATCTGACATTGTTTAACATCCATTGTCGATGGTCTTGATCAATTTAGTGTTTTATATATTTTCCTTTCTTTTCTGACTCCTTGTTACATATATCGTATTTTCTTAGCTAACATTGTCTTAACTTTTACTTACATTGTCCCCTGTTTTGGCTGACACAAAATGGCTAGACATGCCTCTCTCTTGAGCAAACTTCTGATGCTTATCCATCTTTACTGTCCTCATGTGTTCAAGGTCAACTTAAATACAAAAATATACTATAGCTCCAAATCAAATTATATTTCTGTACCAAAGAATGAGATAAATTAAAACATATCTTTTATAATTACTCATTTTTTAACCATATCTAGCTACTATTATATCAACATTTAATATGAAAAAAAAAATTATGCATCTCCCAAAATATTGAATTTATGAAGAAAAAAATAACATGTGTTGTAAGCATATTTTTTCCCATAGAAAAACTAAAAATATGTCCATAGGACATGAATGCCCCACCCAGGGTTCATTAGTAATGCAACACAAAAAATCATTTTAGTGTACGAAGTTTGATGAAAATACCTTGAATAGTCTCTTTAAAACTGAGTTTAACACACAACAAATAGTAAAGTCAAAGGTCATTGGGAAGTTCAATGTAAAAAAAAATGAACACTGTTGATAAATTCTCATCAGTATATTAGGTTTGATTAAAATATCTTGAATATCTTGAATAGTCTCTTTGAAACGAAGCTTAATAAGATGTGAGGTCAAAGGCAAAGGAAAGGTCAAGGTCAAAAAAATGTTGATGCAGTTGAACAGCTCTCAACAATATATCTAAGCATATAAGATTTGATAAAAATATCTTGAGTTTTTTTTGAAATTGAGATAATCATTAAGAAAGTGAGGTCGAGGTCAAAAAATGTTGATGCAGTTGAATAGCTCTCATCAATATGTTACAGCATATGAAGTTTGATAAAAATATCTTGAACAGTTTCTTTGAAACTGAGCTAAACCCAAAAGAAGATGGAAGGATAGAAGGATGGAAAGACAGGGCAGAGGGATGGAAGAAGGACATGACAAATACTATATGCTCCAGCCATATTCATGGTGAGGAATAAACATCAATTTTTTCTCTATCTTATCAGTAACTGCATACTTGAGTTTCCCAGAAATATCAACCAATAACTGAATATTACGTCTTGAGTTCTTACTTTTATTGCCGACAAGTGCTAAGTGAGGCATCTTGGTGTCTTTTCCAAAGACTTTTTTTGCACAGCTATACCAGTCTTCCACATTCTCAAAGCTTGCAAGGTTTGTGATATCATACACCAAAAGAATACCCTGCACAAAATCAACACAACCTGTAAATTTTTAAAACTGAAATATTCTTGGAATGAAACGGAGTGAATGAATTTGTTTAAAATTCACCATGAAACATAATCATGACAGGACTTATCAATAATATCAATTAAGTAATAGTCTAAATGTGGACATTGAGAATTTTTATAAAAAAGAGTCCTCCTACACTTGATCCGTATACGTAGGTTTCTAGCATTTTCCCTCCCAAGGTTTGTCCACCAATATCCCACACCTGCAGGGCTACGTGGACATTTCCTGCAAAAGAGATGCATGTGATTACATGTACATACATTTACCAAAGACATAATGGATATATCATGTTCCTGCATTCGGAGAATTCATATTTTACTGTGAAATTCAATCAATTATGCATGAGATATATTTTAAAAAGTTGTAATTTACTCTAGACTGCATGCACATAAAATACAGGTACATTAGATTTATAATACCTGTCATAAAATCATCAGATTATTATCGAATTTTTTTAAATCAAAATATTGATTATATTGAGCTGAAGGTAAGAGAATTCTTATCACAAACCAGGTAAAACGATCCTCTTTAAGAAGAAATCCAGGCCGACAGTCTGTTTATAATTTCTCCCAAACTGCTCCTGGGAGTAGCGGGTTGCAAGAGATGTCTGAATTACAGTAAAATATTTATTAATACATGTACAATGAAAATCTTATCAAAATCTAAGATTATGATGTCAATTCATGTGTGAACATTTGGAAACTCAATTCAGCAAAATTTTCCAAACTTTCATGTTTAACTTTAGGTAGGATTTAGTAATATACCAGATACAAACCCTCCTTTCTGTTTCTGCACCCTGGTAGCTGCAGAACTGTATCTCTCTGGTTGAGAAAATTCGGACAGATAAACCAGAGAGCTACAGATCCAAGCATTGTAAAAACCTTCGATTTACGCCGCCGCTTTTTTGTCGCTCGCTTTGGGTATTATTTCTTGTATTTTATGTGTTCCCCCAATTTACAAATGGTATCCAATAATTATAATCATAAAATTTACTCCTATTCTTTATACTTTATTTACCTTTCAACGGTTCCAAATGTCCCTATGTGGTCTTAGAATATCATTTTAAAAATTCCCCATCCCAATGTCCATGTTGGGAGTCATGTGTAAAAAGTTTTTAAAAGAACATCCATCTGTCGAGAAAATGTGAATTAAAAAAGTCTGGAGGTTCAAGTATCATGTATATTAATTCACTTGTCTATAAAGAAAACAATATGTATGTAAAAAGAAAACAAGAGGCCCATGGGCCACATCGCTCACCTGAGTAACTTTGGCCATGCTGTTCTTTACCAGATTTCCCTCTTTTATAATATACCTATTGTGGCCCCGCCCTACCACCGGGGGTCAAAATTTGAACAATTTAGAATCTACACTACCTCAGGATGCATCCAAATATGTCTCAGCTTTATTGGTCCAGTGGTTCTTGAAAAGAAGATTTTTAAAGATTTTTCTTTAAGTTATATATTTCAATGTAAAACTTGGATTCCCTATTGTGTCCCGCCCTACCTTCCGGGGTCAAGATTTGAACAATTTAGAATCTACACTACCCCAGGATGCTTCCATATAAGTTTCAGCTTTTCTGGCCCAGTGGTTCTTGAGAAGAAGATTTTTTAAAGATTTTTCCTATATATTTCAATGTAAAACTTGGATTCCCTATTGTGGCCCCGCCCTACCCCCAGGGGTCATGATTTGTACAATTTAGAATCTACACTACCCAAGGATGCTTCCATATAAGTTTCAGCTTTTCTGGCCCAGTGGTTCTTGAGAAGAAGATTTTTAAAGATTTTTCCTATATATTTCAATGTAAAACTTGGATTCCCTACTGTGGCCCTGCCCTACCCCCGGGGGTCATGATTTGAGCAGTTTAGAATCTACACTACCCCAGGATGCTTCCATATAAGTTTCAGTTTTTCTGGCCCAGTGGTTCTTGAGAAGAAGATTTTTAAAGATTTTTCCTATATATTTCAATGTAAAACTTGGATTCCCTACTGTGGCCCCGCCCTACCCCCGAGGATCATGATTTGAACAATTTAGATTCTACACTACCCCAGGATGCTTTATATAAGTTTCAGTGTTTCTGGCCCAGTGGATCTTGAGAAGAAGATTTTTAAAGATTTTTCCTATATATTTCAATGTAAAACTTGCATTCCCTATTGTGGCCCTGCCCTACCCCCAGGGGTCATGATTTGAACAGTTTAGAATCTACACTACCCCAGGATGCTTCCATATAAGTTTCAGTTTTTCTGGCCCAGTGGTTCTTGAGAAGAAGATTTTTTAATATTTTTCCTATATATTTCAATGTAAAACTTGGATTCCCTATTGTGGCCCCGCCCTACCCCCAGGGGTCATGATTTGAACAGTTTAGAATCTACACTATCCCAGGATGCTTCCATATAAGTTTCAGTATTTCTGGCCCAGTGGTTCTTGAGAAGAAGATTTGTAAAGATTTTTCCTATATATTTCAATGTAAAACTTGGATTCCCTATTGTGGCCCCGCCCTACCCCCGGGGATCATGATTTGAACAATTTAGATTCTACACTACCCCAGGATGCTTTATATAAGTTTTAGTGTTTCTGGCCCAGTGGTTCTTGAGAAGAAGATTTTTAAAGATTTTTCCTATATATTTCAATGTAAAACTTGGATTCCCTATTGTGGCCCTGCCCTACCCCCGGGGATCATGATTTGAAGAATTTAGAATCTACACTACCCCAGGATGCTTCCATATAAGTTTCAGCTTTTCTGGCCTTGTGGTTCTTGAGAAGAAGATTTTTAAAGATTTTTCTTATGTATTTCAATGTAAAACTTGGATTCCCTATTGTGGCCACGCCCTACCCCCGGGGGTCATGATTTGAACAATTTAGAATCTACACTACCCCAGGATGCTTTCATATAAGTTTCAGTGTTTCTGGCCCAGTGGTTCTTGAGAAGAAGATTTTTAAAGATTTTTCTTATGTATTTCAATGTAAAACTTGGATTCCCTATTGTGGCCCCGCCCTACCCCCGGGGGTCATGATTTTAACAATTTAGAATCTACACTACCCCAGGATGCTTCCATATAAGTTTCAGTATTTCTGGCCCAGTGGTTCTTGAGAAGAAGATTTTTTAATGATCCCACCCTATTTTTGTCTTTTCTTGATTATCTCCCCTTGTAAGGGGACTTGGCCCTTTATTTTAACAATTTACACTCCCCTTCACCCAAGGATACTTTGTACCAAGTTTGGTTAAAATTGGTCCAGTGGTTCTTGAGAAGAAGATGAAAATGTGAAAAGTTTACAGACGGACGGACAGACGGACGGACGGACGGACGGACAGACGGACGGACGACGGACAATGGGTGATCAGAAAAGCTCACTTGAGCTTTCAGCTCAGGTGAGCTAAAAATGAGATAAAACCAATCGGGCGTGTTATTTTTAGCATTACACTAACATGGAGCTTGGAATGCATTTTTTAAAACTGATACTCCAGCTGTTTGGAATCGTTGAAAGGTAAATAATGTGTCAAAAATGGGAGTAAAATATATAATTTGTTATCTGATACCACGTTTGTAGCGTTGGAATGCATAAAATACAAGAAATAATACCCAAAGCAAGCAACAAAAAAGCGGCGGCGTAAATTGAAGGTTTTTACAATTCTTGGATCTGTAGCTCTCTGGTTTATCTGTCTGAATTTTCTCAACCAGAGAGCTACAGTTCTGCAGCTAGCACCCTGGAAGCTTCCATAATTTTTTTTTTTTTTTTGGGGGGGGGGGGGGGGGGGGGGGATCCTATCACTCGGTCTCCCCCCACCACCATATGAAAATTACTTATAAAATCCACATTTTGAATGTTATTGCTGATTCTAATTACTATAATATATCAAGTTCTCAGGAAATTGTTTATCATGTTTATTTCTGTTATATACAGTTGAACTTTGGTATCTCGAACACTGATATCTCGAACACCATGGATATGTCGGAGTGATTTGGAAGTCCCAACCGCTTATTCTTTAAGCATTTTACCTTCGATATCTCAAATCCTCGGATATCTCGGAAGTTTTTTCTTTTTTCATCGAGTTCAAGATAATAAGGTTTGACTGTACATGTATATCTGTGATAAGATTTGATAATTTGTTTCAGATTATTCTTCTAAGGACATGAAGGACAAAATGTGTTCGTGAAATTAACAAATGCCACTGATGAATGACTGGATTGTTATTAATTCCTGTTATAGCTATTAAAGTCTCATTTGATGTTTGATGGGAGAAAAGTAAACCAATAAGGATTTTTTTGGGGGGTCTTAGGCTATAGTCTGACTTTCATATATTGCTGTATATTCTAAAATCCGTGACAATTGACCCTTTTTTGTACAGGGTCCTGTACCACTTCAACTGGGAATTCTGAATTGGAAAAAAAGGTGAACTTTGGAAATATTGATAACATATAATTATGTTCTACTGCAGACTGTAGGCTTATCCACTATGCACACCTTTATATAATCTCAGAATTCAAAAATTTTGATAAAATGCACTGAAACATTCAATCTGCTTGTCATTGGTAAATTTTTATCTTCATTTCTGGAAAAAAGAGTCAATTTTTAATTGGAACAGGGTCCTTTTACCAGGCCTGTATCATGTGTATGCAATGGATATTAAACCTTGCTTGGGCATTGTCTATATAATAAAACACTTTCAATGATTTCAAAAAAAGTTGAAGATAAAATTATACAAGTTAGTTGTAAAATAATCATAAATAATCATACACTGATATTTCTTTGTATTTCTCACTTGTACATAAAGAACTTCTTAGAAGGCATTCACAGACAGCTGAGCATTACTATAAATTTTAAAATTATGTATAAGATCATTTATTGATATGAATGCCTGTAGTGCCAAAATTGTTATACTTTATTAAACTATAATTTATTAATTTATCAAAAGGTGTTCAATTGTTTGTAGAGAATATTTCTAAACAATATAATAATCATGATAATTAGTTTGTTACACCAAAAATTTGGAGTAAATTATTTTTAACAAGACAGCTAATAAAATAACAAAAATATTAACATCTAAAAATTCAGGAAATTGACATGTTTATTTACTAAATATATGACCCCTAATCATGCTAATTTCAAACTTGTATTTGAATAAATGCATATGACCCTTTGATAACCTTTATGAATTCAACTGCTTTCTTTGACCTGTTGACGTCAACGTAAAACCTCAATCACATAGTGTGTGTTCTGCTAATTTAATAACATAAAATAACGATAACCTTTACATAATTCGATCGATCAACAGTTCGTGACAAGTAGATAAACCCGATTTTCGTTGGATACTGTCCAACACTGTAACATTTTCTTACCTTTCCAGAGGCACCATCTCCAATAATCACGATTTTCAGTTGCTTATCCGGTGCCTCATCTTCTGAGTCAGACATGGTGAATAAATTTTATCGTTAAAATAGGAATTATCCGTTCAAAACCAACATCGTGGTAAGGGATAAATATTTACAAGAACCTGTCACTCGGTTGTCTGTTTCAAATGGGCACTTCCTTTCAAGAGCATTTCCCGCTATAATCTGAAGCGCTCAGAAGACGCAAATCGATTTCAACTCGCATGAACTTGTTGAGGGGTAACCAAGGGGTAGTTCAACTTTTAATCGGACAAAAATTTCCAATTGACAAAGAAGGCAACTTAGCAGGAATGAAATATTTGAAAATTCACACAGTCAAATTGAAGACTACTTTCCCTAATGGGAAATTAGGGACAGAGAAAATTGGAGAGAGAGGTATCATATATATTCCGCTATATATGAAAATGCGAATGCAATCATGAATGCAAACGTATGATCGAGGAACGCAAGGTTGAAATAAACGTTCATTTTCACCACTCTAAAGAGCTCCTAAAAAGAGGTTAAATCGAGAAAATGTTGGCCATGCAAAAGGACTCGTTTATTTTGCGAAAGGGCTCTATTTTCTACCCTCGAACTTTATATATTATTTTATGAATTTCATTCACTCTAAAATATGTACCTATACAGTTATGCTTTTTAAAATTCCATTGATAAGAATTTACTTGTGTATATGTTGTTTAAGTTGTTTTCATTTGCAATAGAAGATCCGCATATATACACCGCTCCTGGGATGCTATCTAGATTGTTCATTTCGTGTTTAATATACTGTAAAGGAGAAACTTAAGCATATGAACTGGTGATTGGGGGGACGGGACCCCCCCTCCCCCGTGTTCCGTACCCAAAAGATTCTGTGACTTTTTCCCCAAGCACCTGTGATTCTGTGGTGTAAATCAGATATGGATTTTCAAAAACTCTAAAGAACTTTTAGAAAAGGATGACTGCACTTAAGGATATGCGAAATCTGCGACAAAATAAACTTTCAAAACAAGCATTTTTCTTTTCATTGCAAGAATGGCCAACATCCAATCTACAACTTTATGTAATTACGTTTATAATAAAAGTGTGTATTTACGAAGTTCGAATCTGTTTTCAAAGGCAGGGGTCATCACAATTTCTTGAATCTCCGTACGATAATGAGGACGCCCACTTTTTTACTGACTTTATACGTAGTCAGCGCATGTTTGTCTATTGTTCTCCGTTTCACAATAGTTGTATATTTGCATAGATAATAATGTGTCAAAAGGAGATTAATAGACAAACATGCGCTCATGGTTAAAAAGAGAAAAAACTGCTTCTTCTTACATTCGCTCTCTGTGTTGTAAACAAGGATTGCGACATGTTGAATATTATAATTCACCACGTGATGTCCTACCTCAGGTAACTCTGTGAATACTAAATTCCGTCACGTGACTTGTAAGGTAGCATGTTTTGTGCTAACTAGGACATTGTGTTCGAATACGTTAAGTCATCTGGCATGGATATACAATCTGCTTTAATTACATTGACGTGCTCATATTGTTAGCTTCGTTTTGAAACCTTTGTCAGAAGTGTATTTGTGCCATACAGAATGGAGAGGGAGATTGGAAAGAGTGACCACATTCTTTTTTTCAAACATGTCATTGTTATTTATCAAGTCTAATTTTAGACCCATATTTACAATGTTAGCTCCACCTCTTATGCATATCTAATGTTCATTCAAGGGCAGGTAAGTGTAAATTCACTATATTTTGAAAGCACTAAGGACAAAAAACATTGAATCATTTTATTGTATCACAGTCTAAAATCATTTTAAGATTTAAATTTGGTTCCAAATTGACAGGATTCTTTCATAAACATACAAAAGTGAAATAAAGTTTAGATATAAAAGCAACAGAAGCAACCGAAAAAGACCCAAAAACAGGCGTTAAGTGCAGTCATCCTTTTTAATCACCAAATTCTTCTAAAATAAATTACATCAAAACGTACGGCTTTTCTACATTTTATACAACCATTCCTCACAATAAATTAAAAATTAATCTTGTTGATATATAGACAACTGCTTTTTCTATAAAAATGGAACTAAGAAATTTTCGTATCTTATGATTAGTCATAAACAAAATTCCGATTGGCATTAATTGTGCTCCTCTATTAGCCGAATTATTTTTATATTTCCTATTAAGAAGAATTTATTCTGAAATTTCTACATGAGAAGAAGAAATTAAACACTTGCTGTGGCCTCTGTGCACCTCTGGAATTTCCGGGGGTCCATCATGTTTTATATGCCCTGTTCACAGATCATTGCATTGTTCGTAGTTTTTTTTTTTTTTTTTTTTTTTTTTTTTTTTTTTTTTTGAGATCGATCTATCACTGTTCGTTATCTCACCTTTTTCATTGTCGATCTAAATGTGATAACTGGGAAATCTCGTCTATCTTAACTGAGCTTTCCATTATTATTTTAAATTCAAACTTGAAGATTTTAAGAGGCAATTATTCTATAAAGAATGCATTTTCTCCAAAACTAATAAAACAAATCAGAATCGATTTTAAAAAATATAATTGAAAAAAAATTCAGTCTTCTCCTTATTTCGATTATCTTTTTTTATCAAGGGGGGGGGTATAACTATTCATATTTTTAATTTGAAGATACTCTTTGAATTTCCAATTTTTTTCTTGGAAATCAGGAGTGTTTTAAAATAATGTTCATCACTGTAGATATATATTTGTTTTCTTCTCAATTATTTAACATGATGTCTGAGGTTTTAAATTTTGTTATTATCAGATTCACAATATTGTATAGCTGAGGCTAGGAAGGAAAAAGTTTTGAATTGTAAACATTTTCTGCGCACACACTACCCAGTAAGAATAATCTAGGAACGAACTACCTTTGACGTTTACCGGTCTCGCCATCAACTTCCGGTTGTTAGAACAATATGGCACAAAAGTCAGAAAAAGATGCTTCCACTTTGTCTGATCGATTCGCAGAGTTGAACAAGTTTGCAAAGAATCAGGATTATGCTAAAGCTTTAAAAGTAGCTAATAGAAGTAAGTTAAAATAAGGGAGTTATTGAGATATGAGGATCATTGATATTCAACTCGAATTTTCTCCATCCACTCAACGTCACCCATTATAATCTTTGAAAAGTTTTACGGCTTTAAGGATTTTTTTTTTTTTACAAAAATATAAAAAATATTCATAACATTACAAGTTTCTAGGGAAAATTTTCAGTTTATTTCTCTATTTGAAACAAAATAAAATTGTTTTGAGTGCATAGATAGATCAGGTTGGGCACATACCACCAAATCAGGGTTTCAAACTAACTTGTAATCCTTGATAGCCATGTGGTCTACTGAACCTTGCAATTCTGGGACCCACATCAAAATTTATTCGCCCACAGATTATCAGACCTTCTATTGAATATAAAAACAACAATCCCATTTTTCGTTTTTAGCTCACCTGAGCAGAAGGCTCAAGTGAGCTTTTCTGATCACTTTTTGTCCGGCGTCCGTCTGTCTGTCTGTAAATTTTTAACATTTTCGACTTCTTCTCAAGAACCACTGGACCAATTTCAACCAAACTTGCCACAAAGTATCCTTGGGTGAAGGGGATTCAAGTTTGTTCAAATGAAGGGCCACACCCTCTTTCAAGGAGAGATAATAAAGAATTAGTGAAAAATTAATAGCATCTTTTAAAAATCTTCTTCTCAAGAACCACAGGGCCAGGAAAGATGAAACTCATGTGGAAGCATCCTCAGGTAGTGCAGATTCAAATTTGTTCAAATCATGACTCCCGAGGGTAGGGCAGGGCCACAATGGAGGATCAAAGTTTTACATAGAAATATATAGGAAAAACCTTTAAAAATCTTCTTCTCAAGAACAGCAAAGCCATGATGAGTCATATTTATATGGAAGCATCCTCAGGTAGTGTAGATTCAAGTTTGTTCAAATCATGACCCACAGGGGTAGGGCGGGGCCACAATGGAGGATCAAAGTTTTACATAGAAATATATAGGAAAATCTTTAAAAATCTTCTTCTCAAGAACACCAAAGCCATGATGAGTCATATTTATATGGAAGCATCCTCAGATAGTGTAGATTTAAGTTTGTTCAAATCATGACCCCCCGGGGGTAGGGTGGGGCGACAATGGAGGATCAAAATTTTACATAGAAATACATGTATATAGGAAAAATCTTTAAAAATCTTCTTCTCAGGAACAGCAAAGCCCTGATTGGTCATCTTTATATGGAAGCATCCTCAGGTAGTGTAGATTCAAATTTATTCAAATCATGACCCCCTGGGGTAGGGTGGGACCACAATGAAGGATCAAAGAATTACATAGAAATATAGGAAAAATCTTTAAAAATCTTCTTCTCAGGAACAGCAATAGCCTTGATTGATCATATTTATGTGGAAGCATCCTCAGGTAGTATAGATTCTATTTTGTTCAAATCATGACCCCCTGGGGTAGGGTGGGCCACAATGGAGGATCAAAGTCTTAAATAGAAATGTAAAGGAAAATATCTTCTGAAGAAGAACTGCAAAGCCATGATTAGTCATTTTGATATGGGAGCATCCTCAGGTAGTGTAGATTCAAGTTTGTTAAAATGATGACAATCGGGGATAGGGTGGGGTCACAATGGGGGATCGAAAATTTTACATAGGAACATATAGGAAAATAGCTTATTCTGAAGAACTGAAAATCATGTTTAGTTATTTTGATATGGAAGCATCCTCAGGTAGTGTAAATTCAATTTTGTTCAAATGATGACCTCCGGGGGTAGGGTATGGCCCAATGTGGGATTGAAAGTTATACCTAAGAACATATAGAAAAAATATTTCTTCTCAAGAACAGAAAAGCTATGTTTAGTCATATTGATATGGAAGCATCCTCAGGTAGTGTAGATTCAAGTTTGTTCAAATGATGACCCCTGGGATAGGAAGGAGCCACAATGGGGGATCAAATTTTTACAAAGGAATATATAGGAAAATTTTTTTAAAATCTTCTCAAGTACAACAAAGCCATTTGTTATATTGACATGGAAGCAACAACAGGTAGTTTAAAATTCAAGCCCCCTCCCCCGGTAATCTTTTCAATACTGAACTGATTTGTGCTTTTGCCTAGCCAATGTGCTCAGGTGAGCGATGTAGCCCATGGGCCTCTTGTTTTTTATCATGTGCTTTGTGTTTTTTTTCTATCCGTTGTAACATTATGCATGACTTATCTAAATTTGAAGTGGAACTCTTCTGTTTATGAAGATTGATATGATCATTCAATATCATATATAGGTTGCACAACAGTATTAAATTTTGCTATATATTCTTACCAAAAATGCACAACTTTGAGTAGGTGGTATTAACTGAAAACAAACTTTTGAGAAGTTTCCTTTTCAAATCTTGTAAAGCAATTCTTTATAAAGATTTTAGTACCAAAAAATACATAGCCATCCAGCAAGGCACGCAAGTTTGTTTCGGTTGAAGTCGAGCAGGTGCTTGAAAATCAAGTCCAGGACCTAATCACTCCCCACTCAAATACAGTATATAGAAAAATCAGCACGCCCTAAATTATAATGAATCTAGTCAATACAGGAAGTTTACATGTTGTTTTTCATCTCATAAAAAAATTCAGCTCCAGTCTCGTGTTCAAATGCCCGAAACGGAAGGGAAGATTCAGGAATTATTTTGCGTCAGCCATGATTTGACGTGAACCTCAAGTGAAATACTGTTATAACACCTATAGAGCACATGGCACATTTTCATTCACAAATAACAACAGTACTTTTTGGTTTCTTGGGCTCATTGACCTGTCGATGCCACATTGTGCCCGACACAATCACTTAGATGCTTTATGTATAAGTACTTCTTACGGGTAATTATAAAGCACTTTACTGATTACGAAATTTTTCACGAGAAAAATACCAAACATTCAGACAAAATTGAAAAACAAATAATTATTATCGTAAATTTTCTAATCGCCATGTGGGCAACTTGAACGTAATTTTAAGTCACCCACATGGAACATAATTCGCAAATTGCGAGTGGGCAACTGTTAATTTCAAACCCTGCAAATGGTGGTTTTAACCCCTGTTTTGTGGTCAATGGCCCATATCGGATTCGGTATTTACTGACCATTTGGGAGAGAAAAATCTTATTTTTTATTCCATAGAATAGTGTGAAATGGTGCATAATTTTAACTTGTGTGGAACATTTTTGTAAAAATATAGACATTATCTGTGCTCTGAAAGAAAAAAAGTTAGATATTCAACACAGAATTTTTTGCGCAGTGTCATTAAAATATTTGACAAAATTGTCGCCTACGTAAACAAGTGCAATGTTTCTCTGTTTTCACTTAAAAAATACCTCCTTCCTGAACGTTGTTGCATATGTCGATCATGTTTTTTACATTTTATTTCTATCATCCAGGCAACCAATCAAATAATTTAAACCAGTAAAAAAATGATGATCATTTTGGAACCTTGTCAAAAGTCTGGTTTAACTACGGAGGCACATTAATGTCAATATTCAATAAGGAAATAAATGTAAAAATGAGAATTCGCTTTTATATGGTTTTATTTTGTACGCTATGGCTTTATTCTTTATAAAAATAGGATACACGGTGAGACCATGATATAATTATTGTTTCAAAGTGATGTTCTTGAAATAAAAACAAGAATAATTGCAACTGTCACTTTGTAAATCTTTTATTCAAAATAATTTATTAAATATATTAGATTTTCAGAAACAAGGTTAAAAACTAAAAACTGACAGTTCAAAAATATAAGGTCAGATGTCCAAATTCATATCCAAAAAAATCAGTGATTTGTTGTCATAATGCAGAAAATCCAGGTTGTATTACATATATATTTTATTAAGATTAACATGGAGAGCTGATCAGTCATTGTCTTTGATGTCACATGGTCACGTGATCAATATTTAATTAACTTGGATTTTTAATTCAGGAGTTTTCATTTTAATCGATTAGCATTTAATTACCGAGATATATCCACAGTAAAAACACAAATATTCTGTGACTATAAGGAATGTAATACACGAAAAAGAGCAAAAATGAACAAGAATTTAATATTGTAATATATTGCAATTATTTGTCGTTGATAATTCCATTAACAGTATGCAATTCCTCATCTCTCTATTACTGAATTGTCGCCTAGGAAGTCAGAGCAGTATTTTGTTGAAATCCGATTGAAATATGCACATCGCCGTATTTGAATTTCAACTCTCAACATTGCTTGAAATATGCATACAACAATGTTTATTGAATTTGGTATTGTAATAAACAAGGTTGTAGGTAATATTTTTCATAAAATTATGATTTTTTTAAGAGCTTGCGATAAGTCCTTTAATTTAGTAGAATATAATTATTTTAGGTTTTAAATGAAGGATACTTTTATTTTTCCAACACCAGTCTGTCTTGTATACAGAATTTTACCCGACCAGACCTATTGTTTTGTAGACTCAGTCAGTTAGACAAGCCCTAGTGTCAAACCTTGGTTAGAAGATGTTATTTTGCAAAGATAGGCATTATCCCATTTAGTATATTTTAGCTAGGTGAAAAAATCAATGATTCTTTTATCATTATTATATTATATCCAAATATTAAGTGTAATATTCTATGTTCTTTATTTATGTTGTATTGGTTTTCGTTTCAGTTGTACATGAAAATCCAAAGAATGAAACTGCCTTTCAGTGCAAGATTGTTTGTTTGATCAAACTAGACAAATTTGATGAGGCTCTGACCCAAATTAATAAGAATAAAGAATTGACGAGGTATAGTATTATGGCAGAGAACACAAAGATATAACTCATTCATACCAGACTACGGCAACATTTTTTTTTTCATAATCATCATCAGCGATATTAACAGTTTTCATTTTGTATTATATATTGTGCTTGTAATCTAGCATGTCATTAAATGGTAATATTTTCTACTACAGTTATGTAGCATTTGAAAAGGCATATTGTGAATACCGTCTGAATAGAACAGAGGAAGCCCTAAACACACTGAGAGGAATATCTCAACCAGACACTCGAACAAAGGAGTTATTAGCTCAAGTGGTCAGTTATTTTCCCTGAGACTTTGATCAATCTCTATCATCACATGATTATCTTATGCAGTTTAACTCACGTTTTATTCTTGTTTTAGCTATATCGTCTTGAGGAATATCAGGAATGCTATGACCTGTACAGGGATGTCATTAAAAACTCTGAGGTGAGATCAGTGTATTTAATTTCCATTTGTACAGAACAATGAAACATATGTAAACTATCTGCACAATTTTTAGCATGATGTGTATTCATTTATTTCAGGCTTAATAAAATGATACCCTTTAATATTTATATTTTGAAGGATGATTATGATGAAGAGAGGCAGACCAATCTCTCGGCTGTCATTGCTTCACTGCAGCTCTGGGAGGGGAAGAATATGGTGAGATTGTACAAAAAGACAGTCTAGACATGCACAAAGAATTTAGTAGGGATGAATATAGCCAAAATTTTGTATTGTTATACATCATGATTTTTTCAAAAAAGATTTCTAGTTGTGGTGATGTCACACAGAAATGACAATAAAAGCAAAGCCCCATTTATGATCAAATTTCCTTCATTCCTTTTGTTCTTTTAATGTTTGATCAACTTGTGTTACTGAAGATGATACAATAAAACTTTGATGTCAACATGAGTAGTCAAACCTTGTACAATGTACCAGTATCTTGAACTCAATTAGGTGACCATAACAAATCTGAGAATCTTAGAGTGTGAAACACTGAGTTGAGACTGGAATTCATCATAAAATTAGAATTGAAGATTTACTTTGACATATTTCTGGTATTCAGTGTATCAGGGTGCAAGATACCAAAGTTTCACTGTATTCACTATCAGCATGTTAGCTACAATTATATTCTTCTTTAATTTGTTGTAAAGGATGACCCAGGTTTGGAGGAGAACTCATATGAGCTATGTTATAACATGGCTTGTTACCTCATTGGGAAAGAGGATTACAAAGGAGCAGAAAAAAAGCTGAAGAAAGCTGAAGGTAAGAATGCTATCATCATTGTAGATGGATTTTATTAAACCCTTTTTTAATCTTTGTTGGAGATTTCAGTATTTATCAATACTTTTTTTAACAGAACTTTGAATCTTTCCTATAACTTATTACAAACCATTAATATTTTACAGATTACTGCAAGCAGAGCTTTGAGGATGACCCTGATGTAACTGAGGAGGAGATTGAAGAGGAACTGGGCATCATCAGGTAACAAAAAGGTTTTTATTAAAGTCTCTCATTTCTTGCATGATTTTTTAAAAATTAAATGCAAATAATATTATACATTTTTGTTCAAAATGATTTTGATTTTTTTCATGTATGATACATTGATGTTATTAACTACCATCACATTTATCAAGCACAATATTTATCAATGATTTTATTATTTAAAAATGACATCTGATCTTTAGGGTTCAGCTGGCATTTGTTTTGCAAAAACTTGGCAGAAATGAAGAAGCTCTGCAGCTGTACAACCAGGTTCTCAAAAGCAGGTATCCAAGGAAGACTTCTTTAAAAATTGATTGTTTAACTGATAATTGCTACACAATTCTGTCAAAATAATTAATAAAAAGCAAATTATTTAAAATGTGCCTCATTTAAGATTTATAATCCTGTATTTTTTTTGTAATTTTTATATAAATATTTAGACCAGATGACATTGGCCTTTTAGCAGTAGCATCCAACAATGTTGTCACCCTGAATAAGGTAAAATTTGAACAATGACCAACTTCCTTTAAGTTTTGATATAAATTTCTATCCAGCCCCCAAAAAACAGGTTTGTATTAATCATTTTATGTGATTTGGACAGGATCAAAATGTATTTGACTCCAAAAAGAAGATGAAGCTTGCCACAGGAGACAACTTGAAGCAGAAATTGACGTCTCGTCAGAAATGTTCAATAAACGTCAATCAGTGTCTACTTCACATGTACACAAATCAGGTGAGACATTCTCCTCAATCATTTCTCCATATTATATACTTCTCACAAATACCTACTAAAGGTCTATCACTTAAGGGTAACCTGGCACTTGAAGAACCGAACTTTATAGGTGTTAATAATAGGTACAGAAAAGCAAAGCACAATTTGATTAGTTGATCTGTGCTTATGCAGCAATATTTAAACGGTCATTATTACGGGTGTCAGTGTGTATATAAGAATACCTCCACTTTCAATTAAGTAAGGTCTTGTTTCCATAGGTACATGTATATCATTTAACAAGAGAATGACCTTAAACTTAAAATAAAATTAATAAAGTGGAAAATCATTGGTGCATAATGAATTTTACTTGTGCTAAAGGTTTTAAAATTAATTGTGTGCCAAATGTTTTTAGTTTATTGTAATGAAAAAAAAAATTCCAAATGAAATGTAAGCAGTGTGTACACACAAAATTTATGCTGTTATTGTGTATTTTAAGGGTGAGCAATGTCACAGCCTTGCAGCCAAGCTGAAGAAGCAGTACCCTGATATGGCCTCCCCCGTACTGATAGAAGCTGCTCAGTTTGTGAGGGAGAAGAAAACGGAGGAAGCTAAGAACCTTCTCAATGTAAGTGTTAGTGGGAAGGGACCGTTCACTCACTAGATACTGTTGAATTATGATTAATTGTGGGCAAGAACATTAACCCCCACATACATTGATTCATCATTATCTATTGATTGAATGGTCCACAACAGCAAACTACAAAGGTATATCAAGAAAGTTTCAAATAATAATTCTTGCACATCATTGTTTTAATTATGAACCAGATGATTTAATTAGTTTTCTGTTAATAGGAGTATGCAAAGAGTCACCCAGACAAGGCCCTGACCACTAAATTAGTGATGGCTCAACTGTACCTTACTCAGGGTCATGTGTATGAAGCCTGTAACTCACTGAAGTCATTGGGGGATCTAAGATACAAACCAGGGGTGGTAGGTCTTTATTTCACATTTAATATATAGCTTAACAGGCACTAGATATTTTCAACTTTACTTTTGAAGCCAGAACATGCTTGATTGTTTGGGTTTTTTTTTTTTACTGAAATTTGTTTTGTAAAATAGATGTATTTTATTGTTGGATCACATTAAATAGTATTTTAAGCTGTTTTCATTTTATCTTCTATAGAAGAAATACTCTGTGAACTCTCTACCATTGGCTCATAAATTCACCTCTGTTATTGGTTTGCATATACATGTATCGATACGATTAGCACAGTAAAGTGCATTTGTTTTAATTCATTATAATTAGATATTTGAAATAATTGTTATCTTTAGAAGTTAGTTGTTCCTTAGTTTATCTAGAGCTATAACTTTAATTTGAATTGATCCTTGGAATATCATTTTTTTTTTTTTTACTTCATGTGAAATATCGAGACCTGAGCCCAATGCAGAGATGTGTGAGAGAGAAACAAATGAAATTTTGTAAAGGAGATTGGCAAATACTATTATGTATAATGAAGTAAATTCTTTGATAATAACTCTCTGGACCTACTGTAGGTATCAGCCTTAGTTACTCTGTATCTGAATCAAGAAGACAAGGACTCGGCTTCTGAAGTTCTGGTTCAGACTGTGGACTGGTACAACAAGAACCAGGTAAGATTCCTCCTGGTTTGAGTTTTTTGGAAAGTTTGAGTTTTAATGATAGCCTCGACTCCTTTTTGAGATATGAATATGTTGATGTCTCTGTTATTCCAGCCTCAGTCACCCTCTCTTCCTGTTCTTATGCGAGCCAATGCTGACTTCCAGTTGAAAAATGGAAGTCCTCAACAGGCTGCTAAAATGTTAGAAGAGCTGAGAAAGTAAGGATTTGTTTTTTCATTCTTTGTTGTCTTCAAATGATAAAAATTATGTTTTTTGCATTTATCATAAATTTGAAGTTATAAATGAGAATGTCATAATACATCTTGCAAAACTCTACATGTATTATGTAAGCTATACAGGTAGATGTACCGTGTATTAAACAAATAGATATTTTGTTTGCCACAATTTAACAATTTGATAAAAACAAACATACATGTACAAAACAGGTTTTTAAACAACAATAAAGAATTATGTTATTGTTTTATAGGAAGAAACCCGATGATCCTAGGATTCTGGCTCAGCTGATTACTGCCTACTCCCAGTTTGATCCAGAGAAAGCTAAACTGTATCCTTGTTGTGTTATATTTAATACTGTACATTCTATAAGAGAGAGAGAAAGTCTGTTTGATAGATCCATATTCTTACTTATTGATAGGGATACAAGCTTATTTACTAATCAGATGGATATAATTTATTCATGTATGTGCAAATTACTCATTTTTTCTTTCTATTTTAAAACATATCATAGTACATGTTTTGATGAAGTATTTAAAGTATAATATTTTAAAATAGATAAGAAAGATGTATAATTTGAATGTATGTGTATACAGGTATATCGGAAGTATCTGAGATATACATATGTTTTCACCCCTTATGAGCCTTAGAAGCTTCTTAATTTGATGCCAAGTTTCCTTAACCCTCTGTCAGGGTCAGTAAAGACTTACCGTCCGTTGAGAAGATTGCTCAGGACATTGACGTGGATCAGCTCGAGTCCTCCTTCAGCACACTTGGCCCTAAATATATGAAGAAGAAAACGGACACAGCCCCATCACCTGGACCGTAAGTTTCTACATTTATCTTCACGTGACTCAGTGTTATTTAACATGATCTGGAAAATTGAGTGATCTGCTCTTGTTTATTAAAATAATTATTGCTATAATTTATGTGAATGGTGGATATACACATAGAAGTTATAGATGATTTCTCAACAAGACGACATAATTTACAAATTTTTGTTGAAGTTTGAATTTAATTCACAAAATGAATTTGAATTTTTTTTTTACATTTCTGTAAGAAACTATCTTCTCCCCCCTAAACAGTTTGGGATTTCTTTGGTGTTAATTTGCAATAAGATACATGTATGGAAGTTGTGTATGATTTATAGATTAAATACAAAATTTATATAAAATGCTATATATTGTGATCAGAGAAAGTTCACAAATTATCCCCCTCCCATTCAATTTTCTTTTAATCTCATAATACATATACATGTATAAGTAGTTTTTCATATATTTTTGTAATAATTTCATTCCTTCAAGTTTGCACAAATACTCCCCCATCTGTAGTGTTGGTAAACAAAACTGGCAACTTTTACTCATATGAAAATCTCCTTGTTTACTGTATACATGTACATTAATATATCTTATTATTTTGTAGGGCTGGTGATGTGATTGTCAAGAAGAAGAAAAAGAAGAAGAAGAAGGGTAGGTACATAGGTACCAAGAATGCTTGGAAAAAAATGAGGATGCTATTTAGTCCAGACTTAGAAAACATACTGGGCGTAGATCATGTTCATAGGATTAAATTATTCATATACAATTGTGCATGTAGGTAAGGAGAAAGTTTTGAATATATGGATTTTTTAAATGTCCAAATTATTAAGCTGTTTACTATTACGGAAATTCTCTAATATTTATCGCAGATTTTTGTTTTAAAATACAGTATACGTATTGGTTTCCGAAAATTACATTTGTGTTATGCTCCAAATTTTATTTATTTTTTTTTGTTGGTTATATTAATACTTTAGTAATGATAAAGATATACTTGAAAACCTAAATTAGACTAATATATAATTATTCAGAATGCCATTTATGCATGATACATGCTAACAAAAAGGAAATTAACATAACTTAAGAAATGAATGTAATATTTTTTTCTTTGACCGAAGTATCAAAGAAAAATTTGGAAGTAGCGCATTGATGAAAACGTTTTCCGCCCAAATTTTTCTTTGATACTTCGGTCAAAGAAAAAAATATTACTTTCATTTCTTATCATTTAATTATGATTTAAAAATAATAAAATGAAACTTTCTTTCACTTTAATATTTAATTTACGCATCAAAGACTGTGCGTAGGTATACAACACAACAACGTTGCTGAAACTCAAAATGGCTGAATGTATAGATCTACGCGCATTGATGAAATTTTTCGTCCAAGTTTCTTTGATACATCGACCAAAGAAAAAATTATAAGATTTATATCTTCTCGTTTAATATTTATCTTTCAATGATGAATTTTACCTGAGAATGAATGACTGTCCAACATACAGGCCTACCTTAGTTAGGCTACCTAAATTTTCAGATGCATAGTAATACATAACGAAGAAACAACGTTCTCAAATATTGTCGTGTCATTACCAGCACTTGCTAACAATAAGTTTTAACACCAAAAAACTTAACTGTCGTGTTATTAATTTTTGTGATATCCCAATGGGTATATTTTCCCTGGTAAGCTGATATATCTTTAGGTTCGTAAATGCAAAGGGAAACTACTCAAATATAACCCTAACAATTCTTTCTAGGTCACAGAAATTTTGGATTTCATTCGCGCATCTCTTCATCTGAATTTCAAACCGAACAAATAAATACTATCACAACCTGTTCATGCATAACACAACATGCTGTAAAATCTATAAGAGTCGGTTGCCGACTGTTTAACATTGAAAGAATTCCGTCCTCGCTCAGTGTCGTTTTTCTCGTGCATTCATTTCCTAAGAATTTACAGATTAACGACATTTCCCCGCTTTGGTAGCATAAAAAACATTTCTTCACAGTTCTATTGTTCATACCAGTTATCACAAAGACAAACATTTAACATACGTATGATGATTTCTTTCCTTCTTTTCCGCAACTGCATTGTTGTCATGCAGACGATCATTTGTTTAGTAAAGGGGGATAATTCGAAAAGAAACAAAAGTAGAAAATAACTCAGGAACGTAACGGACAAGTTTTGAAATTCAGGAAAAGAGAGTAAAAGTATTTCATTTTTCTTTCACAAAGTAATTTAGAAGCGGGAAATATACATGAAAAGCCAGCTAAAGTAGTTCCGGCTGCTAAGTGCAAGTGAACTCCAGATTTTATTGATGCAGTTATCAAAAGAATTTTTTATCCAATCAGAATCAATTATTTTATAGAAATTAAATGATAATAAGAACCATTCACATCTAAGTTATCTACTGTACATTAGAAAATTAAAATAATGTTTTGCCAACAATGAATTAGGGACGAACAGTTCAAATTACAGAGATAAAACATTTAATTACTGAAAACTGCTGAATAGGGTAAACAGCTCTGAAATTAATGTATATATGAATGTGGTATACACAAGTATATGTATGTTACAGAAGAATCAAACACAGTCAAATTACTCAATATGTTAGATAATGATTTAACCTTTATTGCATTTGTTTAAAACTTCCACATTTCTTCATATTATCATACTGTAATTTGCTATTTCAAGCAAGAAAAACTGCAAACATATCCCTAATAATGATACTGACTATAATGAATATATAGAATGTATATAAAACAAGATATAAAAATTTAACAGGTAAAATGCCTAAGAATCCTGATGCTGAGATAGACCCAGAAAGATGGCTGCCTAGGAAGGAGAGATCGTATTATAGAGGAAAGAGAAGGGACAAACGCAAGGAAATTGGTAATGTAGCCTATAGAGAATTCTGTTGTGTTCTTTGTTTCAAAAATATTGATTTGGAGTGTTCTTTGGATATTATATGTGTTTGTCTCATCATTATCTTTTTCTGCTTAGGTAAAGGTCCACAAGGTGCCACCAGTGGAATTACTGACAGTCTGTAAGTATAAACTGTATCTGAATTTCATCATCAACACTAACAGTGTTAATTGGAGTACAACAAGATTTATACTTCTTCAAGGATGTAGATTGACTAGTATATCTAATCTCACTGATTTACAGGGATGCCAGTAAGACCCCTGGAAGTGACTCAAGCTCACCAAAACCGAGCACTGCCACCACAACTAGCCCCACCACCGCCCCATCCCCGGCCCCAGCTGCTCAGGGCCCCCGCCAACAGAAACCAGCCCAAGCACAGAAACGGAAAAAGAAGGGGGGCAAGGGAGGAAAGTGGTGATTCTAGTCTTTATCAGAAGAATGAAAGAATTGAAAAGGAATCTAATGTGAATAGGAATTTTCTGATAAAATAACTTTTGACAGAAATTTAAAAAAATCATTGATATCCTGGCAATAAAATATCTATCTTCAAATACTTGTTGATTGTCTTTTTTTGTACCTTACCATTATTTGAAAATTTTATGAAACTGCATAATATATTTTACACATTAAAACTTTAGTAAGTCATAAAATGGCCCTGGGCATATAGTGTTACCCTATTCCGTCGTTCCTTCATCATTGACCATCCCTTCACTATCTCAGCAACAGTTGCACACATTCAACTCAAATTTGACATACGGATATGTCATAGGAATACGCAGGTCAACTTCGAGTTTGGTCCTGGTCTGATGATTTTTAATGGAGTTATCCCTCTTGAACCTAAATTGATTGTAATTAGGTTTTACATCCCGTTCGAGAAATTTTCACTCATATTAAGACGTCACCATATAGCGGTGAAGGGCTTCAAATTTAGACCTTTACTCGGCACTCAGGACCATTGAGTAGTGTGAGGGTTCTTTATCATGCCAACGTCTACAGTGACACGGGGCCTCGGTTTTTAAGGTCTCATCTTTAAGACCCTCAGCTTTCACTTCAAAGTGCCGAGCGCTTGACGAAGGAACAGTTGCTACCTATTTTCTATCGCCTTAGGTCAGTCGCGTCCGTGATTCGAACACACGACCTTCCCATCACAGAGCGAGCGCTCTACCGACTGAGCTACCGTGACGGTTTCTTGAACTTTCTAGAAAAAAAATAAGAAATTTTCTGTTGCCGCTCTCTTACTTTTGTAGGGATATATGTATAAGGTTGAAATCGCATATGGAGGTATTTAACCAGAAAATACAGGTCAAGTTCGAGAAACAAATTTAAAACTAAATATGGCATTTGAAATTTTGGCTGCCTGCGGGGGCATTCGACACATCTAGTTTAGTATTGTTTCAAAAATGACTAATTTTTGGCTTGTTGATGTGATATTGTTTTTTGTGGCAGTGAGCAGTATGTCCTATATATGTTTATTTACCCCACGCAACAAGTTGCGTGGGGTATAATGTTTTTGACCCGTTCGTCAGTCTGTCAGTCCTGCTTTTTTGTCAGCGCAACTCCTCTTAAACCGCTGCACAAAATTTCGTCAAACTTTGCAGATATTTAGGACACAGTGTGCAGATGTGCATATTGCCAGGAAATTCCGATTCCTTATTTTTGCTCTTAATTAGAGGCTTCGCTATAATTGAAGAAAATTTCCAGCTAGGTAATAAGGAAATCCACTGGAATCAACACACACACACAAAATCTATGATAGAAGTACACAAAAAGTTCTCAACACCCCCCCCCCCCCTTTCAAATTAGTGCTTTGTCTTAAATAATTTCATAAGTACAGTATATAAACAAATTTATTTGACTACATCATAATTTTGTTTCCATCAATTATTTTAATGTGTAAATTGTCATACGTTGGACATGGACTTGCAGTCATTAACAAATCGAAATCACTGCATGAGAAATTTAAATAACAGTTTGTCAGCATATCTCCTGCACTGAATTTCATGAAACTTTGTAGGTATTTCAGACGTAATGTGTAGATTTGTATATATACATACTAAGAAATTTTGATTTCATTATTTATCTAGAAACTTCAGCTCAATTAAATTTGTAACATACAAAGATTTGAATGTCCTTATATGCAAGAAGTTTTGATGTGATGTTTTTTTTTTTTTAAAGTAATGCCCCTTTTTGAATTATACATGTACTGTGTATTTAAAGTGCACCTTGCCATTCATTTAAACAATAAAATGCTTTCTTTGGTTGTTAGTACGGGAATTAATGTTGCAGCTGTTGCAGAAAAAGTGCATAACCCGCGTAAGCAATAGCTGCAACATTAATTCTCGTACTGACAAAGAAAGAAAGGCATTTAATTGTTTATATTTATATCTGTGCAAATATTCATTCAAAATATAATCAAGAAGATGAAATAGTGATTTATTGATATGCACGTCATTAATTGTCCGTTTTATTGATGGAACAGCCACTGCTCCAGAAATATGCTTAGTGGTGGTTACGGACTGATGAACGGCAATGGTCTTCTTAAGAAATAAAGAAGATAATATTCAGTAGATGTAAATATTATGTGTTGCATTGTCAAGTTTTGGGGGAGCGTGAGGTATGTGAGCTTGCTCACTTTTTCTTTCATTTTTAAATCATAAGTATTTCTTGTTACAGTTTAAATGATGGCTTTCATGTTTTCGAGGATTATTGTTTAAACCTCAAAATAATTGATGGAGAAAGGGGGATGGAGATATATTCCATGAAAAGGTGCCTCATATGATAATGTCACGTAGTTTAGCTGAAGTAGCTGTAGTATGACTGAAGTAATCTTCAGTTATCACTCCTCTAAAATTGTCAAATCTTTTTAAATACAACGTACTTATAAGGTAATGCATTACTGAAAAACAAAGAAAAAAAAATCATCATACTCATTTAGTAAGGTTTTGAATAGAGGAATTGATCCAGAAGAGTTACTTCTTGAACAGCATTTTTTTTCTAGCTAATGTACAATTGATTCTTAAATATGAGTATACTTATGTTTACAGAAAACCGTAATTCAGATAATAGTCCATTACAAATAAAAAAAACTGATATACCTTTAAAATTGTTTCTATACAAGGAAGTCGAATATTTCCAGTGTTTTTACTGAGTGGTCCAAAAATAATATAATCTTGGACCAGTTCTGAGGTATTGAACCGCTATGACGGTATTTTAGGCCACATTTACAGGGTTGTGGTTAACTTTTGAAACCTTAGGGGCCATGTGGACTCCTAACTTTTCAAATTTTACGGGCCCACAATGTGATCCACGGGCCCACATTATATGTAAATTAAAAATAAGAACACAAAAATCCTATTTTTTTTGTAGTATCTATATGTTCGCAGAATATGGATTTTCGTCACGTTTTCTCTTTTCTAAAAACTTTGATCCGATAATATGTTCATTACATTTTGTAGTATTTAACCTTAACTTATACAACTGAAGCGTCTATGGTTTAACAAGGGGCATCTATCTGTGAATAACTAGTCGAATGGCGAGTGTGACAACCATAGCTGATTGTTACAATATTTCTATTAGAACAATCTCAAACATTTGCTCTCGTATCATCAGATTTAACGGAGATTTAACCGCTTCGGTAAATCGCCATGTTTGATCTCAGTCACGTACATGTTTGAGTAATATGCTTGTACGCAACACAAATAATCTAAGTTAGTAGAGCGTTTTCTTAAAAAAACTGAAAGTACATAAAATAAAACTGAAATGTGAGTATGTTCCAGTGAAAAAATCGTTCGCCATGTGGGCGACCAGATTTTTAATATCTAGTCGCCCACCGCAAATTTTACTCGCATTTGCGAGTGGGCGAGTGGTTATCCACAACCCTGATTTAATTTGCATCGGTAATTCTCAAATATGCGAGATTCAGCAAGTTACATGTATATAAAAGTGTTCCACAGATACATAAAAGATCTAGTCGTCCGCGTGGCGCAGTGGTTAGAGCGTCTGCTCTAGAGTCGCGGAGTAAGGAGTTGATCCTTACGTCGCGGGTTCGAATCCCATTGTGGACGTGGAGACCGGTCTTTCGGATGAGACCGTATAAACCGAGGTCCCGTGTCGCAGTAGGTGCTGGCACGAAAAAGAACCCTCACTGCTCAATGGCCGTAAGTGCCGAGTATAGGACAAAATTTGCAGCTCTCCACCGGCAAGTGGTGCCGTCTCCATATGAGTGAAAAATTCGAGAGAGGGACGTTAAACAACATACAAACAAACATAAAAGATCTATAGAAACATGCTTTGATTGAGACCATCAAAATGCATGAAATATGGAGATAACGAACAGTAATCAAGCTCAAAAGTCCATTGAAAAAGAAGAATGTTATCCCTCCAATCCAGTCAATAATTTGAATAAATTTATATATAATTCACTATGATAACTCCAAAACTTTATGCTTTCCATAAACAACGAATATGGACCCTACGTTTTCAACCAGCACTCGAGGACGATAAAACAGCTGCACATGTGGTACAATCAGCTGTTTGAGTTCTCCCTCAGGAGAGAGTTTATGGATGTTGTTAGATTTGTACCCAGCGACATAAATATTGCCATCCCTGTCGGTGGCAATGCCCCTCGGAAACGTCAACTCCGGATGGTCGTACTGGAACACGATTGCCCCAGCATTGGTAATGCAATAAAATGAACCGTTGTTGCAGGAATCGGAGTAATATATCCGGTTTTGATCCGCTGGATGAACGGTTTGAACTTTCTCTCCAGTCACATGAAGTATTGATTTTCTTTTCATTGTTAGATCGTCTTCAACTATCCAAATCTCCAAATGTTTTAAGCAAGCCACAATGACAATGTTTCCAACGTTGGTGATGCCATAACATTCATGCTTCGTCAAGTGGAGCTGTTGAAAAACTACAGCATTGTCCCACTGAAGGAGCACTATCTTTCGCTGTTGTGGAAAGGTTATTACCAGAGAGTAGCCATCTCGGTCAGTAGGAACTTCTACAAGATCCCAAGGATTCCCTTGTAAATGGTGAATATTGAGCGAGTTATCACGATTTCCATTGTCATAGTAGGCCCGAATTTCGCGGCTGATATAGTCAGCCAAGACCAAGCGCCCTTCGATTACTGTGGCACCGGTGATTGTGCTACTCTGAAACCTAATGACAAGAAATCCTTGTTTTAACTTCATGTGAAGAGCTTCCGACCTAGGTGTTGGCTGAGGAGATTGTAGTTCCAGTTTTCTCCAACTACCAGAGCCTGGTACGTACGGAACTTCTGGTTTGATCTTGGTGTGCATTTCGACAACGCTCCCCATGGAATCCAGTTGAACGATGATGTCATTAAATTCAACGTGAATTGAACTATTTTGCATGATTAATGTTCTGTGGTGCATTTTCTCTGCTAAAATGTTAGACTGCTGTCCTATACCTGGCAGCTCAATAAATAATTGCACCCCTATTCCTTCGTTCAGTAATAGCTCAAGCAGACTCTGGTAAAATAAAAGCGTTTCTCTCTTCTTCTCAAAGATTCCGATCTCAGTTTGAATTTCGAACTCTTTCTCTTTCTGTTTCAGAGTCAACTCATCCATTAGTTTCTTTTCCAAATTATTGAAATGGTTTGAAACTCTCATCCTCAAGGCTGTGATAGCATCCTCATCGTTTTTGCGATAACTTAACAGATCGGATAGATTTTCGCCTAGTTTGTCTAGCATGTCCACAGATTTCTTTTCCAAATCTTGCAGTTTATCTTTTAATTCTTGTGCGTATTCGCTCTTTCGAAGTTCCTCTGCTTCAGAATCGGCAGTGACCAAACCCGGACATTCACGATGATAGTTTTTCCTGCATGTGTCACAAACCGCGACATCATGGTCCTCACAGTAAAACTTAAGTTTCTGAAGAGAGTGAACTTCACAGAATCCTGGCGAGTACGCTGAATCGACGTCGTTGGAAACGTCCTTGATGCTTCTAACTCGGTGAACATCACGTGAGGTCAGGTTGTTGTGGTAGGCAGCATGATCATTACAGAGGGACTCCGTGCAAAAATAACACCAGAATTCTGATGTTGTCGTTTTTCCATCTTTTGCGCAGGGAATGCACTTCTTTATATTCCTTCTAGCGACAATATTCAAAATAAAGTGATTGGTCGGCAGTAAATGAGCGACTTCTTTAGGAGGAACAGTTGATCTTCTTCCAGGTTGAAATTCTTTACAAACTGGGCAGCGGATACGAAACGATTTTGCATTTCCTTGACTTTTCCGGAAGTAATCCCCAATGCAACTTTCACAAAACGTATGCAAACATGGAAGATACTTTGGTATGGAAAACTCCTTTTTGCAAATCGGACAGATTGTTATGTCTCCATCATACTTATAAATGTCTTCCTCGCTCTCTGGAAGATACTGACGGTAGTTTCGCTCTGGTTGAGGCGGGCGAATTTTTGCACTAATTTGCTCCTTGTCCTTCTTAATTTGTTTCTTATCCTCTCTCATTTGGGTGTCACCGGTGTTTGAGTCTCCATTCCCTTTATCTATACCTACATCAAGCACTGTTTGGTTGCCGTTGGGTTTTAATATGTTGTTACTCTTTTCAGATGCATTGTTACTCAGCTTTAAGGACAGTTTAGATCCAATTTTTTCCTCGGGTTTCAGAGACTTTTCCGAGTCATTCCCCTTTTCAGACTTCGTGTTACTCAACGTTGATTTATTTCGTCCATCTTCTTTCTTCTTGCCCACACTGGGTAAAGTCAACTCTTGTAACCCAGCATTTGATTTAGGTCCATCGTCTTGACCGTGTTGACTTTCTTTTTCTCGATCAAAAGACCCTTCTCCTTTGATGACTTGATCTGGCGGTTTGGAATCTTGGACCTCAACGCTGACCGTACCAGACATAATCACTCCAGTCTATGATTTACGAGTGCGTGCAGCTTTCCACTACATCGAGAATGTTATTTCTTCAAAAAAAGTATCTTGTTACATAAGTATTGACGTACTATGGCATTTTTTGTTTCATGTACATAGAGAGAAAGATTTTAATGATAAAATATTATCTGTCGACAGAAGATACGAGAAAAACAAAGCCCTCTTTAAATTCAGCAGGTACTGCATTGTGAAATGATTGTATAGATGTCTATGTTGACAGGTCGAACAACCAGATCGTTTCTTAAATGTCTTATTATGATCGACATTTGGTCCTTTAGTTTTACCCATGATCTATACATGTACTTAAAAAAAAACACCACGAAATGTGCATTTAAAAGAATCGTTTTCCTATATGTTACTTGTTTAAGGATAAATAACACATTTTTTTTTCAGAAATCAGCAATAAATTAAATAGATTTTTTTTCTTTAAATAAGTTGTATAATGTTTGCCAGAGTAAGTCGAAATTTTGTATAATGTTATAATAATTTTAATAATGTGCGGAAATATTTGTGTAGGTTTATAAAGAATATGGCACAAAGTTGCATATTTAAATACCAACGAAAACTTACAATTTCATAATATTTTAGGGATTCATTATTCTAGTAATCTCTGTTCAAATCAGTCAATATATATATATATATATATATATATATATATATATATATATATATATATATATATATATATATATATATATATATATCTCCAGGCATCAATTTTATTTGTTTCTTTGTGTTACATATTGTATGAATCCTTATGTTTAAAAAGGTCCACCCCACCCCCAATTTTACATGTAAATACTAGTAGGTTAAGAAATTTCAACTGTCCATATAGAGCAATGTATACAAATCAACGTTTGAAAAGTTGAAATGCGGTTTTACAAAAAAAATATTTGTTGTTTTCGTTTAATTGTATTAAACAAAATTCGCCTTAGAGATAAATTATTGAAAGGGAAAATTACGACTGCTAAAGAAAGAGGGAGTACACGGCGAGGACAATCCCCCGCTCTGAGACAATATATTTCTCAATTTTCAAAGTTTACGGAAAAATTGTATTTTTCTAAAATTCTAAAATTTATGTTGTCATTTATGTAATCTTCAACACATTTGATGCATTTATTTTATTAAATGACTTATTGATTGATAATTTTTTTTAAGTTGACAGTTAAGAAAATGGTTATGGGTTGGGAAATGGGTATATTGGAGCCATAAAAATGATTTTTGAATATGAATGGGTAAAGTCTCCATTCTACACTAACGTTTGAATGACGGAAAAGTAAATGTAAAATTTTATTTTATGTTTTAAAAAAAATGGAGTCTGAACTCATTCTATACGAAAACATTTCTGAAAAAAATATATGTTTCAACAAATTCGTTTATCTATAGCACATTGACACACATCGATGACAAGAAGACGTCGTAGCATAGTGGTTAAGGCTTTGGAGGGAGTTCGAATCATGTCTAAAGCTTTTTTTTCTTTTCACATATCTTGAAAGCACTAGTGAAAAATGAATTATTTATCATAAGTTATTCAAAAATATAAATGAAGCAAATGTGTAAAAGATCGAATGACAAAACAATTTTTGAAAAATATAACTTTTCATGAACTTTTTGAACTGAGGAAGGTTTTTTTCTCAGAGCGGGGGATTGTCCTCGCCTGGGACACTTCATTCTTTTTGTCAGACGCATGACAGAGTGTAACGATAAACTACTTCTCTATCTGTTTCTAGTGTCTGAACTTCAACATGGCGCCCATTTGCAGACGATCGACAAAGACATGTTCCACAAAGTTTTGTTTTTATTTCGACATTCAAAATTCAGCACAAAAGTAAGCTACGTGGCCATTTGGAACAACCATGATTCAGAATTACATTTGAAAACTAACGAATGACTTTCTTCAGGAACACAAAGACAGCGCTTAAGCCCAAAAATTCGAACCTACCAAATTATTACATTACATACAGTGCTTCAAGTTGAAATGTACTTTGTAACAAAATAAAAATGTAGCTATCGAGGTCTTACTTCGATCATTATGTATTTCAAGACCTGTCTAGAAATAAACTTTAAATACGATATGTACATGTACACAAGTAATTTCTAATGTCAGTACATGATAAATTAGTCAACACATGGACGGCTGCAACCTTAAGAATCATAGGCTAAGAGTCATTCAAATATTCCAAGAAACTCCCTATGGACGGAAGATCAACATCGCCTTTTTGATGCGTACCTCGTCTGTTTCGTGGATTTTCCACGATTTTCATGTGAATAGAGGCCTCGATATCGTATTCCACTCTTTCGTCAGGACAAAATCTATGAGGCATGGCACAGGATGGCCCTGCAATGGTTGTGATAGCAATGTTACTTGCATTTTGAAAAACTCCAAAATTACTCCCTTGAGGAGAGAAATGTGAATTTTGTTCGGATGCATTGCATCGGACGGAAAACTTGACTCCTCTATCCGGTTTCACGCATCCGTTCGAAAAATACTGGTTTTGCACATGACTTATAGGTAGATTATGGTAATTAGCAAATCCAGCACTATTTTGGCTTCTGTCGAACTGATCTGGCAAGGTTTGCATTGGTTGATGAACACATGTTAAATTCGTTGGGTTGTGACCCTGTTGGGGATAAATATGTTGGTTGAAAGAATAATTTGCTACTTTTTGGGGAGAATATGGCGGCGAAGGAGGAAAATTATAAACGTTAACATTGGGTGGCCCAGCGGAATAATTTGGCGGCACTGCTGCATTCCATTGTTGCTGAGGGGTTTGTTCCATAGGGTTGAATAACATGCTGTTGGGGTAGTTCATCGTATGACCACAGGTTGTGTAAAAATTTTCCTGTGGTTCCGCCTTTATCATTTGAGTTCCGTTACTGCATGGTTTAAAGGTCGTAAAAGAATCGACAGATGATGCAACATACTGCTGGCAAGAGTTTTGCACTGGGTTGTACATACTGTACTCGGATTTTATCACAGTCTTCTCTATCTGTTGTCGTCGCTTGAATTCCTGAAACTGCAGTTGCTTTTCACGTTGTGTGATTTTGTGTGCAACATGCGTGGAGGGCAACACTGGGGAATGACGGTCTGACATCATATGCCAGCTTGATGGACAGGTTACCAGTGGTGTATAAAAAGAGAGTGACACGTCTTCAGTAAATCCCATATGTGGAGTGCAGAAGTTACTGACTTTCTGCATCCCATGAATGTCTTCATTGTGGTTTTCGGGGTCGGATCTATGGCCACCATTACTATAGTGGCCATTTTGTAGAAAGAATTGAAGGTCGCCTATGGCGTATCGGTGACGAAGTGCTGTTTCTTGCTGTAAAAATGTACTGTCCTCCACTCTACAACAAGAAATAAACACTTTATTAGAAAATAATTGTTTTTGATCTAAAAAAAAAAAAACATTAAAAAAGCATCCGTTTACCTGACGGGACAGTGCGTGAACACGATGGAAAATTTCTTGGAATTTTTGCTGATGACCTTTCCCCTGCTGTGCAGCCAAACCCACTTCCCATTCCGAGTCTCGATGCGGAAGTACATCGTTTGTACCTCGGTGCTATCCATTACTGAAAGAATGGTTCTTATTAACACAAGTAATACATTAACATTATATTAGAATAAAAAAAATTACACTATCCTTACGTACATGTTTTGTGACAAGCAGCAAAAGTCACAAGGTCTTCAGGGTGGACATATTTGTAGAGTGTGACCTCATTAAGTTCATCAGCGTTGTATCCAATTATGTCGGATGCTCTTTATAGAATAAAAATAAAAACATTCCCAATCATTTTAATGTTTATTTATGAACAGGACATCGGGAATAATAAAACGATTGCAACTTGTGTAGAATCATCATACTTCTTATCCAGTTCTCGAATGGTAAGGTCCATATCATGCTTACTCCAGAAGACATTTTGTTTGACGTCATTAGTGAGGTCGTTTCCGGTCAACATAAATGGCTGACAGAAGAGCAGCATGATGTGAGGCTGGTTTCGACTATTTTTCAGTGAAAATTCCGGAATATCTTCAATTTTCCCAGAGCAGTGAATTTTCTTTAAGAAAGGAAAAACAATCATCCATTAGGCTACTGAAGGTTAAGAAAGATAGTAAAATCGACACTTTAGGGGTTCTGAAGGAATTTAGAAGATCTTACCAGGTAACCAGCAGAAGTACCATTAAAACACTTCATTCGACAAACAAATGATATATTCACAGTCTTTGACTGGAAATTATCTGAAATCTAATAATAAAACTTTATTCATGATATTATACAGCACTGAGTTATTCTTGAAAGTTTCAGTTATTCCAGGGACCTATATAGTAGTATAATATATAGGTCCCTGGTTATTCTTTCTTGAAAAAAAATATTACCGGGTATGTGAATGTACATGTGAAGCGAGTATTTGAAATCGGCAATATAAAACACTTTATTCACCTGTGTAACGGAAGTGATGTGTCGCTCTAAAACATTTTTCATATTGTCGTGATCATCTGGATGTACAATGCCGTACAGACAACGATGCATCAAATCCACCTGAACGTATAAAAATTACTTATACGCATGAATAGCATGGAATTAAGAGATGGTAATGTTTTCTCTGGGATAAATTCATAGGAATTTTGCATCGTATTTGTTAAATTAAGTTATATATCAACGAGGGTATTCAATGTATGAAAATTATTTCATGAGTGGGTCAAGATTTTTATATATGTTCTACGAGTGCGAAGCACGAGTAAAAACATTTTTGAAAATTCATATTTCAGGAGTGAAATAATTTCATATCCAACCACAGAACATTGAATTTTCTTGGTTTTTTTTTACTCCTACCTTTTCGTATTTTATCATAAGATATGACGTCATAACAGCGGTTGTGAGACGCAATATTTAGCTATTGAAATAGGCCCTAATTACAACAATTTGGACAAACTTTGGCAGTTTTATCTGTGTTAGGATGGTTTATTTACCTTTACATCTTATAACGGGAAGTGTGTTCTGTATAGCACTCTTTATGAAGGGCTGGAAATCTCAAGTTTTGCCGCACTTTTGATATTTCTATTTCCACAGTGAATAAATATCACTTTTAATGTTTTAACGTTTAATGTTAATCTTTTATTCAGTGCACAGGTTAAACTATTTTACCATTCAAAATAATAAATGCCTTTACTCCATCATAAGAGCGGAGAATCTAGTAAATATTTTTTAAGATATATTAAGATCGAATATAAATATTTCCAGCAAAGGCGACAGGTATACAGAGAAATAACATAAATTGAAATTAACCACTATGCAACATTTTTTTTATCGCTAGATATAAAAAAGAGACTACTTTTGGTTAAGAAAATTCTTAAGAAGAGACCCCGCTTTCTGTTTGTTTTTGATTTTTAGCACCTTATCTTTCATAATATTTTTTCAATGCATTCCTCACTCTGGCTGTTCAGTACATGTTTGATATTAATTAAATCAGATAAATTACATAAGACTTACCTGATTAAATCCTAGATACTGTAGGACATTATCTGAAGCATATAACAGAGTCCCATCAGTTGACGCGGCCAGAACAAAACCATCAAGTATCTGAAAATAATCTCGGAAATAAATATTCTATACTTTGTTCTAATTTTACATACGACTATAGCATTTCCGATGTAAATAAAGATGGTCTATGCGTTTGTTATCCACACACTTCTGCCTGGGCCGTGTCGTGTCCTTTATCATAATGTTTATGGACAGGATATTACATACACTGAAGAAAATGATGATACAACTCACAAGAATAGGAGAAGGAACGATATTCAATTGATAGCTAACGAGGTAAACAATATAAATACACGTGCCCCTCCCCCTTTCTGGTGCAAAGAAAAATGGATTGTACCTTCACTATGAACAGATGATGAAGAGTCTACAATTAGGTTTTGCTGTTGTTCATTTTTAATGAATAATTATCATTTATACTATTGACATATGTACAAACAAGTACTAATGATTATTAACTAAATATTAAATGATTTAGGTTCACTCAGAGTACCAGTTTCGAAAGGCCGTTCTATCACGGACTGTAGAGGATGATATTCAACGCATGGGAAACGACGACACACTCCCCGACTTTGAGTTTGGCTGTGTTAGACTCCCGGAGGGTAATCCTTTCTCAGTAGAGAGAATCGCTCTCTGGTTAGGAGCAGGAAACACTGGATTTACACTTGTGTGTGAAAAATCGGAAAACAGACTTCTTGCAGAAAACGTTTTGAAAATTCTTATAAGGTTTATTCAGGAGCATGTACGAGTTTTGAATCAACCCTCGGAAGCGAGACTGAAGAGTGACAAAATTGCCCTTATTCTCAATCGGTTTTTGCCAAACGGGAACCTGCTTTTTATGAACCATCGTGTTGTCAGACAATTAGAAAAAGATGTTGAAAGTTTGATGAAGTTATCATGAATTTATTATCTAATCTGAGTTGTTAGATAGTATTTCAAATCTATATATTTCATTAAACGGGTTGTTTGAAAAATAAGTGTGTAAACTTGATATCCAATAAGTTCACCATGGTAATTTTTTTTTAATATACCCAGCCACTTAAGTTTTCAGTGTAAAAAGAAACTGTTAATTTGACATCTTAGTTTTGATTTTTATAAATAAAAAAAATAGATATATTGATATATTGCATATACCTGAAATATATTTCTGCCACAGAAGAATTCTTCCACAACCTGATGTCTTTCTTCATTACCGCCTAGTTCCCCATTTTGTAGTGAAGGGGTGATTTTTTCGTATGCTGTTAAAATGTATACAAATACATATGAAAATTATTTCACTTAACATAATGATGTTGATAAACTATGAATGAACTTATTTCACCTTATATGCATTTGCAACTTTATATTCTTTTTGATTCTGAAAAAATACGGAGTTATAGAGGGAGAAAATGCCGTGTTCAAACTGATTTCTGTTTGAAATTGTCACCATGCTTCCTCATCACAAATTATCTTATAAACTGAACTGTAGTTCTCTATAGTCATTCAATAATATATCAAATTTGTCACAACTTTTATGTTTATGTAATTTTTCCTTTGTTTCAAGATTTAAATTTAATTTAGAAGGTCATGGAACACAAGAATATTTTTATAGCTTAAATGTAAGAATAATTAATGAGAACATCTGCTTATCGACCATGTGCTTATACCATTTAAATCCTGTGTACAGTCTAGAAATTGATTTTTTCAAGAACCCTTTTAAGTTTGCTATACTGGGAAAAGATATGTTTTGCAAAATATTTCTTTGTTTAGTGGAAACTTTTTCATTATGCAGCGCGAGGTTATTCTGGATCAGTTAGACACGTGAGAAGTAAACGGAAGATTTATATTTCAAGTTTTGGTAAATATCTTTTCTCAGTTCAAAGAAAACAATTGTTTGAAGCAAAATAGAAGATGGAGTACGGCTTGAAAAGTTCGAAGAATTGCACTGCAAATAATACCCGAATCAGACACAAATTGATCAATAAATTCCTATAAAGCTCTGCTATTTAATTTATGAAAAACAAGGCACAATATTTGATAAAGGAGATTAGGAACTGTGCTTAGATTTTGGACAAACTGCTTGGAGTGTTGGACAAACATTTCAACATTAAAATACCCCAAGCTTCTTCCCTATCGTTCATCGCAGGTTGTTGAGGGGTGCGAATTCCCCGTTCCGGAACCGGTCGTCCCGTGCCTGACCGCGGTGGTTTGTAGACGCGCCGTGATGCTGTCATCAGGTGATAGCGTCACCGATAAATTTCCCCGTCAATAGAGTTAAAGTGGAATTGAAAACTGTTTAGCCATCTAAGACAGACGACACTTCTTGGTGTCTTGTCGTGTCATCCAGTCATAAATGGTCAACGGGACGACGGCACCTCACTGTGCGATATCCTCGTAAAGTATTCAATCTTTAGATAGCATAATTTACATTACTATAACTTTCAATAATATGTTTCATCCATAAAGAAAACTAAGTATATTAATTAATTGCTGAAATCAATTGAAGACATAATGCAAGACCCCTCAAATTTTTTTATATCTCTGTACGATTCATTGGGTACCGGTATCAAAGACGCCCATCCTTCCCCCTTTTTACCAAATGAACGAAAACTAAAAATATACAATGTACTTGGGTAAATAGGCTAAGGAAGATGAATGAGGCTACAGAAATGACTGTCATACTTGGCTCTTTCTGTGGGTACCCAGGAGTCTTTAATGAGTCAGCGCCCCTCGATTAGAGTGTATGTGACTAGTAATCCTGAAGTTGTCTGGGTGTGTCAGCTGCCATAATGACCGATCAGTCTGGCATTAACTGCCCTTATTTGATTTGTGTATTTACAAATCCAATTCAAGTGGGTTTCCCTGGATTATTTATTTAACCATTCAGCGGTTTACAGAATTTGATAGCGAAAATTTAAACAAATATTTTAAAATATGTTTAGTTATTGCTCATTCTTACGAGAAGATGCATGTTTTGTACGAAGTACAAATGTACTTCTATGAAACCGAATTCCTCTCCAGATTCAGAGCAACAAAGAAAAATATCCTTTCCCCCCATTTTTTGAAAAAGGGAAAGGACCATTCTCAACAGAGTAAGAGCTAGAAAATAATGAAATACTTTGAGATGACTCTTTTATTTCGATGAATTTACCTTTCAATTTGAAAAAGAATGTTTTGAGGAGTATTAATAGTTCTGCTTTTCCTTTTTTTATTTAGGAAAAATCTTCATTTTTATCAAACGTATTTTACCGGTATATTCCCGAATACATGTCAATTTTAATGTTAAATAAAGAATGAAATGTTTTAAAATATGGTATATTCATAATAAATTCTTGTACGTGTGTGATAGTTCATCCATTAACAGTATACCTCGTGGCAGTAAACACCGTATGTATTATGACGAGGTAGTAAATACAGTACTAGGATGAGGCAGTAAAATAGCATTTATAAGATTTGATTGTCAGTAAATACAGTATTTACCAAGACAAGTCAGTAAATACAGTATTTACCAAGACAAGTCAGTAAATACAGTATTTACTAAGACACGTCAGTAAATACAGTATTTACCAAGACAAGTCAGTAAATACAGTATTTACCAAGACAAGTCAGTAAATACAGTATATACTAAGATGTGGTTGGTAGTAAATATAGTAGTTACTAGGGTGAGACAATAAATACAGGATTAACTAAGATGAAGCAGTAAAGAAATTAAAGGCCAGGCTTTTTGACATCATAACTGTTTTTTGAATAAAAATGAAGTTCGCAAATTTAAAACTTACCTTGTCGTTTGTTTAAACAATATGAGCTGCAACTTTTGAGGTCGGAAATTTTTGTTGCAAAATTGTAATTACTAATTCAGTGGCAGAAACAAAGAACGTTTATAAACTTCTGTTGTTCATTTCTGCGATGGAAGAACTATTTATAAGCTTTGATGGAAGCAAAATTACGTTATAGTCGTCATGTACGTTATTGATTTTACATTCCATTGTACAGAATTTTTTCTTCTGAAACAATATAATACTTTATTTTAGTCTAATTGATCATGAAGGTTAAAATTACATCAAAACAGCACATTTTAAAGCAAAATAAAATTCTCAAAAATGCAGCTCATATTGCTTAAAAAAAAACACCCCTGATTGTATACACAAGTACTCGTACATGTACTCTGAAGTTGATATTAAAAAGATGCATGCTTTAGTTTCTGATAGACAATATCTATGTAGTCTTTCAACAATCTGTTGGGTTTCCCATGAAATACCAATTGCGCCCCGTTATAAGCAGACCTATTTTTGTATTCATATGAAGCAGAATTTATTAAAATAAATAAATAAATAAATTAAAAGATTCAAAAAGTAACTAGCTGTGGCCTTCAATATATCACATTTTGAGATATCGACGACGTTTTATCAATTAACAATATTTATTTTCATTCTTACGTTGATTCGATATATCCCTTTAAACTCGAAAAAAGACACCACAGAGTCTGACACATCTGTTTCGTATTTCGCTATTTTATTAGAGAAAGACATTAATGACAAACACACAACAAAACTTTATGATAAACGTGATAACTTCAACTTTTCGATCGACAACTTCCCTTATTCATGTAGCAATATACCATTCTCACCTACATATGGAGTTTATGTCTCCCAGTTAATTTGATACGCAAGAGCATGTTCTACGTACGAACAATTTCTAAAACGAGGCAAGCTATTGATAAATAAGTTGATGGTACAAGGATATCAAGAGTCTCGTTTAAAGTCAACATTTCGCAAATTATATATATATATGATACAATGATCTTCTTAGCAAATACATGTACAATCTATGGTTAAGTCGAATGTTGACTGACGTTTTACATACAAATTGGTAGACCAATATTTTCATCATTTGACTACATATTTTTCCGTTTGCCCGATCATGACAAGGAGCACACGGCGGGTTTCTGTGACCGGTCAACAGGGGATTTTTATTCCTCCATGGCACCTGATCCCACCTCTGATGTTTTTAGAGGTCTGCTGTGCTCCAATTTGTATTGTTCAGGTGGACTTTTGAGCTTGATTGTTACTTGTGATCTTTATATTTCATACAGTACGTATGACGATGAGGCAGTACAGTAAATACAGTACCTACTGAGATGAAGTGTTCAATAATTATAGGACAGAATAAGAGTTATATACATGTACAAACCTTTAAAAAGGAGTTTTATTCTAAGAAAGGAGATGACAAGACGAAAAACTGTCTGGCTGTCTAACTTCCGGTGAAGTGACGATCTGTCTACGGGTATCAAACACTCTAGAGCCTTGATTTCTGTTCTCAGTTTGTCCCGGTAGCGCTTGGATTTAAAACTACAATAATCAAACCAAAATTATGTTTTATATTATATGCTTATATATGATGACATGATAAATATTTATGCGTACATCATCCTATTTTTAAACCGTTCATCTCGCGAGTATCTGTCCATTTCATAATTGCAATGCAAATATTAAGTGTTTATGTACAATATTGAGAGGAATTGTGCATCTAAGGAATATTTTAGTTGAACATTTCAAATCTGTCACCTGCTAGTTTACCTTGCGCTTGAATTTTTTAAAAGCAAATTTGAAAACCTTTGAACTTTGTAAAAAGCTTATTTCTGATTTATTTAATATCTTAAAAATATAAACAACATATTTTTGAAATGTGAGTCATATACTTTTTCATTAAGACCCGATTAGCGAGTCTGAGCTTGTTTCTATTTTATCTTGGAGAGCACATTTTATCAGTTTTATAATAATTGACACATGAAACCCATGTTTGTCAAACAAATTGTCAAAACATTTTAACAAACTGCGTGGATGGAGCCCTGTTTATATATTCCTAATAAGAAATTGGCATGAGCATCGCGGAGACATTGGATAGCGCGGGGATTGAAGTACCCGCGTCTACCAATTTGTCTTAGCAGGGGTAGAGAGAGAAATGTGTTTAGTCATCACTAGAATAACACTTCATCAGAATTTCCCATTTATTTCAGTGATGTTTGGTATGTAAGAATTGACCATGACAAAGATAACCATGACACATAATTCTTCACATATTTGAATAAAATTTCAAGATGCGAAGGAATTTTAATGCATCTTATAATATGTGTTTATTCATATCAAAACGCTTGTCTTTCTGTAGAAATCTGGTCTTATTAACTAATTTTGGATTCAAAATTGACTCTGCTGAAGAAATTTCAATATGTGTTGATAATACTAGATTCAAGAGCTTTGTTGTAAGTTGTATAATGCTATGTTTTCTATTCAACCATGCACTGGCGCCGTTTTTTTTTTTTTCTTAATTTTATTTAATTTGTTTGTTTTTGTTCTTTTTTTTTTTTTTTTTAAATTTTATTTATTTATTAATTTTTTTGGAAATTACATGTAGGCTGAAATATATGGCATGTACCCCAGTCCATATGCAGAGAAGACATATCGGAATTTGAACCCCTCTCAGTTTTTATTTGTAGATTTTAAATGGACATAAAAAATTGAATAATTTAGAATCCTTTTCATATACAGTATAAGATTTGACGATATACTAGTAAACATATATCCAACCTTACAAATTGAATCCCTGTACAATTTGAATGATATAGACATGTTTCTGTACAAGAACATCTCAAAGAAATTAAATGCCTTTCACATTCTTTTTATGCTGAACATAGTTCTGTTTTCTTTTTGGTTTTTGTACGATTCATCGTGTTCGATAAAAGATTTCTCGCATTGTCAATCAACCTGTCTGTAAGGACTGCGAAATTTTAATTCACATTTTTGTAGCATAAGAAGATGTATGGAAGCCCATTTAGGACCTATCAAATATTTTGAATTCTGCTCTGAGAGAAAATAAATTGTGCTATGTATTTTAAATAATTTTCCATAAGTAGAAACTTAGTTGGGAAAGGGAAACCATAATACGAAGTTAAAGAATGATTATCATATAGATCTATCAATATTTACTTGTACATTGATGGTTTTTGGTTGGGGAGAAAGCAAGATATATTTGGAACAAATGAACAGTTCGTGTTGCAAACATTATTTAAATGATCTATAATTCCTGCAAGTAACACGATCGAGTTGAGGAAAGCAGGATCGTGTGTTGGACAGAAGAGAAGCACAGCAAGTTCGTGTACAAGATTGCTCAAGAAGTCAGACACTAAACAAAGAGTTTCTTTGTCGATATTCCTTAAATACAACCAGATTTGGGTGTA